AGACCTATTAGATTGTTGCACGAGAATAGTACTAGCCTCGCATAAGCAATGACATACAACGCTTTATACAGAACTGCGAGCTATGCCGCAAAAGCACTCCCTGGAGGGATAGAAAGTTTAGTTACTTAAAGCCCCTACCTGTGCCTAGTCGTACGTGGCAGCACCTTATAGTTAATTTTATTATAGGCCTTCCTAACTCTCTTAGAAACACAAACTTAATAGTAGTAAAGGACTAATTAGGGAAAGGCGTTGTACTAGTCCCTATAAATAAGATTAAGATAACAGACGTTGCTTAGGCTTTTGTACGAGAAGTCTACCGCCACTACAGCCTTTTACAGTCTATTACGTCTAACCACGGCCCCTAGTTCGCAAGCTAACTATAGGAAAACATCTACAAGCTGCTAAATATTTAGCGGAATCTCTCTACAGCTTACCACCCACAAACAGATAGGACAATAAAACAAGCTAATAGCGACATAGAAGTAGTTGTACAAATCTTTTGCAACTACAACTAAGACAATTAGGCTTAGCTTTGCCCTCTTCTAGAACTTATGCTTAACTCCTATACAAACGCCTCTATAAGTGTATCCCCCTTCTTTCTCCACTATAGTTACTATAATACCCTATTTCCCTAAAAAGAAGCTATCTTAGATAACTAAGAAGCAAGCGTAGCAGCTAAAGAGATAGTACGTACGATTAGTGATGCAGCAAACTAGGCAGTTTTAGCAATATTGTACGCCTAATAAGAGTAAGAGAAGTAGGCAAATAAATCTCGCAAACTATTGCTTGCTTATAAAGTAAAAAACTAGGTCTAGCTAGACTTACGCAACATACGAATAGCCTAAATAAGTAAAAAGCTAGACTAGAAAAGTGGAAAGTACTAAGTTGCCTGCGTACAGGACCTCTACTAGGTAGAACTTGCGGTGCCCTAGGAGACAAAATCCTTCCACGTAGACAAGCTAAGGCCAGCATCTAACGACCCCTTACTATTATAACAAATAGACAATAGCAGCCTTACAGCTATCGTCGTATAAGAAGATAGAGAAGAAGAAGAAGACTATTTAGAATAGCTTATACAAGGCATTACGGACAAACGAATGCAAAACAGAGAACTGCAATATCTCGTTATTTAGATAGGCTACCTAGAGGGAAGTTAGGAACTAGCTATAGCACTTAAAGACACGAAGGCCCTAGATAAATAGCTCGCCTAAACTTCCTCTATACAAAAACCCAACAGCTAGCTATAAAATAGCTAGAGGCGAAAGCTACTTAATAAGCAATAGAGACCTGGCGCTACCTCTAGAGGCTGAACGATCCCTCTTAGTGCCTAGAAGACGACGCTTAGCTGGCGTACGGACAGACGAACTGTCCCCTCCTCCTGCCAAACAATAGGCGCCATAGTCCTGCTAGATGCAATTGCTACACGCACCCCCCCACTCTCTATAGATAGAGACACAACTAGCAAAAGCTATAAACTCCTTCGCCCTATCTAAGACTAGCGCATAGTTATTGCAAAATGTAGCATTAAGGGCGCCACGCGAATAGACAAGGAAGGCCTTAAGGTACAAAGGTTGGCCACCTAAGATTTAACGGGCATAGAGCGTCGTACAGGCGACAATAGGCGAATAACCGCTAAGGCTAGGACTAAAGGTAGCATTGCAGGGCGACAGCCCCCTTAGATAGCAGAACATGTTAAAGACCTAGCGAAGCTTAGGCTACACTAGTTAGCTAATTTAGACGTACGATAAGGAAGCGACACTTATAGGAGTAGTAGCGAACACTTAGCAAATCTCTTTAGCAACCCGCACGTTAAAAATGTACTAGACCTAGTAGTTGTTAAGGTTAACCTATCTAATAATAATAGGCGCTACAGCCTAGATAGCACCTAGCGTTGTACGAGTAAGCAACTAATAAGCAACATTAAAGATCTAAGTAGTTGCCTGCTTAATAGTGTTGTTAACTTCACTATTCGTGCAGAAACGTAAGGCGTTAACCTAGCTATTAGCCTACATCCTACAATTAGCTATTGTACGAGAAGACTTAAAGAAGTGACTATAATAAGAGAAAAGTTAAAGCTAAAGGGATAAAGGAAACAAGCAGTAGGTAGGGGAAGAAAAGTATTTATGCTCGCTAGACAGCGTTTGCTATATAGCACTATTGCCTAACTCTCTCTTACCTTCACTATTTGCCTTTACCTTAACCGTACGAGACGCCAAACATGTAATAGCAAACGGACGGAGAGAAAGGAAAAGAAGACTAAAGAATACGCACGTGGTATTAGATAAGGTAAAGGAGGGGAGTATTGTAAAGGGCTACGCTAGAGAGGTATGACCTATAGGTCACATAGTAGTGAATTACATGACTTTAGTCACGTAACTAAATAACGTAGTTAGCTATATATAAACAAGCTTAAGTAAGGAGGAAGACTAAAGGTCCAAGCGTTCGTACGAGTAACAACTATAAAAGGAGGGCCCTCTAGATAGTTCTTTTCCGTATCTTTCTTCTTCTATACAATAGGTGAATGCATACTCGTTAGTTAGGCCTCTCTCGCCTATAACAAGTATTCTTACCCTCACTACTTTTAGTTTATTTACTTTTACTTAAAAATAAATTAGTATAAAAGTTAGCGCTATTAATAAAGTAGATAAACCTTATATCTATCTTCTTATAAGTTATAGATTATTTTACTAATTTCTATTAATACTAAGTTTCTTGAGTTTTTATTTACTAATCTTTAGTATATACTAGTATATAAAGTTTTAACTAAATAATAAACCTTAAGTCTATTATTAAGTAGTTTAGCTATAAGTTAAATAAGGTTTATAAGATTATTTATTCTTTTATATATACTTATTTTTTAATATATAGCTTTAGCTAGGCTGAGAACTAGTACTAATATTATTTTTAATTACGTAGTACGTTTGAAGAAGGGCGTTGCGTAATATAGATAATAAAGGCACTGTAAGAGGCTACGCCTAAAGTGTGTGTGATCGAGTATATCTATACGACTACCTGGACTTCAAGAAGCTTGAAGTCTTGTTACTGCCTTTTTGGCTATGGATGGCGTAAGTAGTCGTACGCTCGGCCCGTTGGGCCCGCCCATTACAGGCACTACGTAATATAGATTGAAAAAGAGTAGCTACTAAATGCTATAACTTAATGCTAATAGCTAAAATATAGTAGAAATAGGTATATAGATAAAGTAGTATATAAGCTTAATTATAGTAGTGGCAGCTTCACAGCAGTCTAAGTACAGGCTAGGAGCCAAGGCACTAGTCCCTATGAGGTAAGCGCTGTGCCATAACAACCTACCTCTTCTGTCACGCGAACAATGTTCTCTTTATTTTCTAAACATACTTTTTTCCCTGTCTTTGAGCGTCGGAGCATACATATCTCTCAGTCTGTCCTCTTTGCTTGAGACAAATTTTTCTGTGCATTTTTGGGAGCAACTTCATCATGGATTGCGGGATTATGGGCTGTTAAGTTTTTTTGTTTGGAGAAGGGGGCGTTTAACACATTTTCATGCATACATATAAGCGTGTTCTTCTCTGTTTTTTTTTTCTCTCTACTCGTCTTGGAAACTCGTCTGTCCTTATTCTATTTTTTTCATTGCTAAGCACCTATTTTTGGCATGGCCAAAATGTTACGTCTACTGGATGCCGTTTTGGCATTTACTCTTTTTTTTTCTCTCTCTCTCTCTCTCTCTCTCTCTCTCTCTCTCTGATTCTATTCAGAAAAACGAGAAGAAGAAAAAAAACAGAAAATGCTACTACTACTGACTTACAATGTAATAATACCAATAAAGAAAGAAAAGAAGAAAAAAACGTCGTTGTCTCACCTCATCTTGTCCCACATGCAGATTTGGAAACAACATTGACGTGACGTGACGTGACGTAGCTATCAGTGTCTTGGGAAGCGAAGTAGACCCCTTTCTTCTTTTTTCATTCTTTAGTTTTCGTTCTTTTTTTTCTCGCTTCTCTTTTCTTTTTTATTCCCTAAGCGTCGTTGTTTGCTAACGCCGTGTAATTACATGCCTACATACCTACATAGGTACTACGGATCTTTCATCCACGAATTACATACGAGAGTATGCATGTATACCTTTGCGCGTGAAACAGGTAGTCGTGTACAACACACAATTTAAACCCAACCCCCCTTTTTTTTCCTTTGTGTTCTTGTGTTTTTTTTTGAGGGGGTCTAGGGTTGGCGTAATGGAAGGGAGTGTATATGATTACGTAGGTGTAGGTGTAGGTACGGATACAGATACAGATACAGAGACATGTCAGAGCACTCCACAGCACCACACAGCTTAGCTTTACCTACCTACCTACCTAACTACCTACCTACCTACCCGCTCCGCTTCGCTCCAGCACATACTTTTTTGTAAGCGGATTTCCAATACCAAATTCTGACTACCTATATCCATGTCCCACTCCCCCATCCATCCATCCCCTCTATCTTTTTCCCCCCGTTTCCAAGCATAATCGCCGTAAAAGGCAGCATGACGATGGAGATGCTGAAAATGCTCGTGTGCTGGGAGGTTGCCTGCACACACGCGTTGCTTTGCGGCACTGAGTTTCACCAAACTAAACTTGTGCCATGTTTGTGGATATGTGTGTGGTGAAACGGGCGTGTGTGTGACGAGTATGGGGTTTGTCTGTTTTGATGTTTTGCGTGGTGGGAAGGGTGGAGCTAAGTAGTGTGGTTACTTATGCGCTGCGAGTGTGGTGTTTTTTTTCAAGTGGGGATGTGCGGATGGGTGTTTTGGGTGAGGCTGTGGCGTTGAGGGATGATAGTTGAGTCAAGTATGCCTGAGGAAGACTGGTATGCCTGCGCATGGAAGGGAAGCGGTGGAGGGGGGGGGTGTACTTGGTGGGTATTAGTACGACGGGAAATGGGGATTCAGTATATGTAAGTATCCAGACGCAGGAAAGCAATCACTCAACTACATGCTAATCTCATCGGCTGTAATATTTATATCTACATACACACCCACAACACTATGCGTACTTCAGCCTCTCCTCCGTCCACCCAGGCCGCAGATACTCGCCGTCAAACCTCGACTGCCAACTACTCTCAACGGCAAACTCCTGCACCATGCGCACCTCGACCTTTGCACCAGCGTCGTCCTGCGCCCACACACTCAGCCCCAGGACGTTCTCCCCACTGTAATTCAGAATTCCCGGTGGAACTGGGAACTTGACTTCATTGCCAACATGCGGGTTGAAGCGCGCGTACTGGTATCCGTTGACGAAGAGCTGGGCGCGCAGCGTCTTTGCGGCTGGCGCTGAGAGCACGAATGCAAACGAGGCGTCGACATGCGCAAGGACGTCGAGCGAGAAGGTGGTGCGGTAGAACTTGATGTCTGCGCCTGAGAAGCCTGTTGACGGCGCACCGGATGCCCAGGCGGCGTCATTGTAGCCGGGGAGGTGCCAGCCCAGGCGTTCGGCGACGAGGCCGCCTTCAGCAAGGGGCCCGCGCACGGGATCGAGTTGGAGGGCGTTGCCGCCGGCTTCGCCAGCGATTTTCCAGCGTGTGAAGTTTGCGGGGCCGGAGAGCGAGGCTCGCAGGATGCCGCGGGGGTCGGTGGCGCCGCCGCGCAGATCGTGGCCGGTGTTGTCTTGGGCGACGAGGAGCACGTTTGTGCTGTTTGAATGGACGGTGGCGTTGGCAAAGGAAAGCGTAGCGTTGCCTATCCCTAGAGTCGTGTTGCCCAGCCACGACCCGATGTGCTTGCCGTTGAGCCAGGCAGACCAGCCGAATGCAAGGCCGCCTTGGACAGAGAGCTGGATGCCAGTTGCGGAGCCGGTGAAGTAGCCGCGGAAGAGGTGGAAGCTGTTGTGGAAGCCGTATTCGTCGACGTAGAGAACGGGTAGCGTGTCGGGCTGCGTAGGGTTGGGAGTGCTGAGGTGGTTTGCAACGACCCAGGCGGCACCGCTATCGTCGTAGTCTGGCTTCTTCTCGGGGAGACAGTCGTTGACTTTCCAGTTGTCGAGGGACGGAAGCTTGATAGTGCTGTTGAAGGCGGTGACATGGGCCTTCAAGCTACCGTATGCGGTGGGCGAGGTCGATAGTTTCTTTCCGTTCCAGGAGAGTGTTTTCGCACTGTTACAAGCAAAGACTTCGATGTCAGTACTGCTCAGTATGTCTCCTTTCAGGGCCAGGACATCGCCTTCGAGAGCTACGTGACGGACAAGGTATGGCCCCTGGACCAGAACTAGATTTGTGTTAGACTTCATCAGCTCGAAGGCAATAACGGTCAGTGTACTTACCAGACTGGTCCACAGGCGCAAAGGGGTCTTTCGATAGGTTGGGGGCCCAGAACAAGTACGCGGTAGGCTTGTCAGCGACAACAACCTTTACGTCATTGTCAAACTGATACACGTTCATGCCAGACACCTTCTGTATGTTGGTGGTAACACCATGGGCTTCGGCATGGAAAGTGGCGTTTGAGCTGGCTCCACTGCTAACAAGTGAGCCCTTTGTGGCACCCTTGATGTGGAACTCAACAGACTCGCCGACACCAGCTGATAGCACAACGACTGGCTTGGAGTCAATGATAGCGTATGTGAGGACCTCGGCAGTCGAGTACGTCAGCGTACTGTTGCCCATGGCGAAATCGGTAACCAGAATCTTAGACTGATGGCCATTGAGAACAATGGAGCCCGCATGCTGAGGTATCGTAAGATTTCCGATAGACGTGCTCACATGAAGTTTGAACGATTCTATCGTCGCCGAAGATGATTTGGCATGAATGGTAACGTAAAACGCGCCGTTGGTAATGGGATTACGAAGCTCACTAGCCTCGACAGCCGAGTTCGTGGTATACGAGACCGAGTTTCCGAGGCGATTCGTAACGGTCAGGTCTTCGGCGACACGAGTGAACATGGCCAAGTTCTTAGTCTCGTAGAATTTGGCGCCAATCTTGCGGTTCTCGCTGATAGGGCTGCTGTAGTCGTACGACGTAGCTGTTACCGGAGCGGCGATTGCACCCCAGTTCGTTCCGCCAAACATCATGTAGAGTGAGACGGCAGTGACGCGTTGGGAGATCAAGTTACGGTAGAAGAGGTTTGCGAAATCAGCGCCGATATCGTTAGGACAGCCACCTTGGGGTCCGCCCCAGGGATTGTACGAGCCACCCTGGAATTCGGGGAAGAAACTTGGGCTGGTAGGAGACACGTCTTTGAAATAATCAAAGTAGTTGACGGTTTGGTAGGCAACATATCTAGAGAAGAGTGTCAGAAACAGCATCTCAAAGTTTGCAATGTCAAGCACTTACTTGCCGTTGGTGCCAGTGCACTCCTGCAGGTTGCAAGACCAGCAAGATGGGTAGCTGTCGAGGCCCACTACATCGACATTCCCAATGGCGCCAGGCGCATAGTAATCGCCCCAGCTCTTGGTACGCATGTTGGGGTCATTGTGGATAAGAGGAATGTCAATGCCATGGGCTCGTGCTATATCCTCTAGCGCCTGCATGTAGTTTCCAGCGCTTGGATTGGGGATCTTCGCCGCGACATCCTTCCACTGCTCGCCAAATTCGTTCTCAATCTGATAAACTAGGCCGTTTCCTCCGTTGGTCACAAGATACTTGGTTGTGAGCTCCGAGAACTTGGAGAAGTAGGGTTCCAGTGCCTTGAGGTATCTTGGATCGTCGTTGCGGAGCTTGCCATATGCTCCTGTAGTGAGCCATAGTGGAAGACCCCCAGCATTGGCTTCTGCATTGACATAAGGGCCCGGCCTGATGATGACGTAGAGGCCAACGCGCTCAGCAATCTCGAAGAGCTTGGTGAAGTCGTGGGCACCGCTCTCAAAGTCCAAGGTGCGGTTGTTCGCACTATGGTAGCCCCAGTTGGAGTAGAAAGCGAAAGCCGTGAAACCTGGTTCTCATCAGTTGACTGTACTGTGTCTGGTGTGACTAACAATACTTACCGGCGGCCTTGATCTTCTCGAGCAAATCCTCCCAAACCTCGTAGACGGGGATGCGCCAGTAGTGGATTTCGCCGGAGACAACGAAGAGCCGCTTTCCGTTGACCTTGAAGGAATAGTGGTCCCATTGTACGACATTGTTCAGGCCGTTGTCCTGAAGTGGCCACGCACTAGGTGTGTTATTCTGAGCCACCACACCAAAGCCATTTGGTAGCGTGGCCAGCGACGACAAGGCCGATAGCCACGACAGCCCAACCAGAGTCTTCATGGTTGATGAAGCCTAGAGTAAAGGCCAATCGGGGCAGTGAATGAATCGCCGGACATTTAAACGGTTTATACGCACCCAGCCGGTGCTATAACCGTGTTTACCAGGGCATGCAAGCGAGGCACTAATGCCACACCTGCATCGTACGTTGCGGGGAAGTGCAGGCCCTCCTAATGGTGGAATTAGCATGTCCATATAGAGATACTCCACCCTGGGTGCCGAGGCCCGGGTAAACATCTGCATCGGAGCCATCGGATGCAGTGTCGGACGACGGAAGGCTTGCTGCAAGCCGTTAGTGTGGCGGGCACTTTGGACGTCCCGCGTCATCTTCAAGACAAGGAACGGGTGATTGGGAATTTGGCGGATGCTTCTGCATGGCATCATCACAACGTGGCCCGCAGGGACGGCTTGGGCGGATCGCGTAGTGCCGGGCTTGCGCCCATGAATCCATCCATCACAGTTGTGCTGATGGAAATAGGTCTACAGACGTTGCAGGTATTACATTGACATTGAGAGAGCAAAGAAGCGTTTAACACATTAACCATAATATTTACAATCCCGCGCTTGCGAAGGGTGTCAATTCTAAGATTTGAAAAGCCGCTCGCGCTGAGCGCAGCGAGGCCAAGGCTACTCATAAAGTCTCCAGGACATCGGGTTCCACGCTGAACATCCTCTCCCTTGATGAACAATTTGCGGATGTCTTCTCTAGATAAATATGGAGCAAAAGGTGAATAGTTTTACTCGTTCTCCCTGACGTCAATGACAGTCGTCTTGAATTTCCTGGCCGAAACCTTGCGGTTGAACAGAATGTCGAGCTCACGGTAAGAGCGGTCCTTGAATTCGGGAAGACCAAAGTAGGCGGAGACGAAGCAGACGCAAGCTGTACCGCCCCAGACATATCCGCACTTTCCGGCCATGTTCCAGCCGCTTGGGTTGAGCATTCGCGAGGCCAGGTAAATCATAGGAATTTCAGCAACGTAGTAGGCGGCACGACCGACACCGGTGCTGAGCGCGCGAAGGCGAACCGAGGATGCTTCTGCGATGATGGAGTATGTGGTCGGACCCATGGCCAAGGCGTAGACGAACGAGATGATGACACCAAGACAAGCTTGTGCGTAGTTGGTTGCGCTGCTCTGGTTGACCGATGCGCAAACACCGAGAACCATGAGCATAACAATGTTGGTGGCTGTGCCTACAAGGTAAATTGTTCGACGGCCGTAACGGGCGCCTAGGGGCCATGACAAGATGTTGCCAATCAGCTGCAGGCAGGAGTTGATGATGTTGAGCTTGAAGGAGAAGTTGGTGGACATTCCAGCCTCTGCGAAAAGTTAGTTGGCTGTACTGCAGATTTATGAAGAGGAAACTTACGCTCAAAGAAAAAGGTGGCCTGGTTGGCAATCAAGTTACCAGCAAAGTTCTGAGACGCGTAGGTCAAGCACGTAATGAGCGTTCGGCGAAGATCAACTCCTTTGAAGAGGTCGAGCAAGTTGGGCTGGCCGCCGGCGTGAGCTTCAATCTCAACGGTACGTTCCATCATAGCAAGTGTCTCCTCGGCAGATGCTTGAGTTCCGCTCCTGCGGCCGAGACGCTTGATGGACTTAAGAGCCTGATCTTTGCGGCCTTTTCGCACGAGCCACCAAGGGCTCTCGGGGGCGAACCAGATGATTGCCATGAGCGGAAGCTAAAACAGTCAGTTTTGCTATCACCAAGCAAAGTAGGGGTCAATTACAGGAAAGATCCACTGCAGGGCAAGCGGTGCTCGCCAGGCCCACTCATCATTTCGCCCGTTGAAGCCGTAGCTGGCGCCAGCGACAATGATACTACCGATGGACCACGACATTTGCAGGGTCGCTGTGCAGGCACCACGGAGAACGAGGGGTACGACCTCACTAGCATAAGCGGGCGAATTTCCGATGAACATGCCCCATGGGACACCCTCGAATGCCTGTCCGATGACAAGGACCTCGAGTGAGTTGGCCTTGAAAACCCCGTTAGCTAGCGAATCAGCCATAATCCAGAACAATTGACTTACGAAGAAGGAAATGAAAATGGTAGCATTCATGATAACGAGGGCCAGAAGGGTCGTCCAGCGGTAACCAAGACGGTCGGTGATTGGACCAACAATCATGACACCAATAAAGGCGCCACATTGACCAGCCTGGAAGAGCGAACTCTGCCATTTTGTGGGAATGGTTTTGCCAACCTGTCCCGCAACCTGGACTCCGTATCGCTCCTTGAAAGCGCTAAGCGCCACGAAGTTGCCGTTCAAGAACATGTCGAACGACTCCATGACCTGGTATCTGTCAGTCTCGAGTCCCGATAGCGTCGCTAGACAAACCGACGTACAATGGTAAAGCAGAAAATAAAGGCCCAGAAACACGCCATGGGGTGGTCTTTTACGGCCTCCCACAGGGTCATCTCATGCTCGCGCGCCTCGGCATTCTGAGCATCAGTCATGAGCTCCTTGTTATCCAGCACCTCAGCATGGTGGCCACCACCGATGCTCTTCTCCCGCATCACATCATCAGGCCCGGGCTTCTCGTTGTATTTTATATCGGCCGACATCTTTCAGGTTAGCAGCGAGGTTGACTTGGCGCCTCGCCCCAGAAAAGCAGAAGAGGAGTTGAAGCAAAGACGATGCGGAAAAAGCCAGGGTAGCCGGGGTAAAGTGCGAGAGCTTATATACCAGGTAAATCTTGCTGTGTGGGTCTCGGCATAGGTTCGAACAAGCCCAACAAGGCCCCATGGGGCTCCGCACAAGCTTTGGGGGCATGCTTGTTGTTCTTGTCGACATATCGAATGGCTATTGGCTGGTGTGGGGGGCGGCCAGGATAGTCGTGTGAGCGGTGCATGGCGGCCAGACTAACCCAAAGCGACGCCCATCTGCGCCTTTCTATTGATGCGAAAATACACAGACTAGCGGGGGGGAGGCTTTGGTAGTTGAGTCAGCCCGTACACTAGAACTACGGTTACATCCCTCTGGCACGACGCGCACGCGTGGCAACCGTTCGCCTTGATCAAGTCTAGTCAGTCTCAACACCAGCTTGTAAAGACGGCCCTGGAACCGACAACTAACACTGCCCAGACTCCGTATCAACAACATCAAATGCTGTCTCTGAACCCCAATCACGGCCCTTGTCTATCACATGCACCCGCCCCACTGCCGCAAAATCGGGGTAATCAGTCGAAGCTAATATTACTGTTTGCACGAGCCAATGGCGCATGCGAGACTCGCGTGTAGCAGTCGAATAAGCACATTCCCTCTCGCCATCCATCTCGAAAAGCCAAGGCCCTCGTGGCCTGAATCTGGCTGTCAGGAAACCCGTCAACCTGCCAACCTGTTTTTTCTTTACTACAGATAGCGGCGCCGATTATTGCCTCGGGAGGTGCTGTTGAACCCATGGCTATCGGGGAGCTAACTAAGGCAGACTAATGCTCTGGTCCTGGCAAAGCGCCGGCGGCGGGTCGGACAAAATAGCCCAAACTGGGGGGGGGGGGCCTACCCAAAAGCCAACACCCACAAGCATTTCTCGCCGCGAGTTTCGGGCCTTTTGAGCATGCCAGAGCAGGAAAAGTAGAAAGAAACGGCTTCACCAAGTGAGCGCTAAGGGAGGACTTGCCCATGGGGTTGGAGAACGATTGGGGGAGGGGGGGGGAGATCTGTTGTCCTATGCTCTCTCCCACTCTCTCCTCAACTTCTAGAAGACGCTTGTCGTGGAAGTGGAGTCCCACACGAGAAAAAAAAGCTTACCAACGCTTACCCCAGCGGCGTTAGATTTTCTGCACTGCGGCTTCTCTTCGGTGAGACCCAGGGTCATTGGTGGGGGGGAGGAGGAACATGGGACTTCTTTTTCCTTTCGGCCGCAGCAGCGTCAGACCGATGGCATTCTTCGAACAAGACAGTGTACCGTGACCGGTTAAAGAGTCAAGGACACCACCGCAATGGAACCGCTGGGTGTGCCCACAGAACATCTACCATCCAGACTGCCGGTTTTTCATAGTTTGCTGGAAGAATTGCCCTGGGGAGCACCGGATGTCTGGGGCGGACGAGTTGATCGCACTATTAGTGGGGCAGTCCTATCGTGGCCTTGCTGCCCGTCCATCTGCCGCGTGACTTTGGGTTTAAGTCGATGGGTGTGCATAGGATGTATTTCCACATTAGGGGGTATTTCTCATCGAGTACATGTGTAGCGACGGGTAGGCCTGGACGAAGTGGCGTGAAGCAGAAAGCCCATTGTCTCCAATCATCCCGAGAAGAAGCCATGGTGGCACATCATTTGATCACCTTTGGCCGGCTGATCAGGCGCTCAAAGTGTTGGGACAAACGCTACACTGTTGTGAAACCGAATCATCTTACTGACATGAATTCCGCGGCAAATGAGGGGTCCAGCTATGTAATAGTATGTACGGTGAGTTCCCGAGCCGTCTTACTGTATTCGCCCGGCTTCAGAGCGGGATTAAGTAGATTGCTCCACTGCGGAGAAAACGGGCCTATCGAATCTGGGCGTGAGCATATTTCCCTGGTTTATCGTCAGAGACTGACCATGTCCCTCGTACGGCAAATGCTATTTTTGCAGTCGTGGCAAGGCACTCCTTGTTTGTGTCCGTTGCGTGCTGTGTGTGGACGTTCTAGTACTTGCCTAATGTTCAACTTGCGTAGGAAACGTACATCCATCTGGATTCCCTTTTCCATAGGGACTTCCCAAACATGACCTTTTCTTGTTAAGAGTATCTTGTATCATTTACTGTCTATTCCTCTCGCAGCAAAACAGCTCTATACTCATGTGGGCGCTCACCATGTGCATGAATTCCCCGCATCGTCTCGTGTAACCCCACCAGAACGCCGATCATGCAAGTATCCTAAAGGGCTTTCGTTCTCGTATCATTCCATATCTGTAGAAGGAAATGGTGATTTGCTTTGAAAATGTTTCCATAACTACAAAAGTGCTAGCTAAACCCGCAACAGGATATCAGCGACGAAAGCTCTTATGCCAAAAGGTAGAGTAATCTGATATACCAAAAAGCAGAGCAGATATCGCTGGCCTTTCTAACATTAACAAATACGTAGTACAGTTACAAGTATCCACCTCCATACCACACTCCAAGCCCTCAAACACCCACCCATTCATATGGCGGTAACTTGGACGTATCCGGCTTGTCATCTGGCAAAAGCTTATAAATCTTCGTCTTCTGCACCGTCCACGCAACCGCATCTCGAAGGCGCATGCCCCATACAGTCTGGGGCCAAGCAATCTGGGGGAAGCCCGGCAGCAAGTCCTCGCTGTCGCGCTGGACGGCTCAAAACGCCTCCTCGTATCTGTTCAGCGCCGCGGGGATGTCGTTTGAAGAGTGGATCTTGGACAGCTCGCCAGCGAGGAAATACGCGCCTTGGACGGCGAGCGTGGTGCCTACGCCAAAGGTTGCGTGTGCGGCGTCGCCAAGTAGCACGGCGCGATGGTTTGTCCATGTCGGCAGCTTGACGTAGGCTGCTCTGCTCATGTAGAAGTCGTCGCAGCTATCCATACCCGCTAGGATGCGCTGGGCCTGCCACCCTGCATTGCCAAAGTACTTGTGTAGCAGCGCCTTTTGGGCGTCCGGTCCCTCATCCATTGCTTTCTCAGCTTCTGGGTCGCGGTGTCCATGCGCGGGCGTCGTGATAATCACGTAGCATCCTACTGTTTTGTCGTTGCGACGCGGCCGCGTCATGAGGCCGAGACCCTTTGGAGCATTGTACCAGTACCAGTGCTTTGTGTCGGTGGGCTGGCGCGGAATGCTAAAGTAGGCAATGTATTGACCGATGAAATTGTAACTGTTCCTTCGCACTTCCTCGCTGAGAACCAGCGACCGGATCTTGGATGCTGAGCCGTCGGCGCCCACGATCAGGTCGAAGGTGTCGCTGGCGCCGCTGTGGAATCCCACTTGTACTTCTTTCTCGGTTTGCGTCACTGTTGTCACGTAGTCGCCGTACCTGTACTCGACGTTTGCCATGTTCTTGGTTGCTTCGAGGAAGATTTCGCATAGTTCTGCGCGCAGAATCTCGTACTCGGATGTGAATTGGGATCCTTTGCCAAACTCGGCAATAATCTTGTTGGATGTATCGACGATGCGTGTTCCCTCTTCGGTAGTGTTGCGCGCCAGCACCGCCGGGAGCAGGCCCATCTTCTCCACAATGGAAATGGCCGAGCCTCGAATCTCGATGGATTGGCCTGTTGGTCTTGGGGCGGGAGACCGTTCGAGCACGGTGATGGAGGCATTGAGGCGCGTTCTAGCCAGCCAGTAGGCGAAGCATGAACCGGCAATGCCAGCCCCATTGACGAGGACTTTTAGTTGAGGAGCTGTGGATGGCGACATGTTTCCTGTTAGGATATGAATTGCGTGCCATCTTCATTGGGCAGGCCGATAGTTATATACGCTCGACCCGATGAGTAGTCTTCAAGGCATCCATAGCAGGTGATCGGAAAGTCTCGATGCGAAGAAGAAGCATGGTCCCTCTGCATCAAGACTCATCGCCTCGCCAAACGTGGTATCTCGCAGGATTCGCTTGGCTCACCACGCTTATTGCAATTAAGCATCAAGCAGAGACCTGGAGCCGAACAAGCGCTCCCTGTTCAGGGCGCGGTGAGCGCAGTCCACGGAATGCGAAACAGAATGGCGCCCTTTCTGGCGGGCAGCTCGGGGATTTCAAGTTGCTGTAGCCTACCACCGTATCGACAGCTGGGTGCGAACGAGCCCTAGTATTGTCCGAAGCGCCCGAGACCCCGAAGCTGCTTCACAACAGTTATGCAATGGGGACTAGACATCTGAATTAGCATGATGGGAACCCTATATCGTAGCAGTCATGATGTCATTGGACAGGAAAAGTGGACTTGACTGCAGGGCGTGCCTAGAAGCTACCGCTGTACAATCAGCTTCAGCCTCCACTCCACCTACACACCATGGCGCGAATCTTCATCACGGGCTCCTCTGACGGCCTCGGCTCTGCCGTTGCAAAGCGCCTCATCGCCAACGGCCACTCTGTCGTCCTGCACGCCCGCAATGCCCAGCGCGCAAAGGACGCCACGGCGGCGTGCCCCGGTGCAGAAACCGTGGTCGTGGGCGACCTATCCAATCTTTCCGAGACAAAGGCCGTGGCGGAGGAAGTCAACAAGCTGGGGACATTCGACACCGTCATCCATAACGCTGGACTCTACTACGGCCCGTACCGCAAGACACCTGAAGGCATCCCCGCTCTCGCGGCTGTCAACACAGTCGCGCCCTACGTCCTGACTGCACTCATCAACCGGCCCAAGCGTCTCATTTTCATTTCATCGAGTATGCATCAGAATGGCTCTCCGGACCTGGGCGATGTTCTTTGGACCAAGCGCGGCGAGGCGGCCTACAATGAAGACGCCGCCTACTGCGACAGCAAACTTCACAATGTCATGTTTGCCAAGGCGTTCGCTCGCAGATGGCCAGACGTCAAGAGCAATTCCCTGGATCCTGGATGGGTGCCGACCAACATAGGTGGCAGCTCTGCACCGGATAGCATCGATGCCGCCATTGAGAGCTATGTCATGCTTGCTGAAGGCGACGAAGACAAGGCAAAGCAGAGTGGATGCTTTTTCCAACCAAGCAAGCGGGAGGGTACCCCGCATACGGGAACAGAGGATGCACAGGCCCAGGACAAGCTGTTGGAGATTTGCGCCGAGTTCTCTGGCGTTAAGCTGCCCTAGAAATTCGTCACAATAAAAATCAGTCATCGCACGTGTCGTTTTCTGAGTTGCTAGAGGATCTGGTGATGCATGAACTGAAAATATTGCAGAATTCCGCAGTGCAGTGTTTGGAACGTGTCAATATTGTTTGAAAACAGCACCTGTCCTCTTAGTTGCCTATTCTCCACATGATTAGCATTTAGGAAAGAATGCCGGATCCTTGCTTGCATGCATGGTTTTCCGACCTAGACATCATTCCAGGTTCCAAGAGAACCATGCAGTCACCGCGTCGCCTTGATCACTCTTCCTGTCCTCTTTGTCCTCTGCACATTCCTCCTTGACTGCATGCTCGGCTGCATCATCCTTTCTGGTCTTCGACGCAAGCCTCTTTGCAACTTCGTTCGCCTCGATGAGACTAACAAGCCTTCTCTTGTGATCCTTGCCTTGATCTGCAGCAAAATCTCTGCAAATTTGCAATACCTTCTCCTTATCAGGGCGAACATCTTCCGGCTCGTTGATGAATGACGGTGGCTCTCGCTCAAGCACACCTGTGAATCCCCCTCTGCGACCTTGCGACTGATTAGTGGGTGGCAGTGACGGCGGATCACTAAAGACCTCTGAAAAATACAATGTCTCTGCCATTTCAAGAGGGGTGCACCCAGAGGCATTCTCGCAAAAGACGAGTTCAGGGCGACATTCAAGCATGATGCGTAGCATGCTATCTGCACGGTACCGGACTACAGCATGAACAGGTGTGTCCCCATCACCATTGATTATGCCAAGGTCCTCGCCTTTGCTCAACTCAAGTAGCAGATAAAGGATTGCCTCATGATTTCCTTTGTTGATCTGGTTTTGCCAATATCTCGTACTTATGTGGATCCAGTACCCAAGTGGCGTGGCTGCACCAGGGAAGTTCGTCGTTCGCTCGAGGAACAAGCTGGGAAGAAGGCGAGGATCAATTAGACCAAACAGCTCACGAAGAGCGTCAATGTCAGTGACGTGCCTCCCCCGAGTAGCTAGCATCGAGTGAACGATGTTGTTTCCATCATTGCTTCTTGTCGTTTGGTCGGCGCCAGCGTCTAGAAGAATATTGACCATCTCAAGGCGGCGGAGAGTGAAGGCCAGATGGAGAGGTGTCATGCCACTCGCAGAACGGTGTTCAAGGGCTTCAGGGTGTTCCTTGCACAAATACCGAAGTAGAGGAAAAGAGTTCTTTCTGTTTTCGCTCAGCACCACACAATGCAGCAGCAAGTGAGAGTGAAAGCCGAGCCATTTGGTGATGGATGCTTTCACTCCACCCTTAGTTTTTGCAAGGTTTTGGATGCGAATGTCTTCGTGGTGATCATCCGCAAACTGTAAATAACAGCGTAGTGCAGCATCACTCATGAACCACTCGACGCTTTTCAAGCTTCCAAGACGAGCGGCATGCAGCAGGGGCGGATGTTGTGTATCAGAAACTCCTTTCGGAACCCCTCTTGCGGCGTTTGCCCAATCCTTTCGCTTTTTGCCATGAACCGAGAGTCCTTGATAGTATTCTGGCTTTACAAGCATCTCTATACCACTCTTGCTGACGAGGTCATCCAAGGGAAAGCCTGCCCCAGTCTTTCTGATAATCTTCTTAAGCAGCTCCACCCGACCAAATCGAATGGCATAATGAAAATCATCTTCGGAGAAACGGAAAAAACTTGGCGTGTTTTCATCTGCAGGTCCAGGTGTGACTTGGATGTATTCCTCACCCTTTGCAATCAAGAACTCGAGTAATTCGGAGTCTTCCATGTATATTGCCAATTGGAAGAGGTTGTAGGGTCTGTTGTCATCGCTGCTAAAGAGCTTCGATGGATGCGAAAAATTTCGTGACATGCAGGACTCCTGGGGGAACAGGAACGATGGAAAACGCCATGAAATCATCTCGATGGGTTTTACAGTGCTTTGGACCTGACTTTGCACCTCCCCGATGTTCTCAATGGTAAAGCGATCGTCCAAAATCTCAGAGTAGATTCGGATGTCCTCTTGGCCACCGTCGGTACTGGAATCGTCTTCATCTACCGGTTGAATCGTGTGCTTAGTCAATGGCGTTTCTGGAGGGCTGTACTGTGCGCGTGCAATCTCTAGGATGGCGTTTGCGATGCCATAGTGCTTGCGCAGTATCGCAATGGAAAATGGCGAGAAGCCGGCCGAATCCTGTGCAGCAATTTTGAGAGGAGTTTGGTTGTTATCCCACATGGCTAGAGTGAGCTCTTTGATTGTCGAAATATCGCCTTCCCAGCATGCCTCAAACAGCTTGATGTACCCAGCTTTTCGCTCGTCTTTCATATATGGGAGGCTGAAGGCTATATTTGGGCTCCATGGCTTGGGAGGCTCCTGATTGAGTCCATAATGATTGTAAACCGGGGATTGCACAAGCTGGACTGCGGGATATAGCTCCGTGAATGTCCTCGCCCCGTGCTCAACTAAGTACGATTCGAGCGCTTCGTACTCTTCGAGGAGGGATTCAATGGCCAATTTCTTTGCCTCCATACCCGCGGGTTCTTGCTCGGAATCTAGCCATTCTTCATACTCCTCCAAGCTGTCCTTGTAGGCTACTTTGGCCTTATCGATTTGTGTGCTCACCGTCCAATGAGTGTACGTGTTTGGTTTGTAGTCTTCAAGATAGTGAGCGTCATCCTTCAGCGGTATTGGCAAAAAGCGCTTCCTTTGATAGCGAGTATCGACCCAGCCATTGCTGCCCATCCGGCCGCCCACGCCTTCAACTTTGCCTATGTCGATGAACGTACGCATTGTTGCCATTCTGAAGCGGACAATATCTAAGAGAGTCCCCGTATCACGGTCAGTGTACGAAGCGCTCCTGATTGCTCTCCAAGCGTTTGAGTTCAGACAGTTGACGTCTGTGCCAGCTTCCAAGAGCTTTCGAACGACTGACAGCATATCGTGACGTACTGCAGAGAATACAGGTTGCTCAGAATTCCCTCTCAAGAACAGCAGGGTTCCTTCGTCACCAGAAGCGAGTTTTTTATCGCTATTCATGGCTGCCAGATGGGCAGCAAGATCGATGTCAGGTTTGGTTCCGAGTTCTAACAGTGCGTCAACGGCTTCAGCATCTCCACTCTCAATTGCTGTGAGCAACGCGCTCTTAGGAGGCTGTAGATACTGCCTAGCATCCGTAGATACATGGTTTGCTGCTCGTTCTGCTGCAGGCCGGTTTGATGATATCAAGACTCTTAATAAATCCACTCCGTACGCAGCAAAGTAATTAAGTGCCGTTACATGCCCGAGGTCAGCCTGAGCAGGTGATGCACCAAGGCTAACCAGCACATTGGTCATTTCCTTAGCTTTTTCGGGCGATAGGCGTAACGCGAGAACTACCGGAAGAATTGCAGCCCGCGGGGATTTGTTGTAATTGTTGACAAGCTTGATGGGTAACAGCACATCAGCACCGAACTCTTGGACGAGGAGCTTGACAACATGAACGTGACCATTTGCAATGGCAAGATGCAGTGCAGATACTGGTGCATCCCAGGACAATACATTCACGTCGTAAACATCGGGTTCGTCATCCGCATCCTCCGGTAGGGCTTCATGGATCTCTGGCTCTCGGTGGGCAATCTTTATGAAAGAGCCTTCGGTCGTCGCATCGGCGTTATTAGAATCTTCATCAGAGAAATCAGAATCATTATTGCTTTCTTCCCTTGGCTCTTCAGCGTCTTTACAAATATCGCTGCTCAGCTTATCCCGGTGTCTTTGCTTGAGAGTGGCCTTTTCTGCTTCCAGCTCTTCGTTGGCTTCGCTTTTAGTGAGAAGTGCTTTGACCATATCTGCTTCGCCGCGCATAGCCGCGAGATGAAGAGCGGTTTTGCCATCAAAAAGGCGGGCAACAAGACGAGCACCTGCATCGATGAGAGCTTGGACAATTTGAGGCGTGGATGTCATGACTGCCAGGTGAAGTGGCGTGCGGCCAGTATAATCTCGCCGGTTTGGATCCGCATCTTCCTGGTTCAGCCAGTCCTGGACATGTTCAAGGTCGCTCTCGACAATGGCTCGACATAGCCTTGCAGTGTTCCCGACATAAGCCATCTCTGTCCAGTCATCGTCTGTAAGAGGATGAAATGATCCAATAGCCTGACGTCCCGGGTCATCTTTGAGAAAGGATATGTTGCCAGACACATATATTTTGCTCTTTTCAGCGGCAATCTCTTTTTCTTCGGGCGTGGCTGGCTCAGGGCAATAGCCACAGCAATCTCCTATAACATCAGTCGCATCTCCAAAGAATGCAGGGTGTCGATGCAGTCCGGTCTCGCGTTCCTTTGGTCGGTTCCATTCGGCGTTGAGCAGCAGGTCTTTGACATACAGTAATTTTTCAATCTTTCGTGCATGGAACTGTGGCCCATACGGAATAGTAAAGGTGTGGTAATCACTGACTTCATCCGTCTCCACCCATTCTGCAACATCTTCCTCGTGCTCTTGTTTCATGTTGCCCCGCAGCTTACGTGTAGGGTATCGATGGATCTTCGGTCTGCCACGTTCAGCGCGACGCTGATCGACATACGCCTCTCTATCGCTACTTTTGGGCAACTTCTCGAGCACCAACAACCGAGCGAGGCCAAGTGTACGTCCAAAAGAGCGCTCAAACAGCGTTGGATCAACGCGAGAACGATCGAGCAGCGGCCAGTAAACTTCAAATCCTCTCCGTGCGTACTTGGCCAGGCGATTTTCGTACGAGGGTGAACGACGTGTCAAATCGATCGTGTTGATCTGAGTCATGAATGCAGCCAGAGCGCGAGGGCTAGCATAGACTTGTTTTCCGTCATAGGCAGCACATGAGCAATCCACATCGAATCCCGTAAGGATCTCGGAAATGGAACGGTAGATGCGCAAGACAATCTGGACATGCCGGACTGGGTACTGCGATACGATGGTGATGGCATTCTTGGTTCGGACTGTGGTTGTCTCTGACAAAATCGAGTCCTTGATGCGTTGTTCAATTTGCTTGATCTTCTCGATAGCCTCTTCCTCCGTGAGACCGTAGAGGAAAAGATCAACGTCGGAAGCTGGTGCCAACTTTTGATGGTAATATTCGCGAAGGGCTCGTTTGGAGGCTGTGTGTTGATTAGGAACAGGCAGGAGTGAGGTCACAACCGCACTGCCTGCTGCTACAACGTTGGACCAATCCAAGTCAACGAGAGATGATTCGGAGAATAGTTGAAAGTTTGTTTGAAACTGATTGAGCGACTTCAAAACAGCTGGGGAACCGTTAGGCCTGCGATCTGCCGCGCTGAGAGGCATTAGATAACGTTGGCGTTCATCCTCGGGCTCGTTGGCACGATTGCGAGCGCGAACCATGAGCTTGTTCTCGTGTCCTGCAAAGACTGGGACAACATTTGGGGTTGCGGTCACTGGGTGTTCGGGTTGCTGAGCGAAGATTTCGCGTAGTCTGGCATCATATTCTTTGTATGGAGCCATCAACTCGCCCAGAGGCTTGTCTGGGTGGCTAGAGACATGTGCGATCCAGTCGGCATGTTTAGCCGGAATTGGAGGAAGTTCCATTGGTTTGATTTTCCGATTTGTTTCTGTCACAATTGGAAAAGAAGGTTGTCTTGACAGCAACGAGAGTTTCCAATGTATGAAAGTGGGAGAGTTAAATGAAGTGACGGGGGACAGCAGGAAGACGCCACGGTGGGATTTAAATATCTGCGCGAGTGTAAAAGCAAGTTTGAGAAATGGCTCAATGGCCGTCTCCGAAATGAAGAAGATGGTAGAGGGGTGTGGAGGCGCGAAGCAAGGTGGAGTTGTCAGGCAGCGAATCGCCAAATACGGCAGGAAGGCGCGCTGTTGGTCGTTGTTGCAGCTTGGCGGAGCAGGCAGCGACCAACCATGGACGCAGACTAAGTGGTAGTTCTGACGCGATAACGGCGCGCTGTCATGTGAGAAAAGACATGATGCGTTTCATGAGAGAAAATAGGTCGGAAGTGTCTCGGTGCCTGGAATACGCTGCACTTGGTAGCCTGGGTAGCGTTATTAGCAGGCTGTTCACCCGCTCTATGCTGATGCCGCATCGCCCAAACTTGGAATGTCACTGGAATTGCTGCACGGCTCTTTCTAATCATTGCTCTCTCACCTATGGTATGCTGATAATTCATAGGCTTGGAACATACAAGTTGGACAGTTGGAAAGGTGTTTGGGACTATCCAAGTCCATCTGTCTCTAAACTCACGTTATCCGCTCTCGACCCATACACGCCACCATCCAAGATCCACTGCTCATTGTCATCATTGTCGTCTTGCACCCGCCGCCATGTTTGCTTTCTCTCGCTGGCCTTCTCCTTCCCTTTGTTCTCTTCAACCTTGATCGTGGGCCGAATTAGACCACCCAGCAATGGGTTCTTACTGAACGCACCACCACCGCCCGAGAGCGCATTACCACTGCCTGATCCTTGCTCGGGTTCTGCAGGTTCGTCTTCGCTCTCAGGTGTAGCAGGCCGTTCTGCAGCAGCCATACGCCGGACAAGTTTCTTGCCAGAGAGATCGATGCTGGCGACTACTTTGCGCTTCTCATACTCTGGACGCGCATTCCACTCTTGATCTCGCAAGGCCTTTTGCTGTCGCTTGAGCTGCATGGCGCGTTCTTGCGGGCTGGCCCACATGCTGAGTCCGGCGCTCGTGGTTTCAAAATCTGCAGCCTCATCGTGGACTTGAGTTCGCTTTGCATTCTGCGCCTGGAAGGCAAGAAGCTTGTCTCTATGTTGTTTTGCCTTGGCCAGCTTTTCATTCTCCGACTCTACGTCTGAAGCAGGATTCGAAGACGCCGGTGTGCTGCTACGCGGGGTCGAAAATGGACGAGGTGCTAGTGATACTTCAGCGCGCTTCTGGCCTGCGTTGTTGGCAGCCATCTTCTCTTTTCCGCGCTCTTCACGCAAAACCCGCACCATGGATTGAATCTCTTGCGGACTGAAAAGTGCCGAGTTGCAGAAGGTACATGGGCCGATACCTTCTTTTACACAAATGATCTTGCCGCAGTTGAGGCAATTTGGCGCAGCCTCTAGGAGCGGATGTCTGGTAGCCATACAATTGCACTTCCGCTTGCCGTTGTCTTGCGCGGCTAGAGTGGGGTTCGTCTGGATTTCCAGTGCTCTGATTGCTGACTCCAGGTCGTTCAGTGCTGTAGAGGCGCCATGCATCGGTGTTCCACCTGTAACGTTGACCTTGGCTTTTGGCTTGGGTTTTGTCTCGCCAATCACGGTACCTGGAAGCTTCGCAGCTGGAAGCTTCGTGGATGGGGGAGTAGGCGAGACGCCGCGAGACTTTGGTGTCGCCGTCCCAGATGACGCAGTTGATTTTGGCACCTGCAAAGCATCGGGCTTTTCCGACAACCCAAACTTGGCTGCTTTTGCTTTTGAACTTCCTGCAATGTAGTCCTCTTCATCTTTCTTCATGTACCCACCAGAGACGTTTCCATAGTTGTCAGGCTGTCGTGGTGGTGGAAGTTTGTTCAGCCCGGACTGCTTCTTCTTCCTCGGTTTAGCCTTGGGTACCTCTGAAACGCCACTTGATTGCTGATTCTGACTCGCTCCAGCAGAAGCCTTGGGCTTTCTTCGGTTGTTGAATGAGGTGATGAACTCGAGCGCCTGCGGACTATCTCCGAGTAGATTCTGAAGGTGGTCTGCCGCTTCCTTTTGGGAGAGCGAATCTGTATACGATATTATCTGCTTCAGCGACTCGTCATCGAGAGGAAGAAGCTTCGAAAGCTGCGGCAATGCCCAGGCTGATAGATCCATGATTGTAGTTGTTGTGGTCTGGGTTGCTCATGTCAGAATGGTTCACCTGCCGTGATTCATCGCTCTGCGCTAGTCAGTGTGGCTGCTGTGGCTGGTGAAATGGGCCGTGCGCGAATCAGGCGTGGAATTTCCAGACTGGGGAGCCTGCCATCATAGTCCTCACTCCTCCGCACACTCGTCATGGCTACCGACGTCGCACTCGACACTACAATCGTATGTATTCCCCCGCTTGTAATAAGAAGATTCTAACCATCGTAGGGCACTATTGTCGTCGAACTCTACAACGACCATGCGCCCAAGACGTGCAAGAACTTCTCGACGCTCGCGCAGCGCAACTACTTCAACGGCCTCATATTCCACCGTATAATACCAAACTTTATGATTCAAGGTGGCGACCCCACAGGAACGGGTCGTGGTGGCGAATCCATCTATGGCGAAAAGTTCGAGGATGAGATATCACCGCAGCTCAAGCATACCGGCGCTGGGATTCTCAGCATGGCCAACTCGGGGCCCAACACAAACGGATCTCAATTCTTCATTACCCTCGCGCCTACGCCATGGTTGGACGGCAAGCACACCATCTTCGGAAGGGTCAAGAGCGGCATGCAGGTTGTGAAGAAGCTCGGCTTGGTCAAGACAGACAAGGAGGATCGCCCGGTAGAGGAAGTCAAAATCGTGAGGGCATACCTGGTCGACGACAACGCTCAAGCGCTGCAACGCTACTAGTGCGCGAAAAGAGACGGGCTAGTTTCAACCTGCAAAAGGCCTCATGAACGCGACATTGCTTGTGCTCAGGTGTGTTTTAAAACGCGATATTACATAATAGACACTCATACGCTCAGCTAGTTCAAGGCGCCGTTCGGATGAATCAACACCTTCGTGTACCCTTCAATCCTCTTGTCAAACTTTTCGTACGCCGTTGGTGCATCCTCGATGTTAATCTCATGCGATACAACGAAACTCGGCTTTGCCTTGCCCGAAACAATCATGTCCCGAAGATACCGGTTGTAGGCTTTGACGTTGCATTGTCCGGTTCCAAGATGCAGACCCTATATGGATTAATATCGGAAAATATCTGGACGCGCCAACTCACCTTTTCGAAAAGCTTTCCGAATGAGATCAGAATCTGACCCTTCTTGCTCTGTTCATCCGGCGCCCCTGGGTCGGCTGGTACATATAGCCCCGGAATACCTAGGCCTCCGGTCGGACGTGTGACCATGATGAGCTGGTCAAGGACGATATTCGGCTTCTCTTTACTACCCGACGCGTCTACTGCCTGGTATCCGACAGCATCAACGGCGCGATCGACCATTCCGCCATTTAGCTTGATGATTTGCTCCACAGGATCGCTCTTCTTGAAGTCAATGGGTAAACAGCCAATCTTCTCCGCCGCCTGTAAACGTTCCGGCACTGTGTCGACAACAAACACCTTACTGGCACCACGTAGCACACCGCTGTATGCCGCCATTAGGCCAACAGGACCTGCACCGAAAACGGCAACACTCTCGCCAGACTGGAAACCAGAGAGCACCAGCCCGTGCCATCCCGTTGGGAAGATGTCTGCAAGTAGAATGAAATCGGCTTCGTGCTCGGTACCTTTTGGCAATTTGAGCGCATTGAAGTCAGCAAACGGGACTCGAAGATATTGCGCCTGGCCACCTTGATACGGTCCCATGGCTACATATCCGTATGCGCCGCCCGCGAAACCCGGATTTACACTATTACTGTCAGCTCGACCAGCATCTTGCTGTACGTCAACTTACCCGGTACAGAAAGCCGTCTTGCCTTCCTCGCAGTTGCGGCATCTACCATCGGCAACATTCTAGGGCGGTCGTTAGCTTTTATCTACAACTACGCTGGCTGTACTTACAAATGGCAATACGATCCGGTCTCCTTTTTCCAAGAGCGTTACACCAGATCCAGTCTCGACAATGATTCCCATATTCTCATGGCCAAACACGAGACCAGCTTCGGCTGCGGTACGCCCTTGGTACATGTGCAAGTCGGAACCGCATATGGCTGCCGTCGTGACCTTGACAATAACGTCATCTGGATGCTGGATCTTGGGTATCTCGACATCCTTGACCGAGACCTTGAACGGGCCCTCGTAATGAACTGCTTTCATCTTGTCGCTCGACATGTTTGTTGTTTAGCAAAAAGGGATTGCGTGTGTGCTCCATGGGCACGACGCGGAACGCTCTCATATTGCCCTGGTAGAAACGACCCCTCATCTTGGATCTTTTCGCTCAACGCGGCATCCAACGGCGTCATTATTGAGGGGCTCACGACGGATGTGTCGATCCCGTGTGGGGTAAAGCATTCCGAGTCGGAACAAGACCATGCATCGGAAACTAGCGTGTTGGGATTGTTCCCGACACTTTCCTTTTCTCTGCACTACGCTGAGCATATTAGAGCACTGTCCAGGCCTTTGCTTTTCCCTTCATCTATTACCTTTTTCCACAAGGAGTATGAAACGCACCGCGGCATTGATAGTGTCTAAAGATAGTGTGTAGTGGCTAGCGGAGAACAAGCAATGTTGGGTTGTTTCACCACTACAAATGAATGGAGGCTACAAGTGTGGATTTGGGTTTGATGAAAATAGAGCATATGTCTTTTTGCTAGTTGCGTACATGGATGCCATGGCTCGTAAAGTCCATGCTTGTTGTCTTTATTGGTATATGAAACACCCGAGATGCTTTTTCGGTTCATTTCTCGCTGCATGCGTGACATCTTGATCAGAAGAATTAGGTAAATGGTGTATATAGTCAAGTATGACTAATCATGGTATCTTTACCCCTTTTCATCGCTCGTGTTTCCTTCTAGAGTCAGCGTGACGAGGTCGGGCTCTGGACATGATAGCTGCGTTGTATTCGTAAGCAGGGCCAGGGGCATTCTCTTGGTCTTTCCAGCTGGTCGTCGAGAGATTAGCCAGCTCGGGCACATTCAAGCGTTTAAACACGGATGGAAAATGCGCATGAGAAGTGCGGTCACGTAATGGAGCCATTCACGATGATAGATAACAACTACTCCATCAACGTACATGTGCCTTCTTCTCTAGACGCTGTTAGGTCGTATCAAGCTTTTTAAACCCGAGGTAAACGTCTTGTCAATGTAGGCATGTCAGTGTTTTTGGAGAATAAATCAAAGCATCTTATTAGAACTACATGCAGTGCATCGTTTCTCCATGCCAAAACGCAGCAAAACAAAAACTGAAAGCCAAAATATAAGGACTGTGCTGCTGTCTGGGACGAACGGAAACTGGAAAGAGAAAGAGTTCACAAATGAAGGAAAAAGAGCTGCTTGCTCAACGCAGGGATGTCTGGATAAGAAATGAACGGATGAATGGGGCAGGTAGATATCACAGTTGTGGAATTATACAAAGGAAGGTTGAATCGCTAAGCAAAGATCTGCTGGTGGTGACCTGGTGACGGTAAGTATGTATTGCATCTCACGCTATATGGGGGAAACACCAGCCTACCTACCGCTCATACCCGTCGTACTCGCTCTTCTTGATTGCAACTTTTCAACACCCAGCTACAATCCTGTACCCGTAGTATACAATATCAACTACGCAATACATCATCCGCAGCCTTGACAATAAGTAGCTCAATAATTACGTCAGAAGCATTTCATCAATACATGTAGACCTAGCATCCTCGTCGCTCCTGGAATCTTGTTCAAGCACCTACAAAAACTGCAATGCCTACACTAGCCACAGCCCCAAAGTGCTGTGTAGACACTAACTTGACATATCCCTTGGATGTGCGATGCCAGGCATGTATGTCACGGCTACAGCGGAGATGTATCTAGGCACTATATGAGAGGAGACTTGGCAGGATAAACGTGATAGTTGGGTTCATATGAAGAGTAGATTCTGTGTCCTGCTATATCAAATCGTATGCGTCGGGCATGTCCGCTACATTCATTCACAGAGTTGCACTGGTGAATACAATGCTGGGTCGAGAGTGGATGGAGTCGAATCAAGACGTATGTGTAGTATGCAGCTTCGATTGGGCAACAGCTGTATTCGGGCGCGGTTTACAAGTCTTGCATTTGGGTGGCTTGCAATTGACTTTTTCCTCTTGTATGCCTTGTATCAATCAACGCAAGTCCTTTAGCTTCTACATTCAGCACTCGGCGTATTGTTGTTGCAGTTACCGATGTCAGTGACGAAATGCTCGCCGTCCTTTTCCACACTAGGTTGAATTGCTTGGCTAATCACTCTTCCTCTGCGTATCCACTCCGTCCGTTTTTGCATGCCTTTTCCATTAAGGCACCGAGATTGTATACGGCTATTACTTCTCGACTTTGGGTACGTAGTGCTGGATTTCCAACTCCACATGCACCAGCACCAGCACGAGCTTGCGTATCAATGTCTGTGAAATAAACCATGCAAATGCAGCTCTTCAATTCTATTATGCGAGGAACAGAACTAGGTATGAAGACAGAATATTCATACACAAGCAGTTGTGTAAACACTGAGTCTGTCAACACTGAGTGTGCGGACCTATGCCTTGTTACTCGAGGCCAAGCAGCCCCAAGGAACTCATCCAGAATCAACCATTTTCTACACGATACAAGAAAAAAAAACATCAGCCCTCAAACTCTCCAGACACAAACATACTTCTCCACCCTTGCATCTTTTTCATCCCTAGCACCTACACGCATCTCCACTTGCAAAATCTCCGGTGAGAAAAAAAAACCCCCCCGAAAAAAAAAGAAGAAAAAGCCACCAAGCCACAGGTTTAAACTCCCCCACCCCAATTCCTCGAATCTTCCCGTTCCCCATTTTCCACTTTCAACCTTGCAACCGACATACATGATACAGCCCACGTCCACTCGCTCGCTCGCCTCACCTCGCCTCGGCAAACACACCCAACCCCAAGCCTAAGCCCAAGCCCAAGCCCACACGCAATGCCGCATCTCCCGACGCACGCAACCTATCACACGGCGCAACGCGGATCCGCGCACAGCCGAGAAAGCATGCAAAGCGGGCGCGAGGCTGCAGGACGCGTCATGGAGTTTCTTTGACGTGGCTAGGCGTTGGCATTCTTGTACTACCTGTTACCCTACACGTGCAGGCATGGATGGATGAATGGCTGGATGAGTGGGTGGGTGGGTAAAACGTAGGTGTAGGTGGATGTAAGTGTAGGTACCCGGGATCCTACACCTACGTAGAAGTTATTTTCGGGGAATGCCGTGTGCAAGGTACTAGGTGTAGGGGAGAAGGGCGTATGGATATGGCTGGTAAGTTTAGGGCGAGATAACGTAATGTGTGTGTGTGTGTGTGTGTGTGTGTGTGTGTTTTTGGGACTGGCACTGGCACTGGTACCCGAGCGACTACTTACACCAAGTAGAACTACTACGCCTACTTATGTAGTACGCTGTAAACTCGACTTTACAACATACAAACATATATACAAATTGATGTAAACCAAGTCTTTTTTTTTGTTTAAACGCCCTTATACAGACTTAATATACAGACCTACCTCCCCTTCTTGCCTCCGCCCTCCAAAAAAAAACAGCCCAGCCGTCTACCTCCCCCCCCCAGCCGCGTAGCCCCCATATTTACTTTTTCCCCTCCATCCCCCCCCCTGCCCCCAAAACCATCTTCCCGCCTCCCTAAGTATCAAGCCCAATCTCCGGCGTATTTTCTTTTCCCACCATGCACGTACCCTTTGATCCTGGCAGGCTACCCCAGCCTCTCCCTCGGCGCCCCCCCCCCTTTTTTTTGGTTTGAATTTCTGGTGTCAAAGCATATACCCAACTAGGCATAGGTGTAGTAGTATAGTATGTACGTGTAATGGGAGTGGGTGTGGATGTACCTACCCATGTCCATGTGCATGCGCCACGCGTCCCACGCGCCACGGCCAGGGAAGCTAAATGCGCCACGAAAGCCGCATGTGCGTCAGCAGTCAAGTGTAATATAAAGCTGAGTACCAGTAAGTATGAGTACGTACTCCAAGTAATATGCAGCATGCGCCACGCAGGATTTGTACTAGCCACTGACTACTACTACTACTGACTACTGGGTTACTTTAGTCAACACCAGCCCACTACGTAGCCACGTTTCCGCGTTTCCGCGTTTCCGCGTTTTCCCGTTTTACAACTTTCTTGCTTTCAGGCTTTGCTATATGGCACCGCAGATATCAAGACAACAAGACCAAATGTAAGACACAATCACGATAACAGGAACAAAGAGCGGCAAACACGGCGCTTGTAGCGCCAAACTAGCCTGTGTGAATTACATTTGGCATTGGGCATTAGGCATTGGGCATTGACATGTACACCTCGCTGTAGGTAGTGGTAGTGTGATAACAAAGGTAAGTAGGCATTACATCACAATGTATGTGTCCTGCGTACATGTTCCCGTTTTTATTTTCCATTTTGTCTCTCGTGCGTTTTAGATGATTTTTTTCTATTTGCCCTCTCGCTGTATATATTGTTAGTCTTGGGTGTATGTTTACTGTACACAGCTTCTTTTTCTTCTTCGACTTCTTTTTCTCATTGTATTCTCACTTCCTTTATACATACTCCCCCCCACCATCTCCCTCTCTGCCGAGCTTGCGCTACGTAAAAGAGAGAAGAAAAAAAAAAGAAAATGCCACAATCCAGTATCACCGGCACCACCAGCACCAGCACCAGCACCAGCACCTCTTCCTCTTCTTGCACAACATGCGAACTGGACCTGCAACCAGAACCACGACTTGGACTAGAACGCAAACTCGAACCAGCACCGGCCCTGGAACCAGAGATCAAAGACATGCCAATGGCCGAATGGCAATGTGCACACTGCGCACAGATCCACCGAGGCTGGGGCGCGCAAAGCGACAAATGCGAAAAGTGCGGGCGATGAAAAAAAAAATTAAAATTGAAAAAAAGTCAGAGTACTTAGTAATTAGTGAATGAAGACGATTTTACAAATTCCAAAAAAACAGTGCTAAACTTCATTACTTACTACGCGTCTATCACAAAACAAACGCCATAGTCTATGCTAAACGTTACAATGCATCATGGTCGTAATCTACATAACACAAAGCTACTTTAATCGCACACGCTTACCAGCAGGCTCTACTTGAGCATCTTGAACGACAGTGGAGTTGGACGAGGGGACCCAATTATGCGGTTGAGCATCGACAGGTTGCTTCTCCTTTTCTAGAGACCGGACAGATGTCGGCTTCTTCAATTGCCATGGGGCTTCAATGCATAGGGAAAATACTTCTCGGTCGCCGGCGACTCGCTTCTGTGATGCCTGTGTGGCGTTTGTTTCAGACTTGACAGGGCCATTGCTTGTTTCTGGCTGCTTGAAATCTGCCACTTGGTCCGTTTCTTCCTTGGTCTTTTCGTTCTCTTCATCCTCAATCTCTTCAGTGTAGTTCCACATCAAGTCAATCTCACCACGCGCAAGGGCAGTCAGCCAGATGCTGCCGAGAACACCAGGTACCAGGTACAGCAGCGCTGGCTGGGCATGATTCCACACCATCATGACGCCGAGTGTAGTCAACAAGCCCAGAATATAACCAACTAATCCAGCCGTAAAGTATGTCTTTGGGAACGTAAAAGGTGCCTCTGATTCACTTTCTGTCTTTGTAGCAACCCACAGCGGTCGGCCTGTAAGTGAATGCGTCCAGAAATGGTCACTCCAGCGTCCGGCCAGGGAATGATACACGGGCTTCGCCACCATATCCTGCTCTCCCGCCACCGCAGCAGGTATGCGCTTCTGTCGACGGAGGTAGAAGAGGTACAGGTCGAAGCGCAAGGCAAGACCAATCATGATGCCAGGGAGGACAATGTCGCCAAGGCCGAGCATGGCATGTGAGGGGGTCGAGGTGGGGTCATCGGCGGCAGGCGGTCGGGGGAATACAAGCTTAATCGGAACATCGAGAGACTTTGCTACCGTTACCATCATGGGTCTGCGTGTGTTAGCGACATTCCGAAACACTCGAGGGGCGCCTTACGTGAAAAAGACAAAGTAAATGTCGTAGAAGAAGAGAGCACCGAGGATTAAACTCCCCGTAGCAAATGTCGTGGGTGACATGAGCTGCAGGGCGCCATAGGAAAAGCCAAACCCTAGCAGATTGGTCAAGTACCACGGCTTATCCACCAGATTGAAGTAGGCCACAGTTGCGAAGCCAATCAGCAGGCCGACCATGCCGTGAGGCCCTAGCTTAAAGCGGCCAGTAAAGACACGGTGCATGTAAAGCTTCAGCACCCACTTGTTGCCCGGCATGGCTCGATCGGCCCAGAGTAGGTTCCCCGCCCACTCAGACAACGGTATTTTGGCGAGAAAGCCGGGGAGAGGCGTGGCGAGCGGTTGCTTACCGTGCACGTTGCCAGCCACCGGGAGCGCCGTCTTCGCCTCGCCGTCGACATGGTATAAGGCGGCGCCGACGACGTGGCGACGCGGGTAGATGAGCGAATGGCCAATGTCGAGGACATCTGTCATGAGTCGCGAGACGGAAAAGACACCAAAGACGGCAAAGTAGGCATTGAGTATCTTGTTGAGCAGCGCCGCGTCCTTCATCCACTTGAGCAGAAAGTACAGCGAGGCCAGGGCGGTCCCAGCAAAGAGGGGCATGAGGAGGGCGTCCGTGGGCGACAGGCCCTCCATGATGCGCTGCTCGTCCTCATCGTCGTCGTCGTCGTCTTCGTCGTCGTCATCGGCAGGGCCGGGTTTGTTCTTTTTCTTAATGGGTTTCGCCGCCGTCGACGGTCGTGTCAGCGAGGCATGGGCGCCCGCGTATATGGGGAACAGGGCTGCGACGATCAGGTGTATGTACGTGGGTAGCATTGGCTGGATGAGCGAGAACTCGTAGGCGGCCCGCCCAAGGAGCTGGGCCCAGAGACGTGGGTCGGAGTCGGCCATGGACGAGAGCAAGAGCTATGGCAAACGCGTAAAAGGCGGTGGTGGTGGTGGTGGTGGGGTGTTTCACACGCGCACAATGGCAATTGCCAGCGCGAGTGCGAGCGCACGGGGTTGGGCGGGAGGCTGAAAGAGAGTTGAAAGGAGTCGGAAAACAAAAGTTAAACCAGAGAATGGCGACTGGACATGGCCTGAGCCGCGGGCGGGTGAGACAGACAAAGCAAGGTGCTAGTAGAGTTTGGGGGTTTGGAGTTTGGAGCTTGTTGCAGCGGCGCAGCTGCAGTTCCCCCACGTAGCCGTTCGGCAGCCGATCAATGGGGGCGAGCCTCGCTTCTGGGCGATCGACCTCCACGTACCGGGCCCTTGTCTCCAGATCGGCCCATCCACACATGTGCATTTGCATGCGCGGGACCTTGCATGCTCCTCTTCACCGCCTGCCATGCTCCTGATCCGAGTGGGATTCCGTGCTACATGGCACACACACACACAACAACCCATGAGCGACATCAACATGCACATGCATCTGGACAAGCGTGGTGGTGCGCAGAGTGTTTGTATTGCTACGCAGACGGTCGGTCTTGGGTTCCATGTACAGTTGTCCTCCTCCTCGTATACCAATGTAGTTCTCTCTCTCTCTCTCTCTCTCTCTCCTGCAAGCACCTCGTCTTCTCTCCTCCTTGTTATGTACAAATGGCTCTAGGCTAAATCCTCCTCCAATCGTGTAATGCATATGCTCGTCAAATGCGAGGAGCCAATAGAAGCAAACCATGGTAACAAAGTAAGCGCCGAATAAAGTTGAGCCCAAGCCAGGCATGTCGAAAAAGAATAAAGCAAAACCCTCCATCTGCCAGATTGCTCCCCCGGCCAAACCCAAAATCATCAAAGGATATTTTGTATGCAAAAAAAAGTGAAGAAAAAATAAAAATAGAAAGGGAAAAAAGAAAACGGGAAAAAAACATGTCAGAAGCTGGTAAAGAAGACGTCATGAGCTGCGGCCAGACCAGCTGACGGTAAACATCCTGGTTAGTGTATCAAACCGGCAAAGAACCCCCCCAACGCAGACGCTAGTAAAACAAAGAAGAGAGACAAAACGGGCCTAGGGCTCAACAGGGCGTAAGGCGTGTGTTGGAGACATTGTAGTCTCGTAGCATGTCAAACGACATGCCGTCGACGTGGACGCGCTGGTGCGACTCGACGTAGACGTCATGGGCGTTTGCTAGGGCAGCGGCTTCCCAGGGCGAGAGGGCTGTGGTGCGCTTGGTGCGGATGTGGGGAGGCGTGACGGCGGCAATGACGCGCTCTTTCATCTGAGGCGTGATGGCCGTGGGACGCTTGCAGTCAAAGTAGGACGAGGAGGCGGACGACGAGGAGAAGGAGGGTGCCGAGGTGGCCGACAAGGATGTAAGCTGTGGCTGCGAGAGGTGGGATGAGGGGTAATCGTCGTAATCCGGTTGCGCGGATGAGGGACTGGGTAGTGCTGACTGATGCGGGAACGTGAACTGCTTGGCCGTGGCCGGCTCAGGCTCCTGCTCGATTGGCGTCGACGAAAACAGAAACGATGAGCCATTTTGGGAATCCTGGTAATAGCTCAGAACCGAGGGCGTATGGGTGGTGGTGGTGGTGCTGACCTTGTCGAGCGAGAGACGGTGGTGGGAAAAGGCGATTGACTCGTCGTCGGTGTCATCATCGGTCGAGCTCCAGGCAGAAAACTGGCTCTTGAGGGGAGCTCGGATCGGGGGAATGTCAATGAGGCCAGGCTTCTCGACTGGCCGCCTGATGGTTGAGCACGACACATGCGAGGCCTGGGCGGCATAGGACAAATCAGGACACGAGCGCGGCGACAGCGGTGACGAGGCGTCGGGGCCGGGCTGGTAGGTGGGAATCGACTGTAGCTGCTGCTTGATGAACTGGGCCAGGTTGGCGGAATAGTCTCCTAGCGTGGGCGAAGGGTTCCGGACAGGCCCGCCCTGGTCATGTGCGACAACGGTCGTGGTGCTCCGGTCCGTGGCATCAGAAGGCATGCGCGAGTGCGAATGCACGTGGCGGACCTCACCAAAGGGCGCGGGCCGGTCGTGGGGCGTGGGCACGGCGGCGAGCTGCTGCAGAAAGTGAAGGTGCGATGCGGCGAGTAGGAAACACAGTTGGGCAATGGGCCAAAAGCAAGGGTGCGGGCGATCGCCGGCATGGCCCTCGACAGACACAAGAGACGCTGGCTCGCGGGCTGCTGAGACACTGACTGGTGGTGGTGCAGTCGACATGACGTTCGCAGGCCATGCACGGCAATGACAGGACGGGCCTGCGGATTGGCCGCGACGCCCAAAACACCAGCGGGATGCGGCAGTAGGGCCACGGCGCCATCCAGGGGTACGCGATAGTTTGTCCTTCTTTTTCGCCCTCTGCCCACGACCCATGTCGCCCCAGCCCATGTCGCCTGTCCACTGTCCAAGTCTCTAAGCGTCATGTGCGCATGCCAACAAGAGCCCTTTCTCGCACGCCTGCCCGCCTGCAGTGCCGCCCGCCCACTCATATTGCGCCCTCGCCCAGCCCGCTCTCACACACACACATTCACTCAACCGCCCACACACCACACACCCACACACACCCACACACACCCACACACGCAGCCGTTGTTCCGCTGCTGCCAGTGCTGCATAGTCGCCCTCGCCCGCGTCTGCTTCTTTGCTTCTTCTGCTTCTGCTTCTTTGCTTCTTCTGCTTCTGCTTCTAATTGCGCCTCGCTTCTCCTGCCCCGCTGCGCCATACTAGCCCTACACTAGCCCTACCTGGTCAGCCTGCTGCTGCTCGACCCTCATATACCACGTCTTCCGCGGCTGCCACGGCCATGTACTAAGCCCTCCCCTCACCTGCACACCACCACTACTCCTCCTCCTCCTCCTCCACCACCACCATGGACTACATGCACCACCGCCAGTCTTCGCCCGGCCCGCGCCCTGCCAGCCCCCGCCGCAGCATGCAGAGACAGAGGAGCAACTCGTTTCCCATTATCGAGGCCTTGGGCTGCACAACACCAGAGGCTCGTCTGATCCTGGCCGAGAGCAGAGCAGCCGTTCGCAAGCGCCGCCGCCGCCGCAACCAGTCGGTCGAGGAGGCCACGCGCGCCTTCAACCCTCGAGAAGCCTTGCCACTGACACCTCGTCGTCGTCTGAGTGGGCGCTCGCTGCCTGCTGCCCGCGGTGCCCTTGCCTCTGCCTGCCTGATCAGCGCACACGCACGCACACACACGCACACAAATACGCATGCCCGCCATTACTCACAAAGACACGGGCGCTGATGCCCCCGCCGCGTGCGCTGCCGCTCGGCGTTGCGGGTGCGAGTACAGCGGCGGGTGGTGGTGCTGGTGGTGGTGCTGGCGAGTGCTGGCCGGGTAGCGACTACGAGGGCGTCTTAGTCGTGGGCGTGGTTCGGTGGCGCACGACCAGGGCGGGCGGTGGCGCTAGCAGGCGCGCTAGGCCCAAGGCAGGCCATGCACAGGCACGAGGGCAAGAGCAGAGAGAACAAGAAAAGAACAGAACATTTTGCCAGCCCATGGCACTTTCCCCTTCGGCCCGACCGCAGCGAACGCCAAGCTGGGCAGAGGCTGTGCACCGCATTGCTTGCAGCGCCAAACGAGCCCTGGACGGCCTCATCTCGTAATCCGTAATGCCCGGGTGGAGAGCCTCAGGGCACCCCGCCGAGGTGGCGCCTCTGCTGTGCTGCTGCTGCTGCTGCTGCCTGACACCCAGCGAGACAACACCACAACACCACAACGGCCCGCCACCTTCACGACACTACCTTCACACACCATGCTAAACAACACGACACTACGCTCTGCTACACAACGCCCATCCTGCGACTGCCTTGTCTCTGCTAACTCTGCCAGTACGCCGCCACCCTCGCCTTTCAACACCCTCCTTCACCACTGCCACACGCCCCCTGCACACCCACACACACACACACCACCTGGCCGCTGCCAATGACTGCCATTTCCGCCATCTCGGCTGCTTCACGGGCCCTGCGACAGCTTTGGTCACAGAAACATCAACAACACCGTGGCTGAATTTTTTTTTCCCGATTGACATCATTCGCCCTGCTCGCTTGCGACACCATCCCTGCACGTCACCAGCCTGCTTCACCAGCCCCAACTCTGTTCCCTTTCACACACCCTCGACAATCACAATTCGCTTGTTTCCACTCGCTGTTTCCCAGATTGCCGCTCCTTCCCCCGATGCCCCGCTGCCCTCGTCGCCTCTTGCCTGTTTCACCACCCAGTCCCAACACAAACACTCATCAGTCAGCAACACATCACTCGCCTCGCCTCGCCTCATCCCCTCACCACCTATCCTGACAAGCCCTCCGCCAACGCCTCGCAAAATCCCCGTCCTGTCATGCGCATCGCGGCCCCATAGGGCACGAGCACCCTTCCTTTTCCGCCTCGTTCCGTACCGCCCCGTCAATGCCCCTTGGCCCATACACGCTCGGTCTGGTCTTGCTCTCACTCTTGCCTCTGCTTTTCCTCGTCGCCCGCCATCTGGCAAAGCGCTCACGCCAGCTGCCATGGACCATCGACGATACCCTGCTACTACTCGCCCTGGTACCATCGGCCCTTTGCTCTAACAACGACTGCCGTATTGACGTTATGCCGCCAGCTCTTCCAGTACATTGTCGTGGCCATGTTTGCATTTTGCATGTCACTCCCTGTGTCTGATACTGTCATTGCTAATGCCATGGAGCCATGGCCGCTAGTCTCGTCCGTCGTCACATAATCACCGTCACCATGGACGACCTCAGGCTCGCTCTCATCGTAAGGCCAAGCCTTTTATTTTATTTTGGTCTTGCCCGCCCGTAAGCTGCTTACAGGCACAGATACTCTGGCTATTCCACATTCCCATGGCCATCAGCATCGCCATGTCGCGTTGTGCAATCCTCATCTTCTTCCTCCGCACCCTGTACATCCGGACATATACTCGCCTCAGGCACCTTGGTACTGCAATATGCCCAAGATGGTGATGCTACAATCAGACTGTTGTTGATCCGTCGTTAGCACACATTTGCATTCTTCTTGCAGTCCTGTTGGGACTCTTGTCTGTCGTCATCACGTCGCTCCACTGCCGCCCCGTGCGATACAACTATGCGTTACCACATGAAGATCCAAACCACTGTTTCCGATTGCGGCCTTTTGTGGCGTCGATCGCCGTAGCGGGTATGGCCTTGGACGGTCTCACCTGGTACATGCCCCACCGCGTGGTCTGGAACCTCAAACTCGATGTATCCCACAAGCTGGCCATCTCCTTCATGTTTGGCCTCGGACTCTTCAACATAGTCATTGGTGGCCTGTGTACCGACTCTCTTCCCAAGGCGGCTTCGAAACGCGACATTACCTATTTCATGGGGGAGAGTCTAATGTGGGCCGTTGCCCAGATAAGCACTGGGATCATGGTCAACTGCTGTCCACTGTTGCGTCCTCTCTTTGACCGGCTTCTCCCGCACCGAATTGTCTTCGCCAACCAGAGGCCTAAAGCTACCTCGAAGAATACACGGTCCTTGCGCTCTCCGGATGATTGCCAAACAACAGCGGCTCCACTGGCAGATGAGAACGCGAGCGCGTCCATAACAGTGACTACTAATATTGCTATCCGAAATGGTACACGCCTTCCACAACCACTAGAAGAAGCTCGCGGCGGACAGATGGGCCCGACGTTTGATGTCGAGAAAGGGCCTGCAGGCTATGCAAAGTGTCGGGGGTATAGTAGAGTAGGTGGTTGTGGATGCTGCGGTGAGGCGGATAACAGTTGAAGCTTGGTAGACCTGTGTCCATGTATACTGTAGGTCAGTATTGTTACTGTTAAACAGGGTCCATGGCTTTTTACTTTGTTGCAACGACTAATTTACTCTTCGAGTGTAACGACATAACTAGACCATCCTGCAGCATATAGTTGTACTACTCGCTTACCCCGCAAAGCCACGACTTCACGAAACACGTTACAAAAGTCAGGCCCATCCAACCCCAGCTGTCCACGACTATTCTCCCCCGCCGCAAAAACGGCTCTCTCGCCCTCGCACTCGGCCGCCACTAGCACATGGCCATGTCCAATGGCAACATCATAGACGCTCGCCTCGGCCCCATGAATCCTGACATCCACTACCTTGACAAACTCATCCTGTTCTTCTTGTTGTTGTTGTTGTTGTTGTTGTTGTTGTTGTTGTTGTTGTTGTTGTTGTTGTTGCTCATGTCCTCCTTGGTTTCTCAACAAAAGCAACTCACCGCTTCCCCCAGGACATGGCATACCCCAGAGAAACAGCTCTCCCTGCTCACTGAGCGCACCGCTCATATAGCCGCCTGAGACGACTTTTGTAACGCGTGTTTCCTCTAGATAGCGTATGCGCGCTAGGCGCCATGCTGCCGATGCGACCGCCGCCGCACCGCCGCCGCCGCCGCCATGACCGCCGTGCTCACCGCCATCATAACAATGATTATAATAGTCGATCGTCTCGCGCTGGCCCCCGTATTCGTATCCCTCGTAATCATCATGCTCCCAATTATCCACAGACGGCTGCCGACGGCCAAGACACGCCGCGAACCGTGTATCCGACATAGAGTTGAAGCTTGTCCATACGTGCTGCTGAGCTGCGTCGAGCACTGTTGTAGTTGTGGCGTTTGCGACTACTTGGTCGAGTCGTGGTGGTGGTGTTATTTCCCGTGCTATTGTCCTTCTTAATGTTGGTGTTATGGAATCGGCTGCAGTAGTTGTATGAGTAGTGTGAGTAGTAGGCCGAGTAGGACGAGAGTCAGTGTTGCCAAGAAGCCACTCGCGCAAATGCCCGATATCAGGCATGCATAGCATGGTTAGGCTTTCCCCGTCGGCTGGGGATATAGAGTTCCTGCTGCTGCTGCTGCTGCTGCTGGTTGCCGCGGTATTTGAACATGCTGTGACCGAGGCATTTGAACATGCAGTGGCATTTGAACATGTGGCTGCGGCATCTGAAGCTGAGACTGAGCCTGAGACTGTTGCCGTGGTGGTGGTGGTGCTGTGTGTCTGCCTCGTCTGCAGCAGACAAACGAGTACCGTGCCATTATCGAGTATCTTGATATCCACAATCCTCCTCTTACTCCTCCCATTATTATTATCACCATCACAGCTACCGTGACTGAAGCGGTAAACCTGCGTCTCCAACACCCCCATCCTCTCAACCTCAATCTCTGACCCAAACAAAACTACCACATCCTCATCTTCCTCTTCCCCATCGTCCTCGTCATGCTGCGGGAACCTCGCGGGAACAAGGTAGCCCTGCAACCCAAGATGCATTGCACCACCGAAAAACACAACATGGCCCTGTTCTCTTTCCTGTTCTTGTTCTTCTTCCCGTACATGTGCGTCTCCGTCCCCCGGCCCTGGCGCTGGTATCTGGGCAAGCCGCGCTCTGAGCCGCGCATCCCGCTGTAAATGTTGCTGCTGTGTCCCCGCCAGTGCCGTCCCGCTGTATGTCAGACGCCACGACGCGTGTGTGTGCGGGCGCCGCGCAACCACCGCGTCGCACCATGACGCCCAGAGTATGCGTATCGTTGCGTCGACGATTGCATCGCCGGATGCTTTGGCTTCACGCGCGTCTTGCGCGCGGGATGTTGCTGGTAGCGACGTCGAAATCCTACTACTGCTACTACTACTACTACTACTACTACTACTATCGCTACTGTCGTTGTTGCTATCGCGGTTGCTATCGCGACGACCAGGATGCGGTCCAACGCCAAACCTCCAAAGACGCATACTTTATTGATTTTCCGGCCTGGGTCCCTGGAATAACTATCTGTTATCGTTTGTTACCCTGGATCTGCCAATGATGTAATTTATCGGAGTTTGCCCGTATTGGGAGTGTAGTTTTCCCCGGGAGTGTTGCGTTAATATGTGAGGTAAGTATCGTATGTATGTGTGTGTGTCCCTTGTCGTTTGTCTTGTCTTGTATTATTTTCTTTCCTTTTTTTTCCGGGCTTATTTCCGTTCGGGCATAACTCATGTACAGTAAGTCAGGGAAGAAAGATAGGTTGTCGTTTCCAGCGTGTATCGGTGTCGGTGTCAGTGGACGCTTATCTATCGGCGTGCATGTCCGGGTACCGAGCGCGTGGTTGAGATAGATGGAGAGGGGGGGGGGAGGCGACGGAGGGACATGACTTGGGGTGAGGACGACAAGCGAGTACAAGCCGGCCGTTTTCTGACAAATCACACGAGGGAAGGGTGATCGTCGATGAAGAGATGTGAAGCATTAGGTGTGTGGGGAATCCAGCATGAGCAAGGGAAGACGAAGATGGGGGGTCCCTTGACTGTGTGTGCGTATATGCGGGGGGGGGGGACGGGACAGCGAGCACGTGCCGCAACAAAACCCGTTGTTGGTGAGACACTCAGAATGGTTTCAAGTGGAGGAAAATCAAAATCCGGCCGACCCAACAAGAAGGAAAAAAAAAGAGCACATGGCCATGTTCGGAGATTTTGTTGCTGCCAAGAGGACGAAGAAGAAATAAGACGTACGCGGCTTTTGCGCTGGCAAAAAAACGTCAGTGCCAAGATGTGCAATGGGATAAAAGTAACGCGACAGAGGCAGCGAGAAAGACAATGAGAAAGGTGACGCGAGAAGCGCAATGACCGAGGGTGAGAAAGAGATCATGTGCGTGTGTGTACGTGAGATATGGAGCGAGAAAATAGAAATAAAGTTTGCGCAAGCAAAGTTAAAATGAATACTTTACTTACTTACTGTATCTTACTTACGTATTACACATGTCTAGCACGCCGTCATATAGCATCGCGATGCATGCCTGTTGGGGGGCGCGGTCCCACTGTTGTAAGGGCTGAGGGAGCTATATCTGGTATGGAACAGGGGAAGTAGGTAGGCCACGGTAAGTGCCTGATTGTGTTATGCACTTGAATGCTACCTTTCTCTGCTACCTCGTTAACCCAAGGCAACGGTTAGGGACGAAAGACATTGAGATTTGAAAAAATAAACAAATAGAGTCTCAAGACGGATGAGCCAGGCTCGTAATGGCACCGACCGCGATCCTGGCCATGCATGTAATATGCGGATACAAGGGCAAAACGGAAGGAAGCCCGAGTTCGATTAAGCTTTTTTCGTGCCTGAAAATCTTCGTTGGTATGGAAAGTTTAATCGACCCTTCCTCTGTCTAGACCGCATCACGTGGGCTGGCGTGAGTAGAGTTGCTGGTGGGTCGCGCATCGATATCTCCCTCCGTACACGACGACTCTTCTTCTCGAAGCGAACCAAAAAGAAAAAAAAACTTTCTTTCTTTCTTGGCTTCTTCCACTGCCAATCTCCCATCACAGCACCCAATGCCACTTCATGCCCAAGCGCTGGAAAAAGGAAAACAACGACCTTTTGGGCACGTACCCTGCATACCGAGCCTGCCACCATGACGCAAACGAACCTGCCATACCGCAAATAACAGACGTTAGCAGAAGAAAAACTGGAACTTCATCCGTCACAAGCACAGACGGAGACTCCCCCATGACGACATGGGGCACGCGTGTGTGTGTGTGTGTGTGTACGACGACGACCGGGAGACTTACCTGCAGCGGGCCCCAAGTCGGCGAAACCAAGGGCGTCGAGAACCCATGGTGCGAGGAGGGCTAGCACCCCGAGTGCAACGACGGTGCTGATGACTGGGTGCTCGATGACGAAGCCCTCGATTTCAGCTACGGCTGACACGGCGCGCTGGTATGCCGAGTTGACGCTGGGACCGAGTTTCTCGTGCGCTGTTTGCAGGACCTGCGCGAGCTTGTCGAGGATGAGCTCTGCGAGGTGCTGGCGCCAGCCATATGCACCGACTTTGGAGTCGAGCTCCATGCGCAGCGCGGGGCCGCTCGATGAAGTCGTGAGTAGAGTGGCGACGACGTCGTTGGCTGTGGCGACTGCGACATCATGGGAAAGCAGCGACGCTTTTTCGTCGCATGGCGGCGTGGCGTCGGGCTGGCGGTGGTGATGTGCACCGCAGGGCAAGCATGCGACCAAGGCTAGCAGGCGATCGAGCGCCATGTTTGCGAGAAAAAGCTGTTTTGTGGCCTAAAGTCGCACTCCGGCGTGTTTGTGCATGCGATAAGTATATATATCTGGTGTTTTAGCGCCCGGGTCCCGCGCTGGCTGCGCCGCATGCAGTGAAAGCTGCTTGAGTCGTACAGTCTTGTCCAACCAACTAACCCCTATTCGGAGTTTCAAACGACTGGCTGTAGCAGTTGCCGCTGATGCACAGTTGGTCGGGTGACTATACGCAGGCTGCATGGCTGACGGAGGCGGTATGTAGAACCAAGAGGTGATTGGCTTGGACGTGAGTGAGTGGCTGCGACCTGAGTGACAAGGCTGAATTATGTGCTTATTGCATAATCTTGCTTGATTAGCGGATAGACGGATAGGTGGAAATGGTGATTCGAGCATTGAGCGGTATGAACGCATGTATGAGTGGATGATCTCTATGTACGTTATACGTATGGATGGAAGTGTTGTGTACAATGCTTTACCTAGTTTTGTTCTTCAGCTTCACTCTTTAGAGGTGTAGAGGAATCACGAATCACGAATACTTTACCAGAACCAGGATATCCTAGTAATATGTAGTATCGAAGAGACCGAGGGAACGTGGCGTGAAGCTGAATCGAGTACATGATTTCCGCTACGTTTGAGCAGCAACAAATCCAAATTCCACATCCCTTTGTTCTTCTTCATCTTCCCAAACCCACACATACACACATATCCGCTATTCAAATACAAATCTACACACACACACACACACACACACACTCTCTCTCTCTCTCTCTCTCTCTCTCTCTTCTTCTTCTTCTTCTTCTTCTTCTTCTTCTTCCCAGCATCACCGCAAGCCATTTCCCTAGACTAAAAACACACACTACTTTAGCAAACAAGTCGAATGAAAACTCATAGATAATAGCATGCAAAAATAACAGGCCCCCTACGTCTCACAACCATGCTCATTCCAGATCCTGGAAAGAGCTTTAGACATACAAATACGTACGGCAACTGAGATGTGAAAACTGGAATGACGCCACACTGCTGTGTATTCAAAGAATTGCGTGCTTTTTTGTATCTTGGCTGTGTAGTATTTTTACATGGGATGAGTGTGTTCTTGACACTGTTGTAGTAGTAGTAGTAGTAGTAGTAGTAGTAGTAGTAGTAGTAAGTAGAATCTGTCGATATATCCCGTGTTATTATGATTAAGGAGTGATATAAAATTCGATTCAGGAATAGAGGAGAAATGGAATAGAGTGTTATAGTACACTTGATAAATAAAGCAGTTTGTTAAAGGGGAAAACAAAAGAAAAAATTCCCCATATGGCTTGTGAACTGGAACAGCATGCTAGATACTGCTACACCTTGTCGTTACAGTACCTGCAAGAGAAAAAAAAGGTGCTGTTTGGCATACATAGCTGGCGTGTGTGTGTGTGTGTTTGTGTGTGTGAAAAGAAGGTGGATAGTGTGGTGGATATTCGGCTGGGCTTGTTATTGGGATATATGGGATTGGTGGGGGAAGATAGGAGAGAGAGAGAGAGGGGGGGTTGAGATGTAAATATAGTAAGGTAAAGGTAAAGAGGATGAGATGGCGATAAGATAGGGAGAGGGAGAAGCTTTAGTTTCCCACTTTGTCATTTGCCATATCGAACAGACCCCCCCCCCCTTCCCGCTCAAAGACCAAAAAAAACACCAACGTATTGTAATACCCAATTCCATACCCATATCTACTCTGCTTATCTGAGTCAGGTACCCCTCCTTCCCCCCCCCCTTTCTTTTTTGTTGTGGAATGACAAATCCAAGAAACACAAAAAATGGCTATTTTATTTTTGGGATTTACAAATAGAAGAGATCAAGCTCATCATTATCCCAAACTCGTACTGCGTGATCTGCAGGAGGGAGAGGAGGGAGGGTAAATGCTTGTTGGGTTTGAAACGAGGGCTGCGGATGTGGAATGGGTGGACCTGGTTTTACTTTCGACAACGGCTGTGTTCGTGGCGGTGGTGTGGGGCATGTGCGGGGATGGATGGACGGGTGGGTTTTGGAGAAGAGGGTGAGGGTATTAGCTCGGTAATGTGGCTGTTTCTGGGTATTTTTAGACTGGAGTACTGTCTGCATGGTGTCTATGTGTGTGTGTGAGAGGTACAAGATATAATACTCCGCTGCTGACATCTATCACGTACGCTATTCCACTGTAAAGTCCGTTGAAATCACGGATAGAAGTAAATCAACACACACGTGACAAGGTAGTGTGCATAAAAAGCGCTTGCTAACCCAAGCTGCTCTACTCGAGAGAGCAAAAGATTCGACAGAGGCAAACACCAACTCATCTACGGCCGCTTAGGCCCAATGCCAAAGAAATCCGGCATATAGCCATGCACCCATACCTTTTGCCTGACCATGTGTCTAAAGTAATCCTCAAACGTGCACCCCATGATGAGCACCACCCATACGAATCCCAGCAGGCGCCAGCGAGCTGAATCTCTGCACCCCAGTTTCTTGCCGAGAGCGATAACGTGGTCTTCCACCATGATGATGGCGGCCTGGGTGAGGAAAAACCGCCATGAGCCCGTGTCGTCCCATGAATGAGCAATCATCATGGAGCCAAACGCATGTACGGCGCCTGTAATGGTAAAGGCAGCAAACAGCTGCACGTACTTGGACGCAAATGAGCCCTTTTTCAGACCTAGTCCATTCCGCGCAAGCCACAGACTGGGTGCGGCGCATAGCCTGCGACACTGCTGGTGCCAGACGGACGACCACGCCTGGCGGACGCTCCAGAGATCGCGGAGGCGGCCAAAGCCTGAGGGGCAGTCACGCGGGTTGGCAAGGCCAGAGGATACACTGATGATGGCGTACAGAGTGTGCATGATTTCGAGGTTGACGAAACAGATGATGATTTGCACCCATGCGTACCAGAAGCGGATGTGGAACATGGCGGGGTCCGCGGGCAGGAGCTGTACGAATTTCTGGCCGGACTTTTCCAGAACCTCGAAAGTGCCGTAGGGAGAGGCGGCCGAGTGGCATACAATGATGTCGTTGCAGATGTAGAAGATTGCCAGGCGCAGCGTTTTGCGGGCGATGAAGAGACTGTGTATCGTTAGTTTTTAACGTCGAAGAGAAGGCGGATGCCAGGGAAACGTACAGACGAGGATAGTCAGAGGGGACTTCCATATTGATGTTTTTGACTTGGCAGCTCCATCCCACGTATCGGTTTGTAACGGACAGACGGGCACCCCACCACATGCGGCTCCAAAAGGTAGTTCCAGCGCCACCGGGAATGATTTCATATCTCTTTCTCGGCGCTACCGCCTTCCCGTTGCCGTTCATCTTGCCGTTTGCCGTCTCATCCTTCTCTTTCTGCAGTGCAGCACCTTTTCCATAATGGATCTTGTACCATCCTTCCCTGTCTGGATTCGACAGCAGAACCCGATCTATCCAATCAAACATCATGGCAAAACTCAGGCATTCCATGGCGTAGCGATGCCCCCATTGTATATCCCATTGTCTGTACCAAGACTGCGCCATGAACAGAAGAAGTATCGGGAAACTAATGGCGACACGCGCGACTTGATGCTCAGGTCCCACTGCCAGCGCAGCCATGTTGTTGAGATAAAGGATAGGGAATTGGAGCGCCAGAAGGACTGGCGGCAGCTCCAGCGACAAGGCCATCCTGCTGCCCTCCCACCGAGACAAAAATTAAAAGAATGAGGCAATGACTGGCGGATACACGGTGGGAACGTCAGCTTGAATATATCCTCTCTCGGCTCTTCTCTTAACGTACGTACGTTGAGACAAGGTTGCCGGTGGTGCTAGCCAATGCGGTCTAGGGGACAGGCCTCCGTCCGTGCAGGCGCGGAACCAATGGTGACATGGCCAGTACATTAGTGTGAGCGAGGGGCTCCACAATGGTCAGCTAGCTTCAGAGTTAAATGTTGCCGTGTGGATCACCAGCGCCAAACTCAACCTCATGCCATCTTATCTTGGATGACTGTACACGAAGTGGCTAGGCCCGCGCAGACGTGTAGTAGTCAAATGCCTGCCGAGGCAGTTCGTAAAGGTGATAGCACATGTGGAGGGGCGCTCAGCCGGAATGTAGAGAGACTTGGCCCGACGCAAGGGTCCCGGGTCATCAGCGTGTCAGCTTCCGCGTACCATGCCACTACACGTATGACAACCGGATGCTCGCGGGCTTGAGTTGAGACAAATGGTCTGGGAATCGAGTGTCTGTACCATCGTGTTCGTTTCATAATGACCCCTGCAGCCGTGATCGTGTTAATGGAATTGTCCTTTATATGTTCAGGCCTACCAAGAACTCCACTTCTTTACCTGAAATATCGAAACAATAAATCCAAAGCCAGTTCCCGAAACATTCCCCATGCAAATCATCAGTGGAAGGATCCGGATAGTACGGCAATTATACAGGCTTGTCTGAATTATTTGGGATTGCCGTGAAACAATCCAAGGTCAACTAGCCCTCCACCTAGGCAGGTCAATGAGTGCAGGATCCAGACGTATGATTGGGTACACAAGTTTCATAAAGATTTGGATAGAATGGTATCATTAGAATCCTCTATTGTTGGCCGTAACGAGTCGGAGAAGTATAGACAGTTGGAGGTGGTAGTTGCCGTCCGGAAGCAAAGTCTGGACAACCTCAACCCAGGTCGTGTGCGCCCAACTGACTATACCGACATGTCCTCCGCCCGCCATTCTAAAGTTGTACATCTTGAAAGCTTTCACCGTTATCGTCATCTTCGACAGATGCCTGTCCCGGTTTTGTTCTTTGGGGTAGACTAGCCTCTACTGCTTTTTCGTCGCTTGGCTCAGGCTCCGAGTCGTCTTGTTCGCTTTCGTCTTGCTTATTCACCTTTTCAGACTGTGATTTGGAGTTTTCTGCTTGGGCCCTTTGCTCCTCATGTCCCTTGGATTCCACAGAGCTTCGTCCACTCTTCTCGCTCACATCGTCTTTGGGCGGAGGGCGTGGTGGTGCTGCACCGTCCGTGTCACGCTCTTGTCTGGATTGCTCCGGGGTGGGCGGAGTGACCTCGGTCCTGGGGCTTATGACTGGACTTCTTGGCTGTTGCTGTTGCGGTTGTTGTTGTGGTTGTGCTGGCTGCTGAGCTGGCTGCTGTGAAGAACCCGCACCAACACTTCGTAATCGTGGATCGGCGTTGAGGTAGTAGCCCCTGACACCGACGATTCTTCCCTCTCTCTCGCACCCTATGACCCAGTCTGGTACCACGACGGGAATGTTGTTCTCAACCGCCTTTTCCCATGCCGGCCCCCTGCCCTCTGTGCAGATAAAGTGTGTTGTGTCGATGCGGACCGTGTCGACAATCTTGGCACCGATTCGCTCGACCGATCGCTGCAGAGATTCGCGAAGCGCTGCAGGCATGTGGCCGGGCGTAATGGTGATGCCTGACAGATCTGTCATCTTGTGTGTGTGCACCTTGAGCCTCTCGCTGCTGAATGTGCCGGCGCTAGTCTTGAGGACGAGATGGAATTCGTATTCCGTGTCGACGGCCATGCCGCTCAATTTGGTGCTGTGCTGGTCGCCAGGTTTGGGTATTGTGCCTGCCTTGTTTCCATTGCGGTAGAGCGTCAGGCTGCGCAGTTCGGCGGTCGCGATGTCGATGGGGTCCCATTCGAGGACGACTGAGGTTTGTGTGGCATTGCGGCACTTGAGGACGGGCGCTGAAGGGGTGCGCTGACCAAAGGTGCGGTAGATCTCAGACTGCAGCTCATGGAAAGCTTTCTGGGCATCGGCTTCGGCTTTGTAGTTGCGGCCGACATCAATGTCGACCATAGACCCGGAGGAGATATCTGGCGGAAGCAATATGGAGGGGAACTCGATCTAGATTGAGGTTAGCCAGAGTGAATTGCAAGGGCGTCGCAAGGCATTGAGGGGACCCACGAGGCGTTTGTCTTCGGTCAGCAGCACAGCCACTCCGGCGTCAACCTTACCGACTGTGAGAGAGACGAGCATCTTGGGCGCGAGGGGATGAGGCTGGTGGGTGAGAGAGACGTGTTGGGTTGGATGGCTGGCTCAGCTGCCGCGTACCTGAGCATCACTGGGCGGGCCGAGGATTTGCCGTGGCAGGGGTTAGCGCCAGAGATGGAAGTATGGTAGACGCCCATGATTGCGGTTTCTTTACACAATTAGCTACCAGGGCTTGGTGGCACAAAGCGCAAGACGCTGGAGAAGAGATGTAGGCCTATTTGACAGGTTCGACTTGTCTGCCAACACGTGACGCGCTGGAATGCAGCTCAGTCTGTCGCTTTTCTGCTCACGTGCTGCTGGGACTCTCGATACGACTGGCAACGAAGAGGCCGTGCCAGTAGAACATGGCACGCGAGAGACGACTGGATGCCTGTGGTGGAGTGCCTAGTCATGTATCGGTTTCTCCAAACTGCATCTGCCCTGCAACCCGCATTAGTCAGCAGACGCGTCACGTGAATGGGCGTCTGGGGCGACACTGCGCAGCACATGGCATGGATGCAGGCCGGTACGCCAGGTGTCGCGCATGCGGCCCTGCACCAGCACCAGCAGCGCGACGCAGCGACAGCGCCGAGTCCAGACACGGCGGGGGATTTGCTGTCACCACTCAACTCCACACCCTCGCCCAGGGCTGCGGCCAGCGTGTCTGAGCGCGAGCCTCTCCCACTCGCAGCGGCGATCGGTGATGGAGGCAGTGGGGAAAAGGGCCCGCACTAACGACTCCATGGCCGTGGCTGCTTCCTCAACACTTTGCCAGCACCAGCACCAGCACCAGCTCTACACCACCAGCAGGCATCGTTTTGGCGCGCAAATCGAGCGGTGAAAGGCGCGGCAGGCAAAGCAGGGCCTGGACAGGGCAGCCCGTGTCGGTCTTGTCGCCGCCCGCATCTGGCCAGAGGATTCTGCGGCTCTGTCGACAAGGGCCGTGGGCGTGAAACCGGGCAGACGAGGGGCATTAGGCCCAAGCGGGCCTACGCCAGCCGTTCGCGATAAGTCCCACCGGTGCAGCTGCAGGTGCAGCCATGCCTATGATGTATCGCGACTTCCTGCACGTCCATGGTTCGTAGTAGCCACCACCACCACCGCCCGCCTGCCCAAAACCCCCCCTCGCCTCGCCTCGCTCCCATCTGCTCCCCTCCCTCCCCTCCCCTCCCTCTATCTCTCTATTTCTCTTTCTCTCCCCCATACGCTCCATCTCCCTCCGCATTGCTCTGCCCGCCAATTGCTTTGCCCGCATCCATTACCGCTCTCTACCTACTAGCACCTTGGCTGTCTGATTACCCCATTGTTTGCCCCATACTACCTGCAGCCAGTTATTATCTCAACGCCCCTCCTCGCGCCGCCCGCCGCACCATCCTTCCCTTCACCCACTCCAGCGACACGGACGCTTAGTCGTACCGTCGCCCACGCTCCCAATGGTTCTCATTGAGAATCAGGTATACCTGTGCGAGGAGGAAAAACGCCTTAAGCAGGACCGCGAGCGCACCGCTTACTGGAAGCGATGGGGTCCCTATGTGGCAGAGCGACAGTGGGCAACAGTCCGCGAAGACTATTCGTAAGTGAAGATGCCGCCCTCGACGCTGCTTGCCGCTAACCACTCTTCTTCTCAACAGCCATGATGGCGATGCCTGGAGTCGTAAGTCGCTTTTTTTCTTTTTCACACTCACCGGATTTTGCTCATGCCTCTGCAGATTTCACCCACGACATGGCACGGTCGCGTGCCTACCGTTGGGGCGAGGACGGTATTGCTGGTGTGTCCGACTCGCACGGCTTTCAGAACATTGCTTTTGCTTTCTGGAACGAAAAAGAGTAGGCCGACCCTCTTGCTAGATCGCCAGGGTCCAGCTGACATTGTTACAGTGATTTCCTCAAGGAGCGACTCTTTGGCCTGTCAAATCCACAGGGTAACCACGGCGAGTCGCTCAAGGAGTGCCATTTCCACTTGGACAACACTCCCACTGTACGTTTCTCGTCTTTCTGATGCCATGTCGCTGACGTCATACACAGCACTCGTACATGAAATTTCTCTACAAGCTACCCCAGCGCAAATTCCCCTACGAAGATCTCATTGCGACCAATGCGAAGCGAACACGGCTCGAGAAGGAGTACAATCTGATTGACACTGGCGTCTTTGACGATGACCGATACTGGGATATCTTCATTGAGACTGCCAAGGAGGCCGACGACCCGGAAGAGCTGTGCTTTCGAGTTACAGCATACAACCGCGGTCCAGAGCCAGCCCCACTGCACATTGTGCCTCACTGCTGGTTCAGGAACACTTGGGCATGGGGCCACGAGGACCCGAAGCTGAAGCCCTCCATCACCAAGATTGGTCCCACGACTGCGCAGTCGAAGCACCACAAGCTTGGGGACCGCTACTTCCAGCTCTCGCCGTCTCCTGGCACCGGCCCAAGCGGCGAGGACATCCAGCCAGAGCTCCTCTTCACCGACAACGACACAAACTACGAGGGCCTGTGGAAGGTCGAGAACAAGACACCATATGTCAAGGATGCTATCCACCGCCGCATTGTAGACGATGAAAAGGGTGCTGTCAACCCCGCCAACACGGGCACAAAGTGCGCTGCATGGTACGCTTTTGACGAAGGCGAGGGCGTCCAGCCTGGCGAGTGTGCTGTAGTCCGCTTCAGGCTTTCACGAAAAGACGAGGGCTATCTCGACGAGGAGCTCTTCGACGACATCATCGAGCAACGCCGTGCCGAGGCGGACGAGTTCTACTACAGGATAAGCCCTCTTCCCATTGCAGACGACCTGCGCAACATCCAGCGCCAAGCCTTTTCTGGTATGATGTGGTGCAAGCAATACTACCACTTCATCTGGGATCAGTGGGCGAACGGTGACCCTAGCATGCCGCCGCCTCCACCTGGTCGCAAGGCTATACGAAACAAGGAGTGGAAGCACATGCATTTGGACGACATTCTCTCCATGCCCGATTCGTGGGAGTATCCCTTCTTTGCTGCTTGGGACAGCGCATTCCACTGCATTACACTTGCCATGATCGACCCCGACTTCGCCAAGAAGCAGCTCGATCTCTTTACACGCGAGTGGTACATGCACCCCAATGGCCAACTGCCGGCTTACGAATGGAACTTTGGCGATGTGAATCCTCCAGTCCACGCCTGGGCACTGTTCAGGGTGTTCAAGATTGAGCGCAAGATGTACGGACGTGAGGATTTTGACTGCCTCGAGCGAGTGTTCCAGAAGCTGCTGCTCAACTTCACCTGGTGGGTGAACCGAAAAGACGCAGACGGAAAGAACATCTTCGAGGGTGGTTTCTTGGGTCTCGACAACATTGGTGTCTTTAACCGTTCTGACCCTCTGCCGACGGGTGGTGTCCTTGAGCAAGCTGACAGCACTGGTTGGATGGGCTTTTACTGCCTGAACATGTTGAACATCTGTCTTGAGCTTGCCAAGAGACGTCGCATCTACGAAGACATGGCTTCCAAGTTCTTTGAGCACTTCCTCATGATCAGCGACGCCATGCAGTTCCGCAGCGAGGGCGAGTCAAAACCGCTGTGGAATGAGGAGGACGGCTTCTACTACGATGCCATCTCTTGGGGCGGCCCGTGGAGTCATCAGATGCCGGTCCGCTCTCTTGTTGGTCTGATTCCTCTCTACTCTACCATGACACTGGAACCAGAGATCATCAACCGATTGCCAAGCTTCAAGAAGCGTGTGGAATGGTTCATCGCCAACCGCCCAGAGACGTCCAAACGCAACATTCATACGCTGTCGAAGCGCGGCCAGGGCAACCGTATGCTGTTGTCGCTTGTCAACGAAGACCGCCTCAAGCGCATCATGCAGAGGATGTTGGACGAAGACGAATTCTTTGCGGACCATGGCATTCGATCGCTCTCAAAGTACCACAAGGAACATCCCTACTCGATGGATGTCAACGGCCAAAAGTATGAGGTTGCTTACCTCCCCGGTGACTCGGACAGTGGCCTCTTTGGTGGCAACAGCAACTGGCGAGGTCCCATCTGGCTGGCCGTCAACTTTTTGCTTATCGAGTCGTGCCAGAGATTCCATCTCTACTATGGCAACGAATTGAAGGTTGAATGCCCTACAGGATCCGGCGACTACATGCATCTCGGCCACGTAGCAGAGGAAATCCAACACCGTCTTCAGCATTTGTTTGCTCGCGGAGATGACGGCAGAAGGGCCATCAATGACGGCAATGAAATGCTCGACTTTGACCCCAACTGGAAGGATTACATGTGGTACCACGAGTTCTTCGACGGCGATACTGGACGTGGCTTGGGAGCAACACATCAGTGCGGCTGGACCGGTCTGATTGCAAAGATGATTCATGACACTGGGTAAGTTGGCTCATGTTGTACTGTGGCAAGACTAACGAGAAGCAGCATGACTTGTCGCCTCCCGCAGACACCGCGCACACCAACTGGTGCTGCCAGCCATTACTTTGATGATGTTTTCACGCCTGCAGGCAAGCCAGCCAAACGCCATCATCTCCGCCGGTCGTCGACAAGCCGTAGCATTGGCTTCCGAAGTGACTGGGGAGACACATCGACCAATGGCGAGGAAGAAGACGACGCAAACCCGGTGCAGCGCAAGAACTCTGTTGGTGTATTGGACCAGGCTGCGCTGGAGCAAAAGAGCGCAATGGAAGACCGCCTGCACCACTACGTCAGTGGACAGCTCCAGCGCATCAAGACGGGCATGCAAGACTACGAGCCGGACGAGTTTGAGGCGATGACGGATGGCGCCGACGATACAGAGCGCAGCAATGGCCAGAGCAACGGTCGTAGCAATGGACGGCGTGACCGCAGCGACTACTTTGAGCAGGACCCATACTTTAGCAAATAAGGCCATGGGGTATGCGAAGACGTCGAGTGTATGATGGGCGGTGGGTGGTAATTGGAAGTGTCAAGTTGTCAACTGGCGAGTAGCGCACTCTAGACCTAGCATAGACCTAGATCAAAACAGTATTGTTCAGTCTGTTTACCGTTATTTTTGTGCTTGTGTCTATGCATAGGCGTGAAATACTGCATTTGCCATGGGGACACAGAAGACGCATGCTCGGTGGAGGGGGCTAGCGCTAGCTGTCTCACGTGTTAGCGCGGTGGAGGTTGCGATGCTTAGTTGGGGCGGGCGATTGCGATTGTTTGTTGCGGGGTCTGGACATAACATCATCCTCCCTCGCAACCAAGCAGCCCCGACAACGCCCTTCGCACGCCTTGTCCATATCCGCGCAGGCTGAGTCGCCGACGAATTATTACCATTCTCGCTCTCTCTGCAACAGGTGCGCCCATGCCCCTGCCCCTTGGTTATGGCTCCAGTCCGCTGACCGTGTTGGGATGGCGAAGCAGATAGCAACACGCTGCACGATTTTCTGGAGACCAACAACACAGCAACAGTGCGAGAATGTCGGGATTCATAACTACCGTGTGGGTGCCCCTCTTAGCAGTCGACGTGGTCCATGGCCGGTACATGCTTACTCTGTTGATGCTGTAGTAACCCGCGAACGCGCGCGCCATTCAAACCACAAAAGTCGAACCGAGGCACAAGCAGCTGGCAGCTAAAACAGTATGCAGAGGCTACGCTTGGTAGCGGTAGCTTGAGGAAAGCGGTCAGGCTGCCCGAGGGAGAAGACAAGGACGAGTGGCTCGCAGTCAACGGTAGGCGTGCTGCTGGAGACGAGCTGGAGACGGGCTAATTGGCGAGGACAGTTGTCGACTTTTACAACCAAATCAACCTACTCTACGGATCCATTACCGAGTTTTGCTCGCCGCAGAGCTGTCCAGAGATGAAGGCCACGGACGAGTAAGCCAGCACGTGGGCGCTGGTTGGGCAGGGCACTGACAGGCATCAGATTCGAGTACCTCTGGCAAGACTCTGAAAACTACAAGAAACCTACAAAGATGCCGGCGCCTGAGTACATTGAACACCTCATGGCATGGGTGCAGTCCAACGTGGACAACGAGGCCATGTTTCCGTCGCGCATTGGGGTTCCGTTTCCCAAGGCGTTTCCATCGCTGATCCGCAACATGTTCAAACGGCTGTACCGCGTGTACGCACACATCTACTGCCACCACTATCCCGTCATCATCGAGCTGGGGTTGGAGCCGCACCTCAACACCAGCTTCAAGCACTACGTGCTATTCATCGACGAGCACGGGCTGGCCAATGGAAGCAAGGACTTTTGGGGGCCGCTAGGCGACTTGGTGGACAGCATGCTCAAGAGCGACTAGAGGCTGGGGCAGTTCTAATGGCGGATGAAGCCGGGTGGCGACAAGATCAAGGACACTAGAGAAAGGGAGAGAGGGACGGGTGCAGTCAGGCGAGGCAGCGGGCGCATGAAGGACATGATTCGACGGCGTTTGGGCGCAGCCAGGAGGCGATTGCGCTTTGGGAGATATCACGGGGCATTCTGCACTTTAACAATGTATGAGTAGCGGCGACGAACAGGCACAAGAGCGGTGCTGCGGTGTCGAGGGCATGGTTGGGGAGTGGGAGTGGCTGGTTGCAGAGTCATGTGCTTTGCGGGCTGGCCACGCCATGCAACTACTAGGCAGGCCAAAGAGGCCGGAAAGCAATATATAGGTCAGGCGTGTTATTGACCAGCATAGACGGCCTGCTCGCAGAAGACTACCCCACTAGCGGATGACCTCATGAGGACAGTGTTTCCGGCGTCGCGGCGATTTAATATAAATGCGCACGGGTGCTCGGCAGTTTCCTCTGACGTGGTTCGTCTGATGGCCTTAGTCGCTGTGGTGGGATAGATGAAGGTATATATGGACGATCACGGGTGGAGCCATGCGAGAGCGCCAGTGTGACTATGCGAAACGGCGTTTGGACAGAGGCGCGCGCCCGCCGCCCGCCGCCGCCGCCGCCGTACGTTACCCACTCCGAGTCTCGCCTTCTGGCGAAACGCTGACGCCGTGGGAATGGCGACTGGGACGGAGCCTGACGCGTGCTTGAACCATGGCCTGAGCTTGCACTGACTCTCGCTCCGGTCTCGCGGTCGTGGCGGTCGTCGTCGTGGTGGTGGCAGCATTTGGGTCCGTTGCCGTTGTGCGATGGCTTGCCTTGGTGCCATGGCCATAGTTTAGCATGTCGCCAGCGCCGTATTCACCACCACCACCATCACCACCACCACTATACTCCCGCCACGCCATTGGCCACGCGACTTTAAGCGGCGGCCCCAGATTCACAGTGTGCAGGTCTGCAGCAGGGATCGGATGCTCGACATGCTTTGATCAGTCCAGGTCCCAGGAAAAGTCTGCTCTCCCCCCCAGGATGCTCCGTCCTAGCACGCACACACATACGCACATACGCATCTTTCGCAGCCTCTCTCTCTCCCTCCCTCTCTCGCCCACCGCCGCCCAGACAGCCCCCATGGCCGGACGCGCAAAAGCCTACGCCAACACCGTTCAACAAAACACCAGCTCCGGCGAGCCGGGCAGACGCCATGTGGGCTTGGCAGCACCACCGTGTCAGAGAAATGATCAAGGAAACTCGAAGCAGCCAGGCCACAACTGTCGCACCACACGCATGCGGCATGGTGGCGACGGGCGCAGCTGAAAGCGAGCAGCCTCAACCGGTACTTGGACAGGGCGGCCCACGTGAAGACAGCCAGCCGGGAGACTAGACCGCAAGGCAAAACGAGCGCCCTTCGGACTTACTGCTTCTGGGCACGACCTGTTAATATGCAATGAGTAGGGAATTGCGGGGACTGCTGTCCAACGTCCCGGGCGGTGCCTGTCCAACCAACCCCCCCTAGGCGCCAAAGGATAGCCAGGGTGGGCTTTCTGCTGCACTTGACCTGCTGCTCTTGGCCGGGGGGGTCCTTTATATGCAAATGCTCCTCCCTCGACCAGGCGCGAGAGTGATGCCGGTTTTTTGCTGCTTTCCCCAGGTTTTGAGACGCTGGCCGCTTTCGTCAATATGCCTACCTATCCTCTGCAGCTCACCTGCCTGGGGGTCATCTGCGGCACTCCCCTTCTGGCTGCTGTCTTTGTTATTCTGAGAATATACACGCGCCGGAAGCTGAACCTGCGCCTGAGCTGGGGTGCGTAGTCGCGCTCGCTACAAAGCCGTCGACGTGTGTGCGCTGACAGGTGTTGAACAGATGACTGGCTCATTATACTCCCGCTACTCCTGTCAATCGCCTTGATAGGGCCCTCCTACAAGCGTACGTATGCCACGGGCGCTCGAAATTGGCTTCGACTGACCGACGCAGATGTCAAGATGTGGCATGTTGGCGTGCACATCTGGCAGGTGCCTCCTAACGAGATTGAGCCCAACTACGACGAGTACTACGCCGTACGTACTCCCTCGCCGCACTGCTGCCACGGTACTGACAGCGTGTAGGTGGTAATGGCGTTCAATCTGCTGAACATTCCCATCTTGCCTCTCGTCAAGGCATCCATCATCTGTCTCCTCCTGCGGGCTGGCTCCGTCATCCAATGGCTCAAGCGCGTCCTCTATGCCATCCTGATCTTTACCGTCGGCAGCGCCTTGATCCCATGGTTCCTCTACATCTTCATCTGCCCGCCGCTCACGGGAAACACGTGGAAGCCACGCACGTTTGGCGGACTGCACTGCATGGGCCGCCACAAGATGGGCGAGATGTTGATCTGGGTCACTTGCGCCAACCTCTTCACCGACGTTTTGATCCTCCCGATCCCCTTTATCATTGTGCGCAGGATGATGAGTGCTCGCCTGCGATCCCGCCTGGTCGTCCTGGCCGTCTTTACCTGCAGTCTTGCGTAAGTCATGTCTGCGCAACAACCATGGTCAAACCACTAACACACCACAGCGTCACTGGCATCGGCGCCGCCAAAATCTACCTGTCGTACCGTGACCGGCTGTTCACGCTCTTCAAGCCCGACTGGACGTACCCAATTGACTACTGTATCAACCACATTGAGAACAACGTTGCCATCATCGTCGCCAACATCCCCATCCTCCGTGGCCTCGTCACCCGCTGGATCTTCAACTTCCGCACAAAGGCAACGCCCATTGAGCCCGAGACCCGCAGCGACAGCAACTGGCAACAATGGGATCTGTCCAGCTCCTCCAACGGCAGCCGTTACGTCCGACGCTCCCGCCGCTCCCGCATGCTGCACAAGCTTCTGCCATGCATACAAGACGACTTCTCCAGCAGCCTCGCCACCCGCTCGTCAAAGAGCGACCGCAAGAAGAAAACCAAGGGTGGCGCCACCGCCACTCCGCCCAGCGATCGCAAGCCCAGTATCCCCGAGAAACTCGTCACAACAGGCGACACCCACCGGTACCCTAAGCGCTCGTACTTTTCTCGGTCCCGGCGCCCCAGCACCACACCCCTTCAGCAACACGACAGGTACCAGGCGTCTTCGTGCTGCGAAAAGGGCGGCGACGTGCTGGACACGGTGCGCAGCGTGGGCAGCCTCGAGTCTGGCCCTACACTGGTCGAAAGCAACAAGGACCGAACGAGCACCACGTACCGACGCGGCAGCGATATCCGCGGCAGCTTTGGAGCGCCTCAGTCGACATGGAAGAGCATGGAGCTGGACAGTCCGCCGTTGAGCCCCAGCGCAAGACGCTTCTCAACAGCCACATTGCACAGTCCCATTGCACCCTTGTCGCCGGCGCGACTGCGCGGCATCGGAGACGAAGATGAAGAGGCAGCCATTGGTGGCACATACAGTTTTGGTGGTTCCTTTGGCGGTTGGGCGGGTTCCCACAACGGTGGTGGTGCTGGCATCGGGTATGCGCTTGGAGGTGCGGAGCGGGAATGGCATCTGCAAGAACTCCAATCACAACCACCACAACATCGACGACGATATGACGACGACGACGAAGAGGAAGAGGTGGAACGAGACTTTGAGAAGGATGAGATATTTCCGTTTCCACGGTCATGATGATGATGGATAACTTTTCTCGCTCTCTCTCTCTCTCTCTCTCGCTCTTTTGGACAGGTCCATTTTTCAAACTTTTCTTTTGTCATTCAGTTTGGTGGGGGGTAGGTGGCCTTGGTGGGAGGGTGTTCAAAGGCCCTTTTTCTTGGGGGGAGCGGACAGGTTTTTGTCTTGTGCGATGATACCATTTGCATATGTCTTTGTTATCTCTCTCTCTCTCTCTCTTTTCGATTCTCTGTTTGATTTTTTTTTCATCTTTTATGTATATACTCTAGTTTTTTTTTACATAGCCATACCCCCCTAACCTTCCCACTGATATGAACAAGTACGTCATCATACTACTCGCTTTTTTTTTCTCTCTCGATTGCTCTATATGTGGTATTGCGTCAAGTGGCAATATAACTAGCATATTAAGATATCGTGGTTTTCTGATATACATGTTCTGTTACATGGAGAGAGAGAAAGATGCTGGGGTTATCCCCATGTAAAATCCATCTGAGTAGGCTGGCTTCTAATGCATTACAGAGTTTCCCACCCACACCCACACACATATATACTTTGACTTGGCTCACACACGCACTCCAATACTTCAACCACGAACCCCAGTCCTCAGCCCCAAAACTCAACACAAGTTCAAACCCTTCGGACTTCGGTTACTTGACTTTACTTTACTTACCGCACCTACTTCGACTTCACACACAGGCAATACACCCAAGGCACAGGAGGAAACATGGCTGTGCTTGCGACATTTACATGCACTCTCACACATACACACATACGTACATACACAAAGTGGATCTCTCTCTCTCTCTCTCTCTCTTTCTCTTTCGCAGCAAATGATGCCCAGGAAATACCCACCCCATCCTCCCTCGATTGCCCCCGATTGCCCCCGATCCACGGGATTCCCACCCACTGTGCTGGCTGGCTAGCTGGCTGGCTGGCTGGCTGGCTGGTGCTGGTAGTGGTTGGTGAGGTGGGGGGCCGATCAAGCCCAGTGTGCGTCAGACAAAGCTCGTGTTTCGGCCACTTTTTGTTATTATTTGATTTGAAATTTAATTAGGGGGGGTTTGGCTGTGTTGTTGTTGTTATTGTTGTTGCGATTGCGGTGGTTGGAGTCCGTGTTTGCGGTGCGCCACACACAGCTGCATGTCTTGGAAGAAAGTAAGCAACAAGCCTACGAACGCATCAAGGGGGTAGTGTAAGTATCGGGTCGGGGGGGGAATGGGGAATCGGATAGCGAAGGGGGGGGGGTGCGTGAGATTGTGTGTGTGTCCGCAAAAGAAGAAACCCTTCAAAGCCCACCCAACATGACACACGCTAAGGGCGCGGGGGTGCGGGCCTGCGCCAACCCAAGTTCCCACTTTCCCGTCTCTCTCTTTCTCGCAAAAGCCCAGAGTCAGGGTATTTATGCACACACACACACACATACACACATACGTTGTTTGTGTTAGGACTCATGTGTGTGTAGAGAGCCAAAACAATGCGCGTCTCTAGAGAGTTACTGGTGGGCGGAGTTGGGAGTTGGGAGTTGGGAGTTGGGAGTTTTGGGAAAAAAAAACGGCAACTAAGTAGCCAAGGCCAAACCGGGGGGATTTGCATGGCGTGGTATGGGCAAAGTATACAGTATGCAAGAGCGAAGCAGAAGCAACCGCCAAGGCAAAGGACGACAAAAGACAAAATCAAGGCTACTACAATGCTTACTTCAGAACAAGGGGATTTGACATCAGGCCTAGATAGATACACCGATACACACCGATACACACAGACACAAAATATACTCTACAACGTCCTAACCCCCCCCCCCTCCCGCACCTCATCGGCTACATACAAGCAAAATAACACATGTACGTCCAAGGGGGAGGGGGAGGGGGGACACGCACCGCACCGCACGTGTGGGTGTGTGATGGCATTGTGACAGTGCCGCCCCATGTCCAAGGGCAACGACTATGTATGGTATCCCACAGGGCGCCTCTTGGCACCATCATGGTACCAGGAGTATGCTTGTGTTGTGTGTCCTTTTTTTGTCGTCTCGTCGGGCCTTTGGGTGGCGTGGCGGGACAGATCTGAGTCGCTTTCCCTTTGCCCCCCCTCCCCCCTCCCTCCCGTCCATCCCCGAGATGCTGATGCTACGTGCTGCATGCTGATGTAGATGCCGGGTTTGCTTTCCCCTCCCTCCCTCCCTCCCTCCCTCCCTCCCTTCCTCGTGTTCTAAATTGAACGGGAGCGTCGATCCACAATCTGGACATCTGCCCGCCCGTTTTTTTATCTCATTTCATTTCTTCATCGCTCGCAAATCGGCAGTTTCGCAGATCGAGCTAGCGGGAAGCTTGTTTGCGAGAGATTAATTGAGATCCGAGGGGGACGGGGGGAAGTCGGAGAGAAAAAAAAAAGAGAGAGAGAGAGAGAGAGAGAGAGAGATGGTGTGTCTAGATTGCGCCGATGAAGTAATAGCTAGACGGGGCGTGGGTTGAGTAGTTCGCTCGCTCCAGGGCTCAGGCTCGTCGGCGGCTCTACTGTATGTAACATTGTGTGAATCGGCGACTTGCTCGCTCTTTTTTGTTTCGTGGACGTCGGCACCAAGGCGCGGCGAGGGCCCTTGGAGCTATCCTGGGCTTGCCGTGCCCAAGCCGTAAGCCTCGCACTCGCACAACGGGGATTGCGCGGAAGCATGTGCGGGCGAGGCGAGGCGAGGCGAGGCGAGGCGCTCCCCAAACCCAGTCTGCCCGTTGCGCGTGGGTATCCCTCGCTCCACCAACGACCTGCCATGGCTTATCCCAGGACTCCAACCCTCGTGGTACGTACCCGACAAAGTAAAACGCCCGCGCCTCCCCCCTTCCGCGCCGCCCCGCCATCTCGCTGGCCCGCAGGGAACAGCGCTGTAAGAAAAAGACGCCCAAAACTCAAATACTCACATCAGTCGAGTTGCGCCATGAGTAAGTACCTAGGGAACGAAGAAGAAAGAAGAAAAAAAATAACCTTTTGCCAAATACGAGGAATATACGAGGAATACTGCGAGGTACAGGGCGTGCCAAGAAAAGCCAACTGCGACGTTCAACACCACTTATGCGCGCGTGAGACGGGAACAGTAGCATTTTCTTTCTCGTCAGGCTACCTCTGCATGTTACACCCCTGCCTTGTTTTTTTTTTCGTTCGTACAGTTGGGTGTGGTAGTAGTAGTAGTGGTATGTAGTACGGCAAGGAGCGGTTCGTAAAGACGGAACGCTGTACAGCCGAAAGAGGGGGGGAGAGAGAGAGAGAGATGTAGGGATGAAGCCTCGTACTCGTAAAAAGAAACAAAGGTAAGAAAATAGCATGTAGCGCATAGCGAGAGGTCATTTCCCGCCAGTCCTGGGGTTGGCTGGTGGTGGTGGTGGTGATGGTGGTGGTGGTGATGGTGGTGGTGGTTTTTTCCCCGCCAAGTAAGACGTTTATCCGCATTACATACCTCCACCACTACACCACTATGGCTATGACTTACAACGTCCCATTAACACCACCATGATCCGCCACTAAGCACTACGCGCCCAAGTGCGAGAGAGAGCGGAGATAATGCATGCCCTTCATCCATCGTCACCATGACAGGCGGGAAATTGGCTTCCCACCCCATCCTCGCATGATGAGTGTAGTGGCAAATCTCCTCCATGGCCGTTCCTGACATGCCCATGTGCTCGCCATTCGCTCGCCGTCCCCCAGCTTACTTCTGTCATGTGTGCCCCCCCTCTTAGTCTACACCTGCCATGCTTCGAGGCGTCCGCTGCCACGTTTTAGCCCTTGGTAATATATTGGCGGTTGCCACTAACGGACTGGCCCCGCGGCTCATATGGATAATCTAACCTGCCTGCCTGCCGCTCCCCCCTCCCTCCCTCCATCGAAAAAGCCCTGCGCTGTTAGCTGGTTGGGCTATGGGGAAAAGAAGGAAAAAGCGGACTAGCCTAGCGAGCCAACGGGCGGGAAGGTTCTCGAGGGGAAAATGAGGGGCGTGGGCGAGAGAGATTTTCTGGGGTTGCCGAGCGGGTGCATTGCTTGGTTTGGTGAGTCTGCCTAAATCATGAATCTTCTAGTCTTCTTTGTGCTTAGGGGGAGATGCGGGGGAGGGGGTTGGAGAGAGAGACATGACCTATGAAATTGTTTTCTTTTCTTTTTCTTTCAATTATTTTCCTGTTCTCCACATCTAGGTGTGTAATAAAGATGTCGAGTGATCAAGTGTCTTCCTTTTTTTTTGCGTGCCTCTGATTCGATGGCCATGGCTTGGGATTCCCATGCCGTTTTGCTGTGCTGGCTGAGAGATTGCATTTATTGCCAGGCGTCGACTAATTTCTGGCCCCGAACCAACCATTTCGCGTCCCAGATGCCCCTCGTTCATTTCACTTGCCCAGTCCTGACGCCTCTATTTCTTCTTCTTCTTATTTTTTCGCCTCTCACCCTCTTCGAGGCCGAGGCTGATGGCATTGTCAGATGACGAAGCACGGCAAGCCCCCCTCCCCCCCCCCAATTTTCATGCATGGATACCCTACCAATAAAAAATTACCCACATTAACTCGGTAGACCCCGTTGCCAGCCGGCTTTGTCTCCGCATTCTTTTGGGAACTTCGGAGTCGCCGGTCATGTGTGCGCGGGGTGCATAACTCTTTCTTCTTCGCCCCCCTAGCCCTTTGTTCTCGTTTAACTATCGATCTGGCTACCAACAGGAAAGGAATTGAGGGAGGAAGGAAAAAAGGAAGACAAACAAAAAAAAGGGCGAGACCTTACATACATAGTCGCCATTTTCACGATTTGAATCTTGCATCTTGGTGTTTTGGTGGCTAGTCTTGGGCTGAATGCCGCTCATGGCTTTTTTTTATATTAATGTTCTGCATGGAGCGGGCTACTACTCTCGTTGAGTAATGATGAAGCTTTTCAAACTGCTAAGATTTTCATGGCTACGTGGTAACAGCATGGCACACACACACATACACATACGTACACGTACATACATACATGCACAGCCTGGGCAAAGTCGGACAAGAACTGGTGGGGCTGTGTAACCCGTTCAGCGGGCGAAATGAAGAGAGAAGAGAGCGTGACGGATCGTAAAGCGGGCCGCGGGGACGTGACGTGCAGGGCGCATGGCCGCTGCTATATCGATATTAGGCCTAGCATCATGGCGGCAGCGAGAGCCATAGTGCTGTGCGAGGTGGGCGTGAGGCTCTGGGCAGAAGATGCCTGACCGTCAAGCCTCTTGTCGTCATTGCGGACGCAGTTTGTCTTTGCCGTAATCTCGGCCGGGCACACAACGCGTTTGAAGTTTGCGCTGTGGAACCGTTAGTTTGTAACCCCCCTTGTAGAAAAAAAATACTGCAGCATTGGGAGCATCATTACCTTGGAAACGATGCGTCCTTGAACCAGTCAAAACGCCACCGGCATCCCGGTTGCAGGGCCTCGGGCAGCTTGCTGCAGTCGTCGCTTGACCCGACTCCTACATTGTCCTGGCCAAACACGGATTGGTCCACGCCGTATTGCCGGGCGCATGCACCCGATGAGGTCGTGTTGCCACCAGGTACCTGGACAGACTTAGTTTTGGCCAACACAGAGAAAGAACAAGAAAAAAAGCAGGAAAAGCAGGGTTCTCAAGGGGGTGGACTTACTGCGAGTGTGAAGCGGTTTGCCGTGGTTATGTCGTATGCCGTGTTGGAGGCTTGGATGATCATGCTCTTCCCGATCAGAGGCTCGCTCGTGAAATCCAGCTGGTAGCAGGCGCAACACCACGCGTCCTCGATGCCGCCGTGAGTGAACGAGGGCAGGATGTAGACGCCGGCAAAGCCATAGGACATGGTGTCGTTGACGACCCACGGCTGCTGCTCCGCACACTGGTAGGCGGTGCCGCCATTGCAACCAGTGCCGGCCGAGTCGTCGGTGGGCTTGTTGTCGGCGGTACATGCTTCTATGGGGCGGGAGAAGTCGGCCTTGCCCTTCCAGCCGCACGAGGGCTTGCAGCAGTCCCAGTAGCGTGTGGTGATGGCCTCGCCCGAGTAGTTGAGGCTGGCGGCGTGGGCGGCGACGGCAAAGAGGTGCAGGCCGACGAGGGCGTTTCGAAGAAGTTGCGACATGTTTGTTTAATCTTGTTCAAAGCAGAAGGGTGAGGAGTCCAAGACAAGAGCCGAGGAGCATGGTTCTCTGGGGCAGAGGGGTCCGCGTGCAGCAGTGGCCAGGAATGGTGCGTGTATATATTTGAAGGATACCGTAGAGGAGGGGTCCCTTTTAGCATGGCCACAAGGAGAAATTAAGCTGCTTTGGACGCCATACCCCAGGCCGAGAACATGAACCATCATCCATCCTGCTGTGCACGTTGCAGGGATCGGCGGGACGTGGGTACTGAAACGGCTCCCGGGGCTATGGCATCTGAGAGGCTGCCGCCAACACTCTACCACTCGACCGTCGCCCTATCCGCGCCCTCTGGCGATGCCACCACCACTCCTTCGCAATGCCGCCCGCCCCCCGGCCCATTGCCTCGTGGTCCATTATATTGTCTCGTTCCCCACACTCTCCCAGCCAAGTGCACCGTCTCCCCGCAATTCGGCAATCGCGGAATCCCGCCCTTTTGTCGCTGCAAAACTCCCCTTGACCAAGCGCGCCGGCCGGCCAAGCCATACCAATAAGACTACATAACCAAGCATAAAAAACTGTCAACCAGCCCGGCCGGCACGTGCCTGCGCCCCAAATTTCCCTCTTTTTGCGAATCACAGCCTAAGGTTTGGCCAAACGTCTCACGTTCCGCACCCCTTCTCCCCACCAAGTCGACGGGGCTCACCTGTCGGCTGTTCTCGCCCCGCCGACACCACAGAAATTTCTCCGCTGCCCGGCAACACACTCGTCCTCGACTCGCAAACGTTACCGGGCTTAGCTCCCCCCCCCCCTCCCAGCTACGCCATGGACAACCAGTGTGGCTCCCGCTGCCTCGCCCTTGCACGTGGGCCTGCTCCCCCTACCACACGCCTCGGCTGTGTCGCGCCATGTCCTTGCTGAAAAAGGCTTCCAAATATGCCCGATTGGCCGGATTATCAATATCGCGTCCAGACCGACTCTTGTACTGCCACTTACCAAGACGTCCCTACACAAATTGCCTGTACGCGATACGAGCGGATGTGGCCAAAAGCCGCGTAACCTGATGCCCATGGTATCGCAGGCCCATTGTGCGTCTTGTCGCCTACACACAATGGCGCGACGGGCTGTGCAAGTGCCCACGGCGTTTCCCTTGGTCCCACGACACATCGCCCATACCGAGAGGCTTAAGCATACAGGGATGCTCAGTCTTCTCAGCCACAGTCTACCACTCACTTGTGCGAGCCATGGCTGAGTTGACTCCAAGGGCGAAACCCGCGCACGTCCTTGGCCTCCCTTTGTTCACCAATGTCTTGGCATCTGGCTCAACAGGCCGACCTTGTATCGGCCGTGGGCGTGAGCAAATGCTTCGGAGCCCCATGAAGCCGTGCGGACCTTTTCATTGCACTCGGGGCCGTTGGCGTGTGGTTAGCCGTGTCAAACAAGTAGAGTAGCGGAATTGAGTCAACTAGTGCAGTGACAGTCCATCAGAAATCCAATATATCAAAAAAGGAACCAAGCTGACACACGCTGCTAGTCATCCGTACATGGCCGTTCTGACACGTAATACAGACACTCAAAGGTATCCTGTTGATTGCGCTTGAATATGGTCCGTCTCCACCCCCTTTGACTCCCCCAAGCTTCAAGCAGCCTTTCTCCCCATTGCATACGATGCAACCATATATGGCACTCCAACGGCCATGCCAGCGCCTGTCCCTCCTAGCACCGCACTTCCCACCGGCATATTGACTCTGCCCCGGCGCGCCGCCACCACAGCCGCAACTGCGCCTCCGGTCGCACTACCGAGAGCCACCCAGTCGGTCCTGACTTCGCCGCTGTTTTGCAAGATGCGCCACGACCTGTCCTTCCACTCAATGTCCTCGCGCCCTCGCATGCGGCCCCATGTCATGAGGGCACCCGCAGCCGTTCCAGCCACCAGACCGCGCCCGCTCGTCTTCAGTGTACGCGCAACCACGGCCTTGTAGTTGATGGCCGTCTTGCGGTACCGCGCCGCCACAATCGACGCGGGAAACTGGGCCAGCGACAAAAAGGAAAACGACATGGCCGAGGCGCGCATGACGTGGAGGTACAGGATACTGCGCGCGTACCGTTGGTCCTCGGCGTAGGGTGTATGTGGGAAGAGGGAAGTCATGGCGACTGCTTTTGCGCGCTGACGTCTGCCTCCTAGGCTCCAGGTGTTGTTGGTGGTGTGGCAACTTGAACAAGCTGCGTATGTGTAAGGTGTTTTTGTTTTTCCTTTTTTTTTCAAACTTCAAAGCTGTTGGTGGTGATAGGTTGACCCAGCTCTCCTGGATAGCGTAGATATACGTGTAAAAGTCGGACGAATCGAGCGGGGGATTTAGGATGGTGGTTTAAGCATCAACATTACTATGTGGGCCAACCTGTCTCTTATTTTCGAGGCCTAGAGACGGGCTTTGTTCATGTTTCTGTTGTGCAATGGCCTCAGAGTCGGCGGTAGGACAATGGCTGCAAGGCCAACACGCCTTCAACTTCACGATGGGGTGTTTTCCCCGAATATCAGACGACCAGTTGAGGTTGGCCGATCGCGTGACATAGATCAGGTTATGTTGCCGTTTTGTGGACGACGTTGCTGTTCAGGCGTCCAGGCCTGCGTCTTTGAACCTCCGACCCCCGATGCTGTGTCGGCCGTAAGCTGCTGTGCGGTATATCTCTTCACCAGGATGGAGTTATCCTTCACCCCAAGACCGAAGAACTCGCACGTACGTATACAACCCATGTTCCAGTGTATACGGCGCTGCCCAGCCGCATAAAAAAAATGTGGTCTGGCCATGACGACGGACAAGCTCAAAGTCGTCATGAACGTCGACGTCGTGAGCTCTACCAGGATCGTGGCCAAGGGTCCGTTGTCGTCGCCGTCTATACCAGGTTCTCTATATTCCATCCAGACAGGTAGTATTACTAGCAAGTCGTCACTGCATTCGCCTAAACAGCCCTGCGGGAGGAATCGATGTGTACCAGGATGGCCAAACGCCACATCAATCTGCGGCGATCTGAACAAGGCGCTGTTTCGCCTCTCGAAAAAAGCAGGATTGGCTGCGACAACGAATAGAAAAAGAGTTTGGCGCACATCTTGAAAACACCACGCGCGCATGCGAGTGATGGTGTTGCGAAAAGCCGCATGACGTCACCCGCTGAGGCAGGGCATAAAAGCCAGCCCGATTCAGGGCATCGACAGGGCCTCTCCTGGGAAAACTCATTATTGCTATTACTCTTACTCTCTTGGGTCAACAAGACTAGAGAAAACAATAATCAAACAAATTAAAATCGTCAGATATCGTTCTATACATACCCACGAGGAGAGATCGGTTGGGAAACACGATCAAATACCCGAAACATCCAGCATCAGCATCCATTCGCCTCCCAAAACAGCCGAGAGAGCAAAAAAAGCAAGATGCCCATCGGTCAACAGGAAAGTGGTGTTACATCAGGCGTCAAGTTTGTCACTTCGACGGTAGGAAATACCGTCGGAGGCGTTACAAACACGCTGGGAGGTGTCGTGGGCGCTCTTGGGAGGGGCGTCGGTGAGACGGTAAATTAATGATCATATCTACTCACTGCATAAAACAGGCACATGCTGACGTTGGACTGCAACGCAGGTCGAGGGCGCCACGGGCAGTGCTGGCCGCCCGGTTGCAAGGGGCGTTGCAGATGTCGCCACAAGCATCGAAAAGGGCGCAAACAACGTAGCAGGAGGCGTGAAGCGGGCTGGAGAGGGGAAGTAAGGTGGCTGGGAAGTGTGTTTTGCAAGTGAGAGGTGGGATAAGAGAAATGATTGCAAAGTTTGGTGAAACGAGTAGACGACGACCAAAGGCCGATTTTTCTTCTTCTTCTTCTTCTTCTGTTCATTCTTTCTTAGCATTACTACGTACTAGCTGGTGGATGTTGGCATGACAAGAATGGATACTCGATGCGCAAATCAATCTTTAGTAGTCACATACCATGGGTTATCTGCGTCCAATCTGGAGGTGCATTACTCGTTAATATACCGGTGCCACGCCGATATGTGGTGCTAACCTTGATCAGTCGCATGGGTGTGTGTATACTATGAAAAGAGAACGGGCCTTGCCTGGACCAGGACAACGTACCGCGGCTTTCTCTGCTTGTGCTATGCAAGGCTTACATACATGAAGCTGGTCCTGTTGAGAGACGTTGCAGTAACGTGATCCAGCGCGCTCAACGAGATGCCGAGGATTCCGGATGTCAAACAACTTCTTGTTTGGTGTGCGTCACCTTGGGCGCTTGGAGAGGACGGAAGATCGGATGGCTGTCCTGTCTTTCCCAACTTCTACTATAGGTGTAGAGGGCCAGGTGATGGTGGTGGTGGGGGGGGGGCAGGGGAGCGGGTAGGGGGAGAGGCCCTGCAGTGAGCAAGCCACTGCCACTGGCCGGCGCACCCGTCAATATCCTGGAGATCAGCCTTACTTAGCAGCCGGGGCCCATGGTGGGATCATGATCGCCGAGGCCAAGCAACTTGAGTGAGGGAGCCTGAGCATGAGCATGAGTCTGCTGGTCTGTTTTCCAGCGGTCCCGTGGAGGGCGGAAGAGGAGGCGGAACAGCCGATTGCTCGCCGCTGTGGCCCATTCGAAGCCTCGTGACTAGGTGTAGGTGTAGGTGTAGGTGTAGACTAGCGATAGCAGAGATGAAAGGATGCTATGGGACCGGCTTCCGATGCTGTAAGTGGTTCGTCCGGCGGACGAAGGCGCCAAGTCCCGGAGAGGGAATGTTTAAATGACGTCACCTTTACCGTGGCATACGCGTCCAGCACCAGCAACCAGCCTTGTGCTTGTCCACCACCGTCTGCCGTCACCGTCGTCTTTTGCCTCTCCACACGAAGCCACGCCATGTCTGATGTTTCGCAAAGGCCATGCATTTTGTACACGATTCGCCGCGGACGCGGACCAGTCGTGGCCACTCGCGCGCCCGGCACCCAAAGCGTCTTCAACACCTAGTGCCAGCCAAGGCAGGCCAAATTGCTGGCCGCCAGGCGCAGGCGGCACACTATCGATATGCAGCCGAAGGGCCTCATGGCTGCCTCTCAAAGCCGTCTCAAGCGCTTCCAGGCAACGGTTCCGCTGGAGACGACGAGTGCGAGTGGAGCGGCTGAAGACGACTCCATCAAAACCAAAAGCCACACCACATACCCCACAAGGGCTGCGCTGGGCAACGTAAGCGTCGTGCCGGATTAGGAACAGATCTTTGATATCGCGCGGGCATTCGAGGCCTCGACACCTTTTCCATCAGGCCAGATCCTTGTATCCAGCCCTTGGATAGCCCAATGGCGCCAGCTACATGCCACTACGGACCACCCTGCAGACGGTCCAGCACGGCGACGAAACAGACCGGTGCAATCGAGAAATAACGCCCTGCCACACGCAATTATGAAAATTGCAGTACGCTAACAGGTCCGAGGAGCCTTTGTCTCAGACCCACTCAGACAAACGCCTCGGTTCAACATGTTCCCAAAGCAATGCATACGGTGCGGTGCGGTGCGAGCTCAACACTTGGTGTTTGAGGGTTGCCGACGTCAGTCGACAGCGTCAAATGCTGTCAAGAAACGACTGACGTAGCTGGAGCCATTCTATAGCACGCGCTTATGCTATGCTAACCACTCTCTCCGATTAAATGCACGGGCTGGGAACGACGCTCGACTACACAGAAGGCGGGCCAAGCTTTGCTCATGCACATCCCCAGCATAACGGTTGGTGAGCTAACTGAGGGGTCGGCTGAATGGGCATCCAATGACACTGGAGAAGACTCCGCAACCTCTGTCGCTACGGCACAAGCACACCCGTCTCCAGCCATCTTTGCCTGCATTGGAAGGCGTCAACGCTAACGGCTGGAGGGTTGTCTTGGTGCGCGGAGTTGATCAGTGGTCTCTGCTCGACAGTGGTGCGCAAGCTGTTGGCCATGTCCGATCCACGATGACATACTTGACGAGTTAGGTTGAAATGGCAGGGCCTATATAGCTGAGTTTCCTGCCTCATGAATTTACCTATCAGCTCATCTCACACATTCGTTGTCGTGTTACCAGCCTCCTCGAAGTCTTTGCTCATTCATCTATTTCAAGTAACTGATACCTCGTTCATCAGTCTACTCCGCCTCGTCACTGTATCCTACGATCTCTAAATTAATACACCACCTCAATCCCGCCTCACAGAATGAAGTCTTTCATCGTCGCCGGCCTTTTGGCCACTGCCACTGCCTACCCCCAGGCCTCCTCCGACTCCGAATGTGCCTCTTCTGCTGATCAGAAATTCACCATCACCACCGTCAATGCTACCGAAACGTCTGCCAGGCGTAGCATTGTCAGGCGCCAGCTCAATGGCCCTCTCACCATGACCCTCAAGGACGGCAAGTTGACCGACCAGGCCGGCCGCACTGGGTACATTGCTTCCAACTACCAGTATGTTTTCTGCAACTTGTACTTGGTCATATCACAACAGCTAACATATTGCCAGATTCCAATTCGACGCCCCGGTCCAGGCAGATGCCGTCGAATCAGAAGGCTTTGGTCTTTGCAGCAATGGTTCCTTATCGCTAAAGGGTTCCACCATGTTCTACTCGTGCTTGTCTGGTACATTCTACAACCTCTACAGCCAGTCGATTGGTGGCCAGTGCATTCCCATCCACATGCAGGCTATCATGACTGATGATACGCCTAGCGTTACTCAGATCTCCGACGGCCAGCCCCAGGCTAGCGAGCCCGCTGTCACCCAGATTTCTGATGGCCAGCCCCAGGCTTCTTCGCCTGTTGTCACTCAGATCTCGGATGGTCAGCCTCAGGCTTCGTCGCCGGTGGTTACTCAAATCTCTGATGGCCAGCCCCAGGCTTCTGCCCCTGTTGTCACCCAGATTTCAGACGGCCAGCCCCAGGCTTCCGCTCCCGTCGTTACCCAAATCTCAGACGGCCAGCCTCAAGCATCTGCACCAGTCGTCACTCAGATTTCCGATGGACAGCCCCAAGCATCTGCCCCTGTTGTAACTCAGATCTCAGACGGCCAGCCCCAAGCATCTGCTCCTGTTGTCACTCAAATTTCCGACGGTCAGCCCCAGGCTTCCGCTCCAAGCAACTACACACCTACTACACCCCCACTACCCGAGTACACTGGTGCTGCTCCCACTGGCGCCGCCAGCATCAGTGCCCTTGTCGCCGCCATCTTTGTTCTCTTCGCCTTCTTGTAGGAGAAAAACATACGCTCGTTCCAGCACTACAAAAATGATCTCAGGTTACGGCCGTTATAACGACCAATTAATGTAGGACAGAAGTAGTGGAGGATGATCTTTCCTTTTTCCTTAACGACATTCCTTAACGACTGTATGCGTATATGACACGACCATGTAGATTCCTAATGCATAGGCGGCATGGTGTTTGGCTCTTCATTCACGAAAAAAGACTTTTTTTTAATATGTACTTATGCATTTCGATGCGACGACCGACGAACTAATGGACAATGATCAACAATCAATCTAAATTCCATCCGCCTTCTCCCGTGTCGTGAGAGTCAACTGCCGCTTTCGATTGTGATGGCTGCAAACTCGGACGACCCTGACTCGCCTTCTGGGGGAGTATGCATCTGGTTTCGCCGGTGCACAGTCTCCACAGTGCACACATACATACACCAGCATCTGGATCCTCCGCCCACACACTACTGCATACTGCAACAAAGCGGACATGCGACACGCACATTCCTTCCGCCGCCACCGAACTGCTTTGCTGCAGTCTGTTGCACAGTCGCTGATCCCCGCGCGCTCCCCAAGCCCTAATCGTACGACCAAAACCACTTCGCAACCGCTTACATCCGCTAGTATCTCACACGCCGCCACCCCACCTCACCGCTTTAGCTCTCTTTCATCCCCATGCATAGCGCCTTTTCCCCCAAAAGCAGCCACCTGCAGCCTGTCACACACACACGTCCAAATAGATTGTCTCAAGTACCCCCGGAAACAGAAAAGATAAGACGGGGTCTGGTTGCATGCACGAGCTGGGCTGGGCGGAGTGGCGCGACATCGGGGCTCCTCGCGTGATGGCGCCAGCAACAACATAACATAACATAACTCATGAAAATGAGTATAATGGTTTTTTTACTAATGCTAATAGTCATGAAGGGGAGAATGGGGAAGCGGGGGAAAAAGAGAAGTTCAGGTATATGCAGTGCATGCAAAGACAAGACAAATGCACACAGTAAGGCCGAAGACTTGAGTGGCTATTACTACTACTACTACTACTACTACTACTACTACTACTACACTACTATATTCAAGAGAGAAACCGAAACAGCACAACACTAATATATGCACAACACTAAAGTAATTTATACTGTTGATAGCGGCGGCGGATTTCTCACCTCTTTCGAGGTGGTGGTGGTGGTGTCATGGTCTCCCAGAAAAATCGCCGTTGGACCATGTATTTTTCTTTCCAAAAAAAAACAATTTATCAGAATCCTCCGTATGGTGTATTATGATTACTTTATTTTGCTCCATATTCGTTGCATCACGCCCCACGAGGATCAACGATTCTTGGTTCGGGGGCTGGAGCCTTTGTGCTTGATAATCCAGTGTGCTTGGCTCCTGTGCACGTGTCGAGTTGCGCTATGGATGATGTACGGATGCTGGACATGGGGTTTCTAGGCACTTTTCTCTCTCTCTCTCTCTCTCTCTCTCTCTCTCTCTCTCTGTGTGTGTGTGTGTGTTTTAAATTGAAACCACGCTAGGATTAAGGAACTACGTAGTACACCTAGGTGTACATGGGCAAACCAGCACGGTTTGGATAACCACGCCACGCCACGCCACACCACGCCGCGTAGCCCTGCATAGGTATATAGTAGGTATCACTTCCTTTGCAGCACAAAGGCTCCGAGACGGGTGGCACTATCTACAGTAGCTCGATTGGATGGGTGGGAAAATAGACTTTGGCGGCGCGAGTTGCGCCCATGTCTCCTGCGGTACACTAGGGAGAGAGATAACGGCGTTACTTGGTACACTACTGTAGGCTACTACATACAGGTTTCTTGCTACAGGCCTGGTTTTACTTTTTCTTTAAGCTTGGGGTTTTTTTTCTTGCTGTGTCCTGCAGATGTTGCTAAAGATAGATGGATAGATAGGTGTGTACAGTATGGTTTTGCGGGTACAGAAGGTGCTGCGGTGGTAGCGATCTGTGTTACACCCAAGCTTGCAATACCCTTTGTATGAGTAGATTAACTTGCCGTATAGCCGTATTCTGGGTGGATGCATGTGTCTAGGTAGCTAGGTACCTGTGATATGGGATGTTGGGGCTGAGCGGAATGCAGCAGTGGTTCCGTTCGGATGAGGCGGGACTTGGAGCATGAGTGGTCATTCTAGAATGCAGGTTATCGTGCTATGAAAGGCGGAAATCGGCTTGATTTGCGGGAGGATATTCTGAGCTGCATACGATGGGCACAATGAATGTGGTTGTGTATCCACAACGAGCTTGACCATCTGGCTCGATGCCTTGGTTTGGCCACTGGACTATGTTAGTAGTTGGAGCTTTCCAGACATGTGATGTTGGTTAGTCTATCTGGCGTCTCTCGGATTTCCCGTTTGGACTCACAGAGTCCTGGTAGTCTAGTTGGGTCTTCCAAAAGTGCAATACGGAATACTAAGAGCGCTGTCTTTCTTCCTCTTAACGTCTTAAGCTAACTTGGCTGCCACTCAGCCTGAAGTAGTTGAGATGGCTAGTGTCTATCCTGCCCATTCTTCTCCACTTAGCTTCACAAACTGAGTCGCAGCTTAGCGTGAGGCTTCAAGACAAGAAAATGTGGTACAACATCAAACAAATGTCTCTCAACGTCTTCCTATTGAATCGAGACTCTTCATACTAGAGTATCTCAGCTAGCAGAGAAAGCTCAATCATGTAAGTTTAGGTTTTGAGCAAGCATGTATGCGCCCAAATCATGTTATTTTTGGGTTTGCTTTTCATAAACACATCTACTCATTCTATAGCCATGCCTCACCACTCATTTCTCGGCCAAAGACATGTAAGAGAATTGGCTGGACCAAATTCCAGCTTTTCAGCTCATCTGCACTTGCTAACCTTACGTTAAAGTAGCTAGAAGATAGTAAAGACAGAGGCGTTAGGCCCCAACGGCACCTACTCATGTATCTACTCCATATTGCTCTAGTCACTCTAGTCGCCATCTTAGTCCAACCGCTGGTGTTAGATGCAGAGATCCGATAGTTACCCGACTTGGCCAGTCTCACTAGTGTTAGTATATGTAGAAGCGGTATTTATGAGGGCAACGCTACTGCCCATTTAGTCGGAAGAAGTGACAGTAACCCGGGTAACTATATTTGCACGATACTAAGGGTGATTGGGGCCCGTTGGTGGACAGAGTTCGGTGTGCGGAGAACGTGCATGTAGGCATCTCAATCAACTTGCTGTACAGATTGAGAACATATGTTCTTTTTTCTCAGTAAAACTATGACGAGATTTCCAACCAATAACCTGTGCATATAACGGCGCGCAAGCTTAGTACGTGTAGTCAGGGTGTGAATCAACACAGTATATCCTGATATTCTAATGTAGCTGTTTTCTTCTCTTAATCTAATTGTTCCTACGTTGTGCATGATACGATGTCCCGAGACGTACTATTTGAGAGCAATGTACTTGATATCAAGAAGTGTGGATGGCATGCACGACATGTAATTCCATTTTGTTGCACCCGGACCAAGTTGTACTTGGTTGAGATAGATAGAACTAAAGCAGCGCCGTTGGAGCGCAGACATGCCACTTCCTTCAGATTTAGAAAAGGTACGCACCAGCAAAATTACTCCATGAAATTGCTCTAGTGTTGTCAAGATATATACTGATTTTGAGTATACTAGTGAGAACAAGTTAGACATTCATGCCACCATGTGGCAAAAAAACCACTTATTTATGACAACACCATTTCTGGGACCAAATCCACTCCTTCGAAAGGTAATATGATCTCAGCCTGACCCAAAATCGCAAACAATCTTTGTCAACACCCTTTATCTAATTCACGATTTGATCAACATATCTGTCCGGCACACCTAGCCCCATCGTAGAACTCCAGTATTAAAGAGATGAACATCTGAGCTTACTGTAATATCTACCCATTGAGATGCCAAACCCTTCACATGCAATGCTGAGAATGAAATCTTGGTACCATGATTAGACTTTTCTCCAGATATCTAAACCACTTCACAGCGAGCACACTAGGCAAACTCTATTTCTGATACACCTCATCCAAATAACTTACTCCATTTTACAAAGCATTCACAAACTTCTTTGTACAGGAAAGCCATATCATCGGTCCATAATCCTGGACGTCACATCCTACGCTGGAAATCTTACCACTATTTTCGGTTCCATAGATGAAAAGTCGGGTGTTTTTCGACGGGAGATTTCGATGGATGAGTAAGACTTACGCTGATCTCAGCTGAGAGTACGGGAAAGGTACACCACTTTTGCATCAAGGCGAGCGGAGAGAAAGCATCAAAGAAATCACAGTCTGGAGGTATGAAGGCCCGATTTATGTACGCTCAAGATGCAGAATGAGAGTGTTGGCTGCACTGTGTCATAGGAAGACCTTGAACAATTCAAAGCTGATAGAGTGTACACGAGATATGCAAAAAGTATGGGTTAGTAGAAGATCCAAATATGCATGAAGATAACCCTGCCACCTCTTTTGATATACAATCCAAAAACCAAAATCATCCGCATTTTGTGCATGTTTCGACGTCATACCCGCTAGCCAGTGATACTGACTGGACTACTGTGGGCGCGGAGCAGAACTAGAGAACGGGCGATAAATTTGATCAAAATCTAGATTGCATTTCCACTCTCTGGAATCGTTCACAAGTACGTAGGTAATACAACCCAGACTGGGTACATTTTGACTACATGGAAAAAAGATGCTTAGAGGACGGAAAGATCGCCAAACTTCTCCTGCGGGGTTGTTAGCATGCATGTGTAAATTCCAGCAAGTTATCCAAAGACGTGCCTTGTAGCCGGGGACGGCCCAGCGACCCTTGGAGACGAGCTGCTCGGTGCGCTTGTCAATCTCGGGCTGGGCAGCCGCAACCTCGTCCTACAGTATCCGTTAGCACACGTGCCCCCATTCATCCATCACCGTGTATACGTACAACAGTGAGGTCGGCGAACGGCCTGGCGTCCTCGATGTTCTTGAGGGTCTTCTGGAGATCGCTCAACTCCTTGTCGACGACGGCCTTGGTCTGTTCTGCGCTCTGGACGGCCTGGGCCTCGAAAGCCTCAATGGCCTTGATCTGCCTTCCTACGTCGTATGTCTGGGGCTTGAAAGACTTGAACTGCTTCTCAATGTCGTCGACGACGGCCTGGTTCTTGAGGACGCTGCGGTAATAGCTGAAGTCGACCTCCTGCGACTGCTCCGAGAGGACGGCCAGCTTGCGGCGCGCATCGTCGTTGCGCTTCTTGAAGGCTTGGAGGGAGGCGGCGGTTTGGCCCCTGAGACCGAGCTGCGTGGCCAGCTTGGTCCAGTCGAGCTTGAGGGCAGCGCTGCGCTGTAGGAGGGGACATGTTAGTTTTCTTGATGTTCACTTCGGGGCTGCCATTGCGGGTGGGGGCTCGTTGGCGGGGCAGCAATTGGGCTGTCCAGAGCTTCGACGAGGTGCTTGGAGGGGATCTGACGTACTCCGACGGCCATTGTGATGGATTTAGACGGGGATGCGGTGATTTCGGTTTCGTGAGGGTGGATGTCCAAGTTCTTCGCGAGAGCTCGGAACAGCGCCGCCAAGCACTCGGCGCCCGGACCATCGATCAGTTCCGCCCTCCATGGCCGCCGTCTTGCCCAAGTTTACTTCACCCATACACACCCACGTCCTACTACTACTGCACTTCCCCACTCAAAGACTCCGCTCGTATTATCCTCGCAATCATGTGGATTATTGACTGGTAAGTATCCTAGTTAGCGACTCCATGCATTCTGGCTGACCTCGAGCCAGGTGTAAGTTAACTATCCGACTCTCTCGCGATACATGAAGCCCGACGAAAGCCGTGGCCGCCTGCCCAACACGAATACCAAAGAAACACCCGCATCCCTACAAAAATAGCCTGAGTTTTATATACTATTCCCCGTGGCGGCCAAGATCCGCCAGAACGTGGCTACATCTGGCTTATCACATGCGCATCGAACACACCGTCCGCACATACATTGCTGCAGTCTTTCTCCATACCAATCGTTCGCTGTCAGACTGTGCAAATAGAAGCTGATGAAGGAAAACAGTTTGGGATGTTCTGTCCTCGCTTGGACTCATGAACAAGGTAAGCATGAGCATGGACAAGACCGGGCTGAATCCAACTAACATCGCATCTGTAGCATGCCAAGCTCCTCTTCCTCGGACTGTACGTACCCTCACATACCTCTGAATCCAAGGGCGCATGGCTAACTAGGCTTCAGTGACAATGCCGGAAAGACCACGTATGACTACCGAACCGGGCGCGCAAGCTCCGACTGACGTATCTAGGCTGCTACACATGCTTAAGAACGACAGGGTTGCTGTTCTGTAAGTGTAATGCGGCTCATTACTCCGCAATGAGCTAACGTCCTTTTTAGCCAGCCAACTCTGCACCCGACCTCCGAGGAGCTCTCGATAGGAAACGTCAAGTTCACAACCTTCGATCTCGGAGGCCACGCGCAAGCCCGACGATTGTGGCGTGACTACTGTACGCCTCGCGACCTTTCCAATTCCGCTACATTTGGTTAACTCTCCTCTAGTCCCCGAAGTTTCCGGTATCGTATTCCTCGTCGATGCCAAAGACCACGAGCGTCTTACCGAGTCGAAAGCCGAGCTCGACGCTTTGCTCGCCATGGACGAACTCAAGAACACACCCTTTGTCATTCTTGGCAACAAGATTGACCACCCCGATGCCGTCTCCGAGGACCAGCTCCGCTCTGTGCTTGGTCTATACCAGACAACCGGCAAGGGCAAGGTGCCGCTTGAGGGCATCCGACCTATCGAGGTCTTCATGTGCAGTGTGGTCATGAGGCAGGGATACGGAGAGGGTATCCGATGGTTGAGCCAGTATGTCTAGGCGCAATACTACGACAATAACTATAATGCGGCTACAGGATTGAAGAAGGATGTGGAGGGCATGTGGCACTTTGGCCTTTTGGGCGCGGTGAGCGGAACACAGGCACGGAACAGAAGCATGAAAGTCACACGCGTGTTAGATGTACTCTCACGGTCGTTGGCGTTAGCTCTTGGAAATAATATTACATTTGCATACCACTTTCCGCGGCACACTTTGAGCGGCTTAATACCGCATCGTCAATCTGCTTTGCCGGCGCTCAATTGCAAATATCGGGAAAAATAAGAAGTTGTTGATGCAAAGCGCCCGCAAACGCCACCCAATGCTCATGGTTACCAATTCGCCAGAATATCGACACGTTGTTTTTCTCCATCCACCCCTCCCGTTTAGTCGTCGTACTCTGCATCCCTCACTCCACAAAAGTCACTACCAAAGCAATTGTCCACCATGTACCACACGCGCCAGTACAAACTAGCACTGTTCATGTCAAAAGTTCCGTCGTCCTTCCGGGGAACAGAATCGCCGATGATGCCCTGGCCCGATCCAAACACCCATCCGATAATCGGTAGCGAGCCAACCGTCTGCTGCCAGCGGGGTTTAGCCGGCAGGAATGCCTTTTCCTGCGGCAAAAAGACGGCGGGTTTTACGTTTGCGCCTTTGAGGCGGAGGGTGGCGCGCTGGGAGCGGGGGTTCAGTGCCGTGGTTGTGGTGCGTGCGGGGATGGTGTTTGGATCGAGGGCTTGGTGTTGTTCTAGTGGTTGGACGGGCATATCGTCTAGGTACGAGGGAAAGGAGCCGGCTGTGTTGCGCATGAAGGGTGGGTCTGCGAAAGAGCGGAGTCCTTGTGTTTGTTGTGTTGTTGATGGAGCGAGTTGCGAGGCTGTGGCTGTGGCGGACGAGGCTGTTGCCGACGACTGCGAAGTACTAATGCCACGGAGACCGACGGTAGCGGACGACATGGTGTTGGGTGAGGCGGCTTGCGACATGCTTCCTGCTTCTGCCCGGATTGCGCGGTCGCCGCCTTGGGGACCCGTGCCTCTGTACATTTCGGCGTAGACGGTGTACCCTTGGATATTCTTGGGACTGTAGTGGCATGCGCGCTCGGCTGCTTCTGCGCTGTCGAACGTGACCTTGATCCAGTGATCACCTCCGACATACTCGTTGATTTTTCTCAGCGACGCCTTGCTCAGTGACCGATAATGTGATGCTCGCTGCGATGTGAAGTTGTATCCGAACTTGGGGTTAAAGGGCTCGCGGTCGTACTCTTCGTAGATGATGCCATTGGATACTTTTTCATAGTGCGCTATCGCTGCCCATTGTGCGTCGCTTCCGTAGCCGTATAGTATGACTTCCTTGGGCTCTTGTGTGAAGGCTGTGTTTGTCGATGCGCCTGCTGCGAACGAGTTGTTCAGTGCATTGCTTGCGTCTATCAGGTTCGGTGCTGAGCCTGGCGGGGGTAGTGCGGCAACGGAACGCGATGATACGGAGCGCCTCTTGTCTTCTTCCGCCTTGTAGCGGCCAAAGATGTCATCGATGGTGCGTTGGTTGAGTAGTTTCGCTTCGTCGGCAGCTTGGTTGGCGCCCAGCGGTGTCTTAGCCCGCGAGGTTCCGCGTTTTCGTGCTTTGCCAAAGGGGCCCTTTTCTTCGGGTATGCGCCGTTGATTTTGGTCTGAGCTGTCGAGGTCTGGGGTCAGCCGCGTGTGCTGGATTATCGGAGCGTCCCAATCGAAGTCTCCCATGGTGCGGACATTGCAAAAAAGAAGCAGAACGTCTTGCACAACATGCTCCCGGTTCTTTGATGACGCGTTCGCTTGCGCCAAAGGGCCATGACGGACTAGGGCAGTGAAAGAAAGACTTACTCCGCAAACTCATAGGCCCAGGGCAGCTTCCTCCCTGTCGAATCATACGCGCGCTCCGAGTCTGGCACAGCGTGGACCTGCATCTTTTCCAGCTCTTTGTCTCGCAGCTTCTGGTCTTGTTCCGGTCGAGGGCGCGGCGATTGCGCGTGACGTGCTGGGCGGCGTTGAACGGTCTTTTGTTTATGTGCGGCAAGAACAGCAGCGGAAACACGATCAACGCTAGCCAGGAACAACGCCGCGGCAAAGCCACACCAGCGCACGCACCAGCTGAGGCGCAGCCCTCGATCTTCAAGGCGACAGGGCCTTGCCCAATCCATCAATCACCAGCCTTTGCGCATACATGCAACCAGCCACAGCAGGCGCTTACTTTGCTGCTGCCTGCTAGTGACGCGGTCCATTCAAAAGGGCCAATGGACCTCACTCCCATCCTCGTACGCGGCAAGAAACGCAAACACCTACATCCAGCCCTCGTACAGCACTTTGCTGCTGCATCCGCCTCTCCACCAAAACGCACCCGGAAACCAAAGGCCAAAAGGAAGACCAGAGCCATTGCGCCCGCCATGCCGACGCTAGAGGGTCTTCCTGTCGAGCTGCTCGAGATGATCTTCTTGCACAGCATGAACATGGCACTGCCACGGTGCTCGCATTCTCTAGGCAAGAAACTATCGTCACGCGCTATTACTATGGAATTCACCATGCGATCTTTCTTCCACACGGTAGATCACCGTACAAATTACCGGGACCGTACCGTCACCAGTGACGCTGCTCTGCAATCCGACATCATGTCTTGCCGCTTCTTCACATACGACTTTTTCTTGGCTTATGTGCGGCGTGCGCATAACGCCATGATCAAGTTGCGCGGCAAGGCATGGGCAGCCACTGGAGTCGCCATTCCAGATGCGTCCCTCTTTGACGGGCTGTGGCCCTACAGGTTTACCAAGATTCCGTTTCTGGCTTTTGCAGAAGGCTTCTGCATTCCGGAGAAGCTGCTGCATGGTCCTTGGACAGAAGACAAGGCATCTTTGCTCTATGTCTTGGTCAGCTTGAACGGTCAGATCGATTGGGAGGGCAGTATGGCGGGGGAGATGGCCAAGACGGGTATCAAGGAGGCCATCAGTGAGAACAACGAGTATGCGGTTGCAGCATTGGCAGTACTCTTGGGCGTGCCAAAAGGCATTGCCACGGAGCATCTGCAGTATGCCGTCATAAACTGCGGCTGCAACATCAACATCCTCCGGCACTTGCTGTTCAATGCCCAAATCCTCGCGGGGGAGGCTTCAAGCACCCTCAACTTTTACGACCCGGCTCTCTGGGCATGGGCCGACGTCAATGGCCACAAGGGAGAGATACTCAAGGACATGCTCAAGAAAGCAGACGCCTTTGATCTGGAATTCTACTTTGAGGACAATGCCGACTGGAGCAAGATTGTATCATTTCCGTACGGTGGAAGTAAGTTTGACGCAAGAGCAGCATTCCATCCAGTTGTAAGGGAGTTGTTGATGAATTTGTATCGAAACTATGGGAGGAAAATCACACGGAGGAGAAGAGGGACGCCGGAGCAGAGAATGGTGGAGGGGAATGTGATTGAGGTGAACTAGCCACTATTCTTCTAACCAGCTTGCGGGTTTGGACGATGAATCAACCATATCGACGCCTACCTTTGGAAAGATTACTTTCACATGCAAAAAATCAATGCATCCTGCAGACACCGCCTCAAGTAAGAGGGAATTGCAGATTGCAATTTATAAATCTGCAAGCATATTCTGATGCGTTGTGAATTGCGCCGCGTCAGCACTTTGAAATCACTCATAAACAAATATATCTGCAAGCTTGTTAGTTACTTGTACAAGACAAAACTATGTCAAGCAAATGCGTGATTCAAGTCTTCCTCAGTGATCTTGGTGATAAAATAGTAATCATGGAAATCATATACTATCTATTGCATGTTGTAATCATTGGAAGGGGCGGGTGATGAGAAATAGAAAGCTGGACTGACCTTGTGCAAGTTGCTAGGAGCTGCAATTCCTTGAGCTAGGGTCGGGCATGTGTCTAAAAGTCTTTTTCACAGTCAGCTTAGGTCCTCTGCTGCGCGTCCACATGATGAAGCCGGGATTGAGTGTAATGGTAAACTCAGAATATGTAAGAAATTGAATATCATAAGCCCGCCGCCGTTAAGAGACCCCGGCGAGGGTCTCCGACGACGAGCTCAATCGCAAATTATGTCATCCTTGGATGGGGAAGAGAGCTGTGGAGGATGGAGACGTACCAGTGGAGCTATCGAGCTAAGTGGCAGCTGCAGTTAGTGGGAGATGCATCATCCATTATCTGTCGATGGACGCGGTAGTGTTGTGCAGACGGCGCAGTCTGGCGCATCGCGAGCACGGCTTCTCGTAGCATGATACGGGCGCAGCAAGCGCATCAGACGGCCGTGTTGTTGTCGTCGTCGTCTTTGTGTTGTCTCGGGGTCAAGAGCTGGCGAGGAAGCAGGTCGCGGTCGCGGTCGGGTTTTTCTGCACATGCCAAGCCAAGCCGGGCTTCGCTTGTGCACGGCCCCGGCAGCGCACTTGGATTTTCGATTGTGTCGAACATTGACTTCACTCCCGACAAGAACCATCACCAACGACCTAATTTCCGACCAGTACGCCTCTCGCCGCTGCACCTCGCGCGCTTCATAGACTCTAACATTTATCCGCAGCACAACCGACGAAATGGGTGACGCCGAAATCACAACGAGCGCCTGGAGGCTGGTCGAGGTCGGCCGTGTGGTCCTCTTCAACGAGGGCCAGTACGAGGGTCGCCTGGCTACCATTGTCGAGATCATTGACCACAAGCGTGTACGGAAACCCGGCGGCGCGGATGCTGTTCAGCGGCTCACAGAAGCATAGGTTCTCGTCGATGGTCCTTCCGAGAAGGCCCCCGTCCCCCGCCAGGAGATCGCTCTTGCCAAACTCTCCCTCACACCCATCGTCATCCCCAAGCTTCCCCGTTCCAGCGGTGTCGGTCACGTCGCAAAGAAGTGGGAGGAGCACAAGGTCCAGCAGAAGTTCGACGAGAGCTCATGGGCAAAGAAGCGTGCGGCCATCCAGAAGAGGCGGGGACTGAACGACTTTGAGCGCTTCAAGGTCATGAAGATGAGGAAGCAGGTACGTTGTCGCAGTCTTGGTGTCGCCCCGTGACACGCCGTAATTTGGGTTTGGGTCATGGCTGGGGCACGCTCGGTCTGCACACGGCATGGCTAACGTATTGACAGGCCCGCTTCGAGGTCCAGAAGACCTTTGCCAAGATCCGCGCCAGCGCAAAGGCATAGGCATTCTAGATGCTGTCGGGAGACAGGCGTTGTGGTGGTCGCTGCATGCAGGTGACGGAGAGGCATGACGTGCATTTTCATGAGCATTCCGAAGGCGACCCTCAAAGGCATTCAAAAATTCAAGACCTGGTTTCGGGTGAATAAGTCCAATGTTTGGCATGGTGCAATTCGGTATGGGAAAGGTTTACTCGGCTCTCGCATGCATTCTACATGTAGCAAGAGAGTCCAATCCACAATTTTCATGAACACACAAAAGACTGCAACTAGAATTGCCAATTTGATACCCTCTTTGAACTGGCTTGACTCGGTGAACTGTGATTGTTTGCGACGGCGACATGGTGAATGCAGCAATAATCGTCATTTTGGCAACTTTGGGGGAGCTGCTGCTGCTGCCCGCGCTAAGCCGCCCACAAATCATTTTTGGGAGCTCCGACACAACACGGCGCACCTCATATTACTGCACCACCAACGCATCTAGTCAACCACACACGCCCAACATGTCCAACCCCCGCATTGAAGAGCTCCCCGACGAGCCCGAGAAGAAGAACGTCCAGATCGAGGAGGATGAGTCGAGCGACGAGTCCGAGGGCGAGGAGGGCGAGGTCAACGTGCCCGCGGGCTCCTCGGTCGCTGTCCACTCTCGCAACGAGAAGAAGGCTCGCAAGGCCATTGCTAAGCTCGGACTGAAGCACATTGATGGCATCACCCGTGTGACCCTGCGCCGACCAAAGAACGTGAGTGCATGCCCTGCAATTGGTCTTGGTGCTTGGGGAGAGTCCACAGTCAGCAACACCTGCTGCTGCGGGCTGAGCCACTCTTGTGGAATTGGGAGCTAACAAGCATGCCAGATCCTCTTCGTTATCAACCAGCCCGACGTCTACAAGTCTCCCTCAAGCAACACCTGGATGTGAGTTTACTACCCCTCCATTGCCGTCCCACCTACTGACCCCGCACCAGCATCTTCGGTGAGGCCAAGATCGAGGACTTGAACTCCCAGGCCCAGGCTTCCGCCGCCCAGCAGCTCGCCCAGGCCGAGGCTCACTCCCACGACCACGCCGGCCACGACCACGGCGACGAGTCCGGCAAGGGCAAGGGCAAAGCTGCCGAGGACAAGAAGGAGGAGGAAGAGGAGGACGATGACGAAGAGGTTGACGACTCTGGCCTCGAGGGCAAGGACATTGAGCTTGTCATGCAGCAGGCCAGCGTCTCCCGAAAGAAGGCCGTCAAGGCCCTTAAGGAGAACGACAACGACATCGTAAACTCCATTATGGCGCTGAGCATATAGACTACCCAAGTCTAGGTGGCTAGGTGTGCGAGGTGGACGATGACTTCCCAGGCATTGCAAAGTCGAAAGACTGCTTGCTCGCTCATGTAAAAGAATCTATCAACATGAATCTCGATGAGCCAGTGTACATTGCAGCACTCTGGTGCATTTGCGGGACGCCTAGAAACTTGTGAGCTGACACTAATGGACGTTTGTGGATGTTAGGAGACCAATCAGCTTGAGCCACCGCCTTGACCAGAGACAACTGTGCGAAGAACTGGGGCCATTGATAGGCATTGCCTTGTTCGCAGAGACACGGTAGATTCAGCAATGATTCAGCTGAAGATGCAGACCCTTGTTCCAGACTTTGATGTCCTAGGACGTGCAAATCCTTGTCGGATAGTGGCGAAGATATGGTCGACAACTATGACCAAGCATTTCCATTTTATCATCCCCAACCCTGTTCCTGGACATCCTTACGAGTCGAGCACTGGCCGGGCAGGGGTAGGCACGTGGATGATGCGAGCAACGATCTTAAAGTGCGCCGGCAAATGGTCGTTCGAGACGTGATGTTTCGTATCCAATCGACTCCGTGGTATAGGTTGGGGAGGAAACTAGCATGGCACCATCGAGGTCAAGCATGTGGGCATGACGACCCGCAGTATGGAGAGTCCTTCTGACACTGACGTTAGACTGCTGACGCCCCAACTTTCAGCCTCATGGATCTGGTCCTAGTCAGGCAGGCATCGACCACTAAGGCGTGCATTTGTGAGGTCAACTGTGGCTGGTAAGATGAACGATGTGATCCTGGCTTCTGAAAAACATTCCTATCCTGGGTTGTGGCATTACCCGTTACTTGTCAGCACATGTGCGACGAGGCTCTCGAAAAACGGATAGCCGGAATATGGCCATGTGAACAGCTTGGGAAAGTCGAGAAATTGACAATGAACGGCGGTGAGGTTGGAGTTGACGTCTGCTGAGCCACACGCTAAACTAGCCGCGAGGCGGCGGTCCCGACATCTTTCCGACCCTGGGTTCCTTGCACCGTCAGCATTCACAATCAGCCTCAGCCTCAGCCTCAGTCTCAAACAAACTCCCTGGATTCAGTTACTGATCATGACATCAGGCTTCCCAGATATACACCGGGAGTTTGAACATCCGGTCGTATATTGCAGTGCCCGGGCTTAGTCCACCAACACCTCAACTCGAACATGCCATCATCAGCTGGCCTGTGGTTCTGCTGCGCACTGGCGCGCATTATCGCACTTAATCGATACCCATGTTTGAATACACTTTCTAATGTTGACCATATATGCTTGCTGGTCACAAAAGCCTGGAGATGCGTTTAACACAACAAACGAACAATCACTCCATCTCTTGGCGACTGATTCATGAGTCCCAAGTCCACGGAACCAGCATGACAGGGTTTGAGCTTAGATCTACCGGCCCGCTAGGCGCACGATCGAGTCATACAAACCTTGCTTATAGCCGCAATCTGACGATAGCATCTACTTTTGACGTAGGAAGGCCTGTTACTACTAATCAACGGGCCTATCAACTCCCCAGGAACAAGTTCATCCGATCGATCTCAAGTGCAAGGATCGTCGGGAAGCGAGGAAGCTGATGCTGTTTATCTTCAAAGGGTTTACAGTCTGACTTGATATTTCCTTATTTGATGTTACCCAGCTGGCACCAGCACCTTTTGGTACAGCCATTTGGGAGTAACGTGTGGCTTCATGACCATGTGGCTGGTCGGGCAGACCGGGACTCTGCACTTGACTCTCCAGGTTGTCTGCTTCCATTGTGCTCGAGCTGAACCACAGCGCCCACTTCTGTTTCACAGCAAGATCCTAGCTTCAGGTGTCATGCATTGCAAGTTGGAGAGACATGCATCTATATAACATCTTCCTCTCATCCACCTAGTCCCGCATCAACAGCCAAAAGACTAAGCACTTCTCTACCCTAGCACTTCATTATCACATCGACCTATACTTCTCTCTAGCTTTGTATGGTGAAATATTCCACATTCTCCATTCAGATAGACTACGAGTATCACATCCCGCCGCCCCGAACGTACTTTATAACAAACTTTCCTGCAATGGCTTCCATCACATCGGTCCCTATAATCTACCACCCCACTTCCCGAGTCTCGTTCTCTTCAGCATACATTTAACAATATACAGGCGGAGAAATCCAAGTACATTCAGTCTCTTCGGAGCCATCAGGTCAACACGATTGTCCAGCTGCGTCATATTGAAAAGGCCTTTGCCGTGCTCGGAACACCAGACTGCAGCGAACCCATGACCTCAGCATGTGAGTCGGCAGCATCTCCTCATCCAAGAGGACTCACCAGGATACATGGAGAGAATTGAAAAAAAACTGACAATATACCTTTTTTTTTCTCATCTTAGGGTCCTACTATGTTGACTCGCACGGCTTGCTAACTGAGCTCCGGGGCTTAACTCGAAACTATCCTTTCAGGTGAGCACGGCCAAACCTGGTTCTCTCGGCCCCAGCCATAAGGCGAGGAGTAGCAAGAGAAAGAGAAAGAATAATAGGGGTGAGATGAAAGCTAATCAGATACACGACATGAATAGTTCCGACTGCCTTGACGAAGCCAAACGCCGCGTCTACGCCGACCCGGCTAGTAACCGCTCGTGGAACCTGTGCTGGCTTGTTCTGAGTAAGATACAGACAGAGTACGTTCATCCTTCCCTTTCCTTTTTGCCCTCTTTTCCCCTTGCAGTCCCTCTTTTTTTTATGATGATGAAATATCTAATGTGTAATTTAGCCAACTTATACCGTACTATGCGCGCTACCAGGCTTCGCAGCCAGCCATGTGGGGTGGCCATGTGCCGACGGCGGAGCAGATGACGCAGCTTGCGAATGCGTTTGCGAGTGAGTGGAATGCAGCGGTTGGGCAGATGCTGAGGCATTGGGCGCAGCCGCCGACGAGGTGAGGTGGTGGAGAGGATGCTGAGACGGGGGGTTGGAGTGGTGTTGAGCGCTGCTAAAGTGGAGGATACGGTCTTAGTCTTAGTCTTGTTGCTTTGCGTGTTTGTCTCTTGCTGCGATTGAGTTTCTGATGTATTTTGTGATTTTCTGTTCAATATAAAATTTTTCTTGGACTTTCTTTTCTCTACCTTGGTCCCTCGACTGTTTTGACTAGGCTTTTTTTTCGAGTTGTTAGGTTGTTCAATGTAACTCTGTTGTGTAGCCACTTGAACCATATAACAAGAAATTGCACGACGCGGCATAGTAATGATGAGTGCAAAGCATCACTGCAGCATACTTGTCTCCAATAATGTAATGATGCAAAGGCTGGGCTTGCAGTCGTGTGGTGTATCTGAGAGGCGGGGTGAGATAACGAGACCATACATGTCGCATCTGATGCTCAGAAAATAACAGGTAAATTATGTGCGCACCACGGAATTTTAATGTGCATATCACTAGCCATAAGCCCGCTTACCTTCTTGTCCCCCTACCTTTATCGCTGTGCCCAGTCTCGCTATTCAACATGCCAATATCTTCTCTCTCCCGCTTTACCCACCAGTGTCTGCACCAACGGCCAAATTGGCGTGGCGTTATTATTCCCATACGCCATGAATTACGTGCTCATACCCGACTTAGCATACCAATAGATATCTGTAATTGCAAGCAAAATGCCTGGTCTGGGGTGTCTTAAGGATGCGGGTGAGAAGCGATGCTTACATGCCCTTAATTCCTTTTTCAAACCCCAGAGTAGGGGAGACATTTGCCACACCATTTTACGCCCTTAAGCGCCGTGCCATGTATGTCGTTATGTGAGGCCAGCCATGGCGTGATGCTAGAGCGTCTAGTGTATACCGCAAAGTTCCTAGTCTGGGATCGTGGCATCCTCGTGGAATGCCTTGTGATCGCAGATCCGCGGAGGCTTCGGGTGCCGCGTTGGGCGATGCGTCAAAGTGGCGCTTCGGAAAGATGGGCCTTGGGAGAGACAAGCAAGGCGAGCGAGGACTGGGTTGGCGGGGGCAGGGGAGGGCAAGGAGATATTCGTGCGATGCTGAGTCCCTAAGCTTTGTGGTAAGCGGTGTATGTATGTGCTGACGGGTTGAAGGATTGCTCATCGGTACGGTAGCGAAGCCGGCCATTCTCACCCGGACCGGCTTCGACAGCACCGGAGGCTGTCTGTACAGCGGTACACGTGGATGATGGCTCTAACGGAGTGAACATGTGTCGCTGGTGTTGTCCAGCTGGATCGATAAAGTTTGGTGTTAGGTGTTGGGCTGAGTGGCGATAGTGCAAGGTCATTCGTACATGGGGGGTTAATTGGATTAGGGGCTTCTGCAGTGAGCATCATTCGGTAACCGGGTAACTCGTACGTTTGATGGGCCACAGTACAGAAGTCATATCTGGCAATATTCTGGAGTAGGGAATATACATGGAAATTCCGTATGACACGTTTTCCCTTGGCAGAAGTTTGCAACAGTTGATGATTATTCATACAGAGTGTTGGAAAGGGATTGTCTGATTCGTCTATTCACAGTGGACGAAATTCGTTCGAAATCAGACGGAACAAAAGCCAGTCAACTCTGGACAATTGCTGCTGTTCGCCGGTTGAGACTGGTATAAATTCAACCTGCTGTATAAGGCGAGCTGGTATTCTCTCTAGACCACCACGAGGAGTCTGTACAGCTGCTTTCCCCACTCGGGGGTTTCAAGGAAGGATGATTTGAAATGTTGCACCGACATGTGGCCGAGATAAGCCAGCTAAGAATTGCAAAGTGCAGACTTGCCAGTAACGGGTGAAGGAGCTGGGGTAGGCGGAGTTAGTAGGGCCCGGAGAGTCGGTCGTACTGCAGTGAAGGCAATTTGTCCTGGGGACCTTGTTCACGGAAGCATGCAGTCTGCTACTCAGCGCCTAGAAGCGCTACAGGGCCTATGACTAAGATGAACCGTGACAATGCACAGCACACGCATGATATGTTCTGGGCTACTGCGGCATGCTGGTCGGCGACTGCTTGCTCTTATGAAAACAAAACTGGGGTGGATATACCGTCGGGCGGGAGGGTGTCGAGACAGAGGGTGAAGAGCAGCCAGGGAGCGAGCAGACATGTACAGTGCGGGCCGAGACGGTAGGCAGGACTGGGGCCCCTTTGGGACTTGATGTATGTATGCAGGTGTGTAAGTATGTAATATTCTTCACGGCTGGCGGGCGACCCAGACGGCCCCCTCCCTAGAGTGCCCATGACTAAGGCCACGCGTTGCGGCTAAGCCTGCAATGCATGTGACGTGCATTAGGCCGTTGCTTACCCAGGCCCGTCGCGGGCCCTGATAGGATGACATCACCCAACTGCCGCGAAAGAGGTCAAGACGGCATGGCAGCTCGCTCTAGCACAAGCTGACGTTGGCTCCAACCTCTGCTTTTGCCATCCTTTTTTCCTTTTTGCCCGCCCCATGGCGTTGCTCCTCACACGCCCTCGCCTCGCATGCACGGCGACTACACCAGCCGCAGGCGGTGCTTTTGCGGCACCCTTGCCCAGAGCGCGCGTTTCACTCCCACTCCTGCTCCCACTCCCACTCCACATTCCGTCGCTCACCGATGACCACTGGTGGCGTTATGGGAACCCACGTTGGCGACCCCCTGGGACCAGACGGGCCTGCCAGAGTGCCGGATTGCTGCATCCATTATCTGCGCCCTCCGGTGCGTCAATATGCCTGTGCCCGACCAGCCCGACGCGGCACTGGCTGAAGGATTGACCTGTGTGTGTGTCTCTCTTCATCGACGCATGCCGGCGGAGAGACACAGGTAGCTACCTATCGGCCCAGACTGCCGCATCAATACATACCAATGAACTGGCCATGCCGGCCTGTATCCCTACCGCTCCTCTATACAGAGGCTGCCCGATGCAACACACGTCGTTATGCGGCCGGCGAGCGAGAGAAAAAAGAAAAGAGCAAGAAGCCGTCTTCCCCGTATGCCACACCCAGAATACGCAGCGGGAGCTTTTCACATGCCCATTCCGCATCTTCTGAAATTAGCATCGGGTACCATTCCCACATGCAAGACGGAAACACAGAAGCGAATGGGAATCGTGCCGTGCGCGTCAAAGACGGCAAGGCTCGCAGAGCAAAGTAGCGATGCTCTCAACCAACTCTATCAAAGTGGGCGATCTTGGCCGATCTATGCGTGACATCCGACGCACGCAATTCACATCTTCAGGGATACTGCGCCAACTACACGCTAAAGGGTGTGGGCTGGGCCTTGATCGGATCTTAGACACACACGCACTCACTCATTCACTGGAGCCCCAACCACAGCTTGGCAGGCATACGCCTCGGAGTGGTTGGGCTTCAGCCTATCCACAACACTTGGCTCGACTGAAACAGCGGATGCTCCCGATACCAAAACCATGTGAATCGCTCCTGTTATCATCATGATGCTCGAAGGATCGGATCGAACCCCATCCTCCAAGAGTGGCTGAGTCTGGATCGCCAACAAAGGTCCAGCCGTTTAACTCCGTGACCATGTCGTCCGACAGCAACGGGTAAGCCGACAGCTTTTCTCGTTTACAGTTTCCAATCGTATACGCACCCACCGCCCAATGTGGTTACTCATCCGCCCCCACGACGTATTCGATCATATGCCTCTTGCCGACTTACCATAGCCTAGCGAGAGCCAACTGGAGCTCTGTACATACATATGCAGCCAATGTACTCGAACTCGACTCATAAGGCTGAGTAGAGAAAAGACCCTTTGTGTTTAGCGGCAGGCCAGTAGCCGTCATCCCAGCACTCATGGGTCGCCTAGCGGCGTTTTTATGCAATAGCCATGTTCGCTATAACTCTCTATGGCGAGGTCCAGCTGATCAGTTATGCGGTGCCGAAGCGATATGCGCTTGATTTTTCCTCACCAAGGCATGTCATGAGGATATGCTGCAGGTGCTGCCCCAGCCATGCACGCCCGAGCATGCTCTGCTCCACACGCTTTAGTTTCAGAACGCGTGCTTGTGGCAACCGAACGGCCGGGTAGCGAACCTGTCGCTCTCGTAGCAGACAAAGCTAGGTTGAGGTTTGGCGGTGAGCCACGCATCTATGCATCATGATTTTGCAGCAACTCTTTGTTCTTGCTGCAGCCGTCATCTCATCAATCAATACAGTGATTGGCATCCATGTTGGTGAGAAATCGCCCAATCCTTCGCTATCAGTATGTCTGAACACAGGGAAAGTGTTTGCTGCGCGAGGCGATACAGAGGCGATACCACCATATGCTGGCACTGGAGAGGAGCGACAGCGGCAAAGGGTGGAGAGGGGTCAACACTGTGATTAACTGATGCACACCAATCGGATGGCTATCCACTCCGTGAGCTCAACACTCGGCAACTTCTTCTGAGGGTTCGGCCCAATGGATACGTGCGGAAGTAGCGCCTAGAGACTCGGTAGCTCAACGGGGTCGCAGATGGCCGCATCCGAAGCGCCTTGCAGTTAGGATGTGTGGCCCGGACCATCACTGGCCATGCAGCCCAGAGACACACCATCACCCTGTTTTATTTCGAGCGAGGTCCGGTATGCCACGACGGGCTGAGCTAGTGGGTGTTGGAGCCCTAGCATACCGCGCGCCTTGTGTAACGTGGAGGACCATTCCCGACTGCGATACCGCCGGCCCTCGTGACAGTCACTGTAAGGCGCATGGGAAATCTCAGATCAGCCTCTGCCAGTATGCCTTGATCACATGCTGACGGTCCCCCACTTGAGGATGAGAGAGTCAGGTCCCATGAAGCCACGGGACTTGCCGTCTCATTCCACTGCATGTGAAGGATTGGGCGAATAATGATTGCTTTAAAATACCAACAGCGCTAGGCGCGGCGCCTCGGGTCGGCGGGTATAAGATCACACCAGTTCTTGCGATCTGCGGTAGCCCTAGAAGGATTGTATACGTACGGGTATACGTACGAAAATCGAATCTTCCATGGCTTCCCGATACGAGGCGCACCCCCCCTTCTAGCGAATGGATTCTCACCAGAACATGTGCCTTCAAAACACTTTAATTAGTACAAAATGCTTCGTCCTCAAGTGGAGATCAGGGTGGCAACCATGGAGCCACATGGCTTCCCGAAGAAAGCCCTACCCCTACCGTAAGCGAGAGCTGTCAATGCGGTAGGGGACGTTGGTGAAGAGCAGACGACCACTTGACCCCATATGGTAAAGATTTGATGCCTCCCGCTGCGTATACTGGCACTGTGGGCCCGAGTGGCAGGCCATCACTGAGTATTTCTTCTTCGCCACGTCTGACCGGCAGACTTTGGCATGGCGGGTTTCGGATCACAAGTAATACCAAAAAGGTAGGTGTAGACATGGGATTCTTTCTTGCCGCACCATCCTAGCGAGAAAGTGTGTTGGGGCTGATTCAATGAATTTGGCGGCTCAATCAAAGGTAAGCCTTGCCTTGACGAGGGCGGGTCAGTCAGCTCTAAATTCACACCGGCACTCCGCACTGCCACCCACACACACACACACACACACAATGACAAGGCGATCAGCGATCACTCGATATTCGCTTTGAGAAGCATTCTTGTTCCTATGGAACAAAGTATAAGAGGGCCCTCCGCACACACTGTTGGATAACCACATCCCCACTACAAACACAATCGCCCCCGTACTGACCAATATTTTTTTCCAAGTCTACCCATCTCAAAGACCGAAACTTTGAACTACGCAACACCAGTTTTCATTAACGGGGCCCAGTCTCGTACAACCGTTTCATTTGACCATGGTGCCACCGGCCCTCAGCACGAGGTCTTCCTCAGAAAGCTTATACAGCAACTCTTCATCAGTCTGTAGTGCACCAGACAGGCTACCCCCAGCGATAACAGGCCCCATGGTATGGCAAGGGAATGAGCTCGATCCAGCTGAATATGTCGTACAACTGAGTGATGGGGAAATACGAGATATCAGGGCCGCTATTATCAAATTTAAGCGTAACTTTCCCCAACAAGACGATGCTCACATCACGTCATCCGTATATTAATATGAACTAACCATATTCATCACCAGTCACCGGGCTTGCACGCTCGGAAATCAGCGCAAAGACATTTGATCTCGGCAATCCAGAACTCGCCAACAAACTATCGTCGCTGAGCAAAGACATCCATCTTGGTCGAGGAGTCGTTGTGCTACGAGGCCTCGATACGGCCTACTTGAACGACGAAGAAGCAGTCATTGCCTTTGTTGGCGTATGCTCACATATTTGCCCGGAACGCGCCACAGATTCCTACGCCAACCAGACGCTAAGCCACGTGCTGGATGCGACTAAGAAGCCTGTGCCAGCAGAATGCAGGGGCATTGGGCTTGCAGGCTCAAAGGTCACGGCTGCCATGGACTTTCACAGCGACCGGTTCTCTGGAGACGTGCTGGCATTGTATGTCCGCAACGACGGAGGTCCCGGGGCCGGCGGCAAGCAATCTGTCGTTAGTTTTGCTCGCATTTACAACGAGCTTCTGCAATCAGACCCAGAGGTTCTGGAGACGCTGGCAGAACCGGATTGGCCGTTTGAATTGAAGAAGAAGTAAGTTGATATTGCACCATTTCTTTTCTCCGTCTATCGTCATACCTACCAGAACACTCTTCACATTCCCTTCCCCTTTTCTTTTCCCTATTTTTTCATCTTTCCTTCCATTACTCGTGCTAGTTCCCATCGGAAGGACTTGCCCGTTCCGCAAAAGATAAGTGGAAGCGAGAAGAATGAGAGAAAAGATGAAAGGAGAGAAGGGAAAAAAGCACAATTGCCGTCGAAAAGACGCAAAAACAAGCGCAATAATACAAAGCAAGAGATAAGCTCCGCTAACGCACGTCACCCCATTTCGCTAGGGACGGCGCGCCTTACCTTGAACCGGGCCCGATTCTCTTCTTCTCCCAGGGTAAACCCATTTGCCAGCTTGTCAAAGCGCCTTTACTCGGCACGCCCAACCTACCGCGGGACGCGCAGCTCCCCCCGCTCAGTGCACGGCAACACCGCGCCCTGGCGGCGGTGGAACGGCTCGCCAAGCAGTTTAGCACGCAACTTGACCGTCAGCCGGGTGACATCCAGCTTGTGCACAATCTGTCCGTCATGCATGCGCGTTCCGAGTACCGCGGCGCTAGGCGTAGCAAGAATAGTCACAGCAGCAGTAGCAGCAGCAGCAGCAGCATGAGGAGAATGAGGAGTAGCAGTAACAAGCACATCAAGGAAACCCATGACGATGACGACGAGGACGCGCCCAGCACTCGCCATCTCCTGCGCATGTTCCTTCGCGACCCCACACATGCCTGGGCCAAGCCGCATACTACCAGCACCACTGCCGACTTGAGGGCTCCAGACACAACCGCTAGCACTACTAAAAACAGCTTCGACGATCCCTTTGAGCCTGGCAGACCGCAGAACCTTCCCGTCTTCGATACAGACCCCTGGCGCATTATTAGTGGCCGCGAGAGCCACGGCTAGTCTACAGTAGTGTGTGTGTGTGTGTGTGTCTTGCTGGCCGGCCTACTGCCTAGGCAGCATGCTACCATACATACATACATACATACATACATACACCATACATACATATGTATGCTGTATGTACGACAACGAATTCGAGCCCCCCCCCCCGCTTACCCGCCCGTATGACGTGCAGAAAACAATGGACCTACTACTAGCTGTAGGCGTACGGTGCCCCCCCCCTTTTTTTTCTCTCTTGTCCTGGTCAAAACTCGCCCGCCCACTCTTGCCTCTGCCGCACCGGCTTGCACTTGTGTTGCTGCGGCACGCATGTGGGGGCGGCGCGTTTTTTCAACAAGTAGCTAGCTAGCCAGCCAGCTAGGCGGGAGATAGACATGCGCCGTCTCAAATCTCTTTTTTTTCCTTTCTCTTATTTCAAGTTTTTTTGTTGAGTTTCTTTTTTGGGGGCGGCGGCGGTTGGCGCAAAGGAAGGGGGGGATGGGAGGGGAGGGTCTCGGTCGTTTGTTCCCTCAAGTCTCTCTCTTTTTGTGTGTGTTTTTTTGTTTTGTTTTCCTCTTTCCTTCACTTTTTCGCAATTTCACGGGGGACTCGGGTTTCTGGGCAAAGGAAATAAAAAGCGTGTTCTAGGTCCGGGCGGTAACATATTAATCTGAGTTTTTTTTCCTTCCTTTTCATCTCTTACTCTGGCAAAACTTACTTCCTCCCCCTTTTTTCTTTACTTAATGACTAATTTTACTTTTATCTTTCCTTCCGAAATGGAGGGCGGTTGAAACATTTGTTACTTTTGTCAGTGTGTTAATTCACTCATTTTCTATTAATGCTTGCTCATTGATTCGGTCTTTCATTCCGGGTTGAGTAAAAAATTTAGATTCGTAGCAGCATTGGGCATACTTGAGCCAAAAAAAAAGTATCGTCATCCAGAATTCGCTTTGTCTCTGGTGGTCCTTTTGTCGTTGTTATTGTTATTTTTTTCTTGCGTATTCTTTTCTCGTTCCTCCTTCCCCGTCCCCGTTTCCCCGTCGCTTTCGAATACGAAATATGAAAAAAAATAAAATAAAACAAAAAAAAGTCGGAGTGGCGTAAAACCCTTTTTGTTGAGCAGCGAGCGGGGCTTGCAGTTTGTAGGGCGATTCGTGGCTCATCTTCGGTGCATGACTGGGTATCAAAAAACAAATGGAGTCCCAATGACTCGGGCGAGAGAGGGGGCCAGCCGCTCACGCTCCAGCTTCCCTGAAGAGCTTGACAATCCATTGACTCGAAGTTGACCAATGGGCCGATGCAAACCCTGTCAGTGGTGGCTGAAAGCGATCTACACAGAAAAAAAAAGAGGGACATGTTAGCACCAATGCTGCAGTAGTACCCAAGGGGAGCATCACTTACCCGGGTTGTTCCGTTCAAAGAGACTGGCAATTCCCGTTACATAGTGGAAACCCTCGGTATCAATGTGGCCACGTTCGCGTAATTCTTCCGGGTTGTCGCGTGCCAGTTTGAAGGGCGAGTAGCCACGGAGAATGCAGCGCCAGTGGTACAGGAGAACGGGAAAGGCAAATTCCCATTTTTTGATCTGCGTCGTGACTACGTTGCTGACTTGGTTTTCGAGCAACTAGTGGCAAGTTAGCAAAAAAGGACAAACCTCGGAGCCAATTGTAAGGACTAACCGTGCCATTCTTCGACTTGATATAGTCTTGGGCTCCGTGGTGGATGTACTCGAGGTTCCAGAAGATGACATAAAACGTTAGAAACAGTTCGTACCATGGCTTGATCTTGGGCTTGAAGATCAACGCAGCTAGCTCCTTGACAAACAACTTCTCCAACTTTCGAAGATATTTGACAGCAGCCACGTCCATTTGGTGAGTAATGGCGCCAGGGAGAGGACGATCGCAAGATCCTCGATCGTATGCTTCGTAGTCGCTGCGGCCAAGCCTCGAGTAATCGTACTCGCGTATCCCAGGTATGTTGGGCGAGAAGACTGAGCCGTAGCCCTGAGAAACCACAGAGAGACACTGGAGTCGCATGGCTAGGTCGAGAGCCTTGCTTCCCGTTACTCTCCGCATGCGTATCACTTCCTGATAGGTGCTATAGGCGATCTCGTCCCGACTGATGCGAGCAAAAATCCACTCTTCAATAGCGGGCTGGAGGCTGGAGAAGTACCGTTCGACTGCCACGACGAGATTTGCCGTATCATATACCGCATACGCTGGCTGCTCGACAGACGGCACTTGTCCTTCCCTGTTGGACCAGACAGACGTAGCAACATCGAGCGGCCCGCGCTTGGGGCTATAAGGACGAAAGGCGATGCGCAAGGGGTGCGCGTTTGGTATGGGGCCATACCCAGGCAGGCTCCAAATAATCTCCATTTCGTAGAGCTGACTGTTGTGTATCCAGTCGTAAGCAAGGAACTCGGCCTCTTCCTGGTGCTCACGGCCATTGCCTGTTACATGGTGAGCAATCGAGTACTCTGAGTAAGCAGCTACGACATACAGCGACGAATCAGACTGGTGTCTTCGAGGTGTTCTCGATAGCACGGCTCACGGAAGGACCTGGCATGGCCTGTGATCTTTTCACACTTCTCACACGGATCGCCCTCGTCACACTAGATGCGTCAGCCTGAAGACGGTATGCTCAAACGACACACGTACACCCGACTTGTAGAACCTGCAACGGACACATATGCGCTTGGTCTTGCGCATGGTATGCGTCTTCTCCCTCTGTCTCTCCTGGAGGGGGCCTTTCCGCTTGGACACTTTGAGCTTCTCCTGCCGCTCAACAAACGACGAAGGCACTTTGGCTGCCTTCTTCTTGGGCAGGGGCCTCGGGTGGGCTATAGGCTGTGAAGGGGTCCGGTCCAAGTGATCTACAGGCGCATGGTGTGGAGCGTAGAGCTGGTGGTCTACGGGCGCTTCGGCGACGGGCCAGTCCTGGCCCACGTTGGGAGGTCGCTCGTACATGGCAGGCGCATTCGGAGTTTCGCTGGGCTCGACCATGGGCCATGGAGCAGTAGTCGAGGCGCTGTCGTGCCTCGTGGCCGGCAGACTGGTTGCAATGGGGTCATTGGTATGGTCGAGGAACTGGGCGTGGGCGGGCCAAGGGGCAGCAGCACCAACGGCACGGTGCAAGGGTGGATGGGCTACATGGTTTGTGTGCAGCAAGACAGGCTGCGGTTGGGCATGCGATGGTTGTGGGACTGGGGGCAGCTTTTGGGCATGATTCGAGTATGGTGGGTCTACCGAGTTTGCGGGGGCCTCCTGGCAAGACTTAGTCGCAATGGCAAGCGTATGGAGAGAGCACAGGAGCCGTGGTGTGCACTTACTGACGATAGGCGCAAGTGATGAAAGGAGTCGTGGGCAGCGGGCAGCGCAGGCTGGTGGTTGTGGTGGTGGTGGTGGTGGTGGTCATGATGGTAGGGCCGGGCCGTAGCAGGAAGCTGGTGGTGCGGCACGGGCGCGGCGGCGTCGGCGGCGTGGCAATACGAGAGGGATGCGCGCGACGTAAATGTCTCGTCATGGTGATGGTGGTGCTGGTGCTGGTGGTGCCATTCGTGAGCAGCAGGCGGCGGGTGTCTGACATAACCAGCCGCCCAGGTCGCCGGGGCAGCAGCCAGGCCATGTAAACTAGCGGGCTCGACTCCGGGCTGGGGGTAGTGGAGAAAAGCCGCCGTCGAGGGGCCGATGGCGTACGAGTCGTGGGTAGCAGCGACGATTCCTACGGCCGCTGCATCTGGCGGCCAGTTGGGCAGGGCTGCTACTCCCAGAGGGTCGTGGGCGGCCGTGGCAAAGTCGTGGTAGTGCGAGGGCGTGTGGGCGGGATTCCTGTACTGCGGGCTGCTCGTCGACATGGAGGGCTGCTCGAGAGGCCGCCTGGCGATGCTGGGGAGGATGCGTGTCGCAGGCAAAGACGGCCGCCTGAGCCATAAACCGACGCTTACGCGGTAAAGGAATTGGATGGTAGCAAAGGCTTAAGGTAAGGAGTCTCCCACGGGCGGCTGGCCGAGAGCCAACCTTGGAACCGGACGGCTTTCTGCGTGTCAGTGCCATGCATGCCTTAGTTTCCGTTAGGGCTGCATCTCCCCGCAAACCCGCCTGGCCCTCGCTGCTCGCCCACGCCCGCCCTCTCGCCAGCCGCCGCCGGAATGCGCTGAACTGCTGCTGTTGCTGTCGCTGCTGTCGCTGCTGCTGCTGCTGCTTTGCTTTGGTGTTGACCCTCTGCTGCCCGCGCGCCGCCTTGCGTGCCTGCCCTGCGCGCTTTGCCAAGACAAGACGGGGTCCGCGCGGCCCTCTGCCTGCCAATGCACATGTGCCCTTCACTCCAACACCACGCTTGGCCCCCCCTCCCCCTCTCCGGAGAAACGCGCACGCAATCGCCAGTTCGCTAATGCCCACGAGCTCCGCGCACCCTCCGCCATGCCATGTCGTGCAGCGGCACTCGCAAAGCCGGTATTATTCCAGGAACGCCTCCCCCTACGTCACATGCCCAGCGCGAGCCCTCGCACACCATCCCCTCACCCTGCATATTGGCACTGGAACTGGCGCAATTCCATCTGACCGCGGCCTCTCTCATACCCAAACCATGTGGATGCAGAATCTGACGCCCTGATGTCACCATCGCCTAAGAAGGCGTCCAGCGTCTGTCGTCCAGTCGTCGCCATGTCCCCCATGGTGACTGCATATGAAGCTCCTCGGACCCGAGATAATGGCCACCACCACCACCCTCACAAACTCTCCACCATCGGTGTGAGATATGCCTGTCGATCTGCAGCCGGGCCCCGCGTAAAAAAAAGCGCGGTAGTCTTAGCATTAGTAGAATGTAGGTTGTATCTTGGTAGACGCTCACCGGTACCGAAATGGCAAGCAGGTTTCGTCGGCCGTTAGCCTGGGCCAAGCACAGAGGACCCTTTTTTGCTTTGAAATGCCCGGTCAAAAACAAAGCAGAATAGTTTGCAGCAACATACACACGACCGCATAACCAAAGGCCCGGGATCAAACTATTCCAAGTGCACATACACGCACGCCATCCCGTCATCTTGGGAATAAGTAAACAAAAATCATGCGTACATTATTTCCGTTGCGCTTATGTGATGTATTGAGCGGTGTGAGATTGGTATTATCAAGGGGGTGGTGAGGAAATTCATAGTAGTGCTCGAATGACCTGTGGGGAAAAAGAAGGAGAAGTGAGGGGGGTATACAGCATTAGCTAGTGAGATACAGTCCAGACCTTAATAACACAATTCGTCCACGGCCTGACTTATTACTCAGACCTACTCTTCTTTGCCTTGGGCTTAGCCGTACTCTTCCGCTCCCTCTTACCGCTCTCACTCTCGCCCTCATCATCATCATCATCTTCATCTTCTTCATTTGCATCCTCCGTCTTCCTCTTCCCAGCAGCAACTCTCGCAGACCTCCTCGTTCCCTCCGTCCTCTTCTTTCCCTTTCCCTTCAACCCGTCACCTCCTTTCTTCTTGGCCTCATCTTTCGCTTCAGTCCCTTTACTTTGCCTCGCCCCCCTCCTTTTCTCCGCCCCCGTATCAGCTTTTGCCTCTGTCTTATTCTTCTGCGCACTCGTAGGAGCATCTTCATCCTGACTCTCCTCCTTATCTCCCTTTTCATCTTCGTGGCCCTCCTCCTGCTTCCCACTCACTTCGCTTCTCTTCTTGCCTTCAGATTTGCCCTCTGGAACCCCTTTCTTCGGCTCATTCTTACTCCCAGCCTCATTCTCATATCCGCCTCCCTTTTTCTCGTATTCCTTTGCCAATTTACTTGCCTAACGGAATTAACAACAGCTCCATGATCCTGTGACGAGTGAGGTACCCCGTATCCAGTATAAGAAGAAGAAGAAGAAGATGGTTGAGAAGAAGAGAAAAAGAAAACTCACTTTCCACGCACTCCACTGCCCCTTTCCACTCCCATCTTTATTCGTCTCCATCTTGACATCTTCCTTGACTTTCTCCCGGAGCTGCGGATCTGTCGGCTTGCCTTTACTCGAGGGCCTGACCAAAAAACAGTCATCATTGTAAGCAAAAAAAAAGTAGTATCAGGAATAGTCCAATCCGTGACGCAGAAACACGGGCGTCTGGATAGAAGGGAAATCCACGTACATGTTTGAGTAGAAAAAACCCAGTAGGGCAAATTACCAGTTTCCAGGAGACAAAAGGCTGGATTAATCTCCTCTTTCTTCTTCTTCTTCTTCTTCTTCTTCTTCTTCTTTCTTTCTTTCTTTCTTTCTTTTTTCGCACTTCTTCTTTCTCCTTTCCTACTCTTTTCCTTGTCAAACCTCGCACTGTTAAACCTCCAAGCAAAGTATCCAGGGATACCTCACTTTCAAATACCGTGTCGCACACACACACACCCCCCTATTTATCTATTCTTCTCCCTTACTCGTTACGGTGTTAAAAGGAAGGAAAAAAAGGGCGGATTGTTAGCGTACATGTGTATTTGTGTTCAGGCTAAGCAACGATCATGACATCATGACTTTTATATGTCTGCCTTTGTCGCATTCCGGCTTCGGCTACTAAAAACACTCATGGTGTGACGACTCGATTGACTTGAACGCCAACTAGCCTGAACCTTATGGCTCATTTGCACTGCAGCTGTGCTGTGTGTTTGGACCTGATAAACCCAGAAAGGCGTGCCACTAAGCCGTCTTTCTCAACCACGCTTGATGCACGCGGGAGCAACAAGCAGGATGAAGTCGAACATCTTTTTTTTTTGCTCAATCTTGTTTTTCATCCTCTTCTTTTTTTCGCTCAGGTTTAGACAATAGTGAAAAAACAATAAAAAAAAGGCAAGGAACGACATATAAAAAGGTGAGAGAAGATAATACAAATATATTGCATAAGTACTCATGTGTGTACCCCCCCAAAACAAGCCAATCCACCCAACCCAACGAGCCTAAGCCAGAACAAAAAAATACACCCTCGCTGATGCGCGTGTCAAGAATCAAGCTAAAACCCAGCCGTCCCTGTTAAACTATGCGTGTACAAACTCTATTTTAACCATGTCTATCACACCCATGTCAGGAGCTCTGGTTGCTAACCTTCCTAATAGTCGGCCGCCCGCTAACCCCGCTATTGCGCCCGCTATCACGTACATCCGTCGATATCTCTTCCACAGGCTTAAACCTCCTCTCTGCTTCGCGTATGATGTGCTCCGCCTCTTCCATGATGTCGCCTCCGACTCTCCAGCTGCGCAAGGCCACGCCTTGCTCGCCCAGTACTTGCTCAGCATGCGCCCATCTTTGACGCCAAAGGATTTCTTTCTTTGATCCGTACTGCTGCTCTCCTGCGGGCCCGCTATTCAGCGTATTTCCTGTGTTTGTGCGATTAACGCCTTGTCGTGGCGCGGCTGTGGAAAAAGGTTGTGATGTTTGCGCCGAAGTTATCGGTGGGCGGTTGTGGTAGGGTATGGATGGTGCATTTTGCCATGCGGAAGATGCTTTGGAGCCAACATATGATGCTGCGTTTGTGGTTGTTTCGCGGTTTCCGCGTCGCGGTGGTGGTGGAGGAGGGCCCTTTCGGACGCCAGTGACATCAAGAGTGGATGCATTTGAACTGGGCTCCTCTGTCGACCTCAATGCAGGCAGGTTGTTGTAGACGGACCACAGCTTATCGCGAGCCATGCCAGCATATGTTTGTTGGTCTTCCGGTGTCTGGTTTTGATAGCTCATAGATGGCTTGGGAGCTACTGGGGGTTTTGGATTTCCCGGTGTATTTGCAGGTCCACGTGCATTTTGCTGCTGTGTAAGAGGACTTGATTGGCTGACGACTGCTGATGATATCCTTGGCTTAGGCGGCGGTGGTTTTGAAGTGGAAGGCTGTTTGAGAGATGCGGATTCACTTGGACTTCTCAATCCGACTGGTTTTCTAGGAGGCGGGGGAGCAGACTTGGTACTAGCAGCAGATGCGGCTGAAAGACGTTGCCGCTCATTGTAGGCTCTGGTATCCGAGTTGAATCTTCTCATTGCAGGCGACTGGTCTACGTCGTCGTCTGAGGACAGGTCTATCAGGTTTGGAGCTGATCTCTGCCGGGAGCTGTCCGGTGGGCCAGGTCTCCTAGCTGGCAGCTTTGGCGGCTGTTCGCGATTCAACTCTGGAAAGAGTGACTTGGAACGTCTGTTATTCTCTGCATCCATTTCACGTAATGATGCAGCAATCGCGGCCTTGAGTTCGGGATCATTTTCTTCAGACAGTGTTCGAGCCTTGCTCAGGGATTCCAAACTACCGCCACCACCGAGTTGCGCTGGCGGCGAAGACGACGACCGGCTGCCTGATGAAGGATTTATTGAAGGGTCGAAAAAGCCAGGATTTTCCGAGGTGGTGACATCGCGAATAAACACTGCAACTACTCTTCCAGGGTTATCCAGGACAAAATCAGTATACACTTCGAGATCAGCCTCGCCACTATCACCAATCAAGATGAAGTTGCGCTCTGGAAAGTCCCTAGCAATCTTATCGAGGGTGACCTTCTTTCTCTCAGCAACAGGCTCGAAGATACCCTGCATCATACCGCTATATTGCTTCAAGTGGAATGAGCCCGGCGGCAGTCCAGCCAGAGAAAAGTACTTGGAGATGACAGGAAATAGCTGCCAGGGTGAGTTTGAGACGTAGTGAAACTTGACCCCCATTTCTGCCATTCTGTTGTACCACTCCCTAACACCGTCGATGGTGAGGTCGAGGAGGTCGCGAATGAAGACATTGCGGAAGATTTCGCGAGCACCGCTGCCAATGGCAGAGTGCTTGATGGTGTCGTCAATATCGCTTATCACGCTGATACCTTGAGAAGCAGTGATGATCACTTCTTCTGTTGCCGAGAGCTTATCAGAGGCTAGTATGCGTACGTGGGTGGGCACAAAGTCCAGTGCCGCGGTTAGACTAAAGTGTCCTGCAGCGTCCGTGTACACTGTCCGCTGCTTTGAGATGCTGTCGTTGTAGAAAAAGACGCTGATGGGTGTGTTGGACATGGGTATGGCAAGGAAGTGGCGTAACCTAGCCATAAGCCGGGCATTGGCTTCCGCAAGCTCTGCCGCGCTCATCTCAGACGGCTGGTTCCATGAGCTACGCTTTTGCAGGGGTTTGATGCCAGCCTCGCTTCGCATGGAATCCTGTGATGGGCTATGAGCCAGCTGGTGTACCCTATCATTGTTCGGCCGCATGCTGTTCCCACTTTCCGTCCGGTATATCTCAATATCATTGTCTTGCCGAGCCGGCCTCTCGCTGTAAGCACCGCGTGCAGCAGCTCTCGCCTCGCTTTCGCCTCTACGCAGAATCTCTTCTGCTTCTCTCGCAGCGAGCGCTTCGTCTTGTTGCGCATCGCGCTGGTGGGCTCGTTCTCGGAAGCCCGGCCGTTGCGGACTGGTATCTCGACTGCTGTCTGCAGACGAGCCAGAGGTCTGCGGAGGTGCCTGTACACCAACAAGCTGTCGCGCAAGACCAACAAAGAGCCTCTGTTTCCTCGACATGGGCCCCTTGTGCGGCGAGTATATCCACCCGCGCACATCGACGTCTACCACGGCATTGTCGTCCTCGTAGTTGTTCCACTGTTCTTTCCAGAACTCGGCATCGCCCGTACTACTCGAGTTGCGTGTATCGCGCCCTTGGCTGCCGGCTTCCTGCATAGGTGCTTGTGATGCTTCCGGCTTCTTCTTGACATGTCTTCGGGCGTAGCTGGGAAAGAGAACCATCTCCTCGCGGCCACTCCTGACGACGGCGGCGTCGGGAAAGTCGCCTGGCGAATCATCATCGTAGTTGTATTGCGTATCCCTGTTGTTCCAATTGGATGTGTATTGCTGCGTGTATGTCTGCCTGAGCTCGTTCGCAGCCTTGAGGTAGCCGGCCAGCTTTCGCCTCCGCGACCCCGGCTCGCGTGTGTCGTAGCTCTCCTGGTACGTCATTGCAGGCTCCTTCGATGCGTTGCCGCCTGGATGCTTCGCTATCTGCTGCCGCCGCTCTCTGGCAGCATCTTCGAGATAACTGGTGCCGCTCAGGCGTCGGATGTAGCCCTGCAGGCGCTGGACAATGGTCGGCTTGCCCCGGAGCTTTTGGGCCTGGCGATAGACGAGATAGCGGTATATGCGAGACTGGGCGCGGTGCTTGAGCGAGGGAAGCGTGTCGTGGCGGAACTTGGAGAGGTGAAGACGCGCGCGGGCACGAGTCCGGGGAAGCAGGAAGCGGATGATCGACTTGCGACCGTGGGCAGAGGGCTTACGGCGGAAGGGTAGCTTGGGCATCTACCCGACTAAATGGCCGTAATTGTGTCCGGGACGAGCGTATGCGTGTCGCGCTGCTGGCCAAAAGCGCGCCGCATGAGCCAGGCACGGCTGGTGCTCGAATTAAGGCACACGACGTCATTCGTGGAGGTGCACGGCGATCGCGTGGTTGAGGCTTGACCTGCCTGCGCAGCCACACTGACTTGGGCAATCGACGGCATCTTTCTCGCCGAGCGTATACGCACCCCCAGTGACATGGGCTGATGGCAAGGCAAGGCATACATCATTGCGCGTTACACAGGGCCTTGTCATCCATGTTGCCTTGTTACAGTTCCGACAGACCCAGGCTTACGCGCAGTCTCTCTTCCAAGTGGCCAACATGCTGACCGAACAACTTGTTCATTGCTTTGAGAGAGCAGCATCTACAGCCTTTGCGACGCCTGGAACATCCTTCTCCAGTGCATCCACAATCTCGTTCCACATTCTCTCGCCCAGCTCCTTCATCCCAGTCCCCTGCAAACTAGGTGGCGTCGGCTGAATCTTGTCATGCTGCCAGAACCGTCCATGTACCCTCTCTCCCTGTGTCGTCCCGCTCAATACTATGTTGGCCCCCTGGGATGGCGTCCGCATAAACAACAGAATGAACAAAAAGGCTAAAATCTGTACGCCGGAAAAGAAATGGTCTCGACCCAGGTCTGTGTTGACCCAGCCGGGACAGACGCTCGTGACGATGACGTCGCCAGAGGAGATCTCATCGGCGAGCTTTGTTGCAGCGTACATGAGGAAGACTTTGGAGAAGCTATACTGGCTTCCCTCCTTGTGGTTCTCTTTTTTGTTGTAATGCTCGAGTATGCTGGGTTCCTGGCGGATCTCGGGCGCCATAACTGCTTTCTGGTGGAGACCAGAATTGACAAACTCTAGAATTGGGATTTTACCCGTCTTCTGTTTGGACTGCTTGAGCTTCGGCAAGAGTAGGATAGCCAGGAGCGTCGTCGAAAGTGTGTTGACCTGTATATCCTCTTCCCAGCCACACGGCGACTGATGGAACGCGATTCGTCGAGTGCCAGCGTTCAAGACAGCTATGTCGAGGTGGTCGAGCTGATTTGCTCGATTGGCAAATGCTTCTACACTGTTGTACAACATCATATCCAATTGCCACACTTCGATTTGGCCCTTCCGCCCAAGACGAGCTTCCAGCGCAGCCTTTGTTGATTCCCCCTTGTCCAAATCTCGCGCTGTGATGATGACCTTGGCAGCTCCTAGTTTGGCAAACTTAAAGGCCGCCTCTTTGCCGATGCCGGATGTTCCCCCAGTCACAATGATGATTCGTCCAGTGTAGTCTTCATGAACCTCCTTGGGTGGATTAATCCATTTGTTCGTGAAGACCTTGATCATAGCGGCCATGGTTAGTAAGAATCTGAATCCACAAATTGCTGCGGTGTTAGGATGACAAGGTATAGTATCCAGGTAGATCGCCTGGCACTCCCGTGCAGCACTGAGATGAGCAACACCGGGGTATGAAGAAGAGGGAGGTCAGGGGAGGCGTCGATCTATCTACTGTACCTGTGAGGCGGCCTAGCTCGGCTCCGATTCGCCCGCTGCTGACTGGTACAATCTAAGGCCTCGACTAGACAGCACTGACCTACGAGTAAAATAAGAGTGCCATGAGTAGTCAGGTACCGGTTACTGTGACTGATTATGATTTAGCCTTAGTCGTCCTAGAATACGCTGCTGTCGGTACGAGTGGCACTAGATGGCGGGCAATGAGAGGCTGACTTCTCACCGGACAGCAAACAACAGGCCCTTCAGAATGCTACTCTGCAGCATACCCAGCCGCCAGAGGACAAGCCATCTCAACCGTTCGAGTGCGGAGAGAGGGAGCAAGGGATTGGCAGCAGCCGTCACCCTCTCGCTCCATGACTAGCGCGGGCTTGGCATACGCGAACCGTTGGCGATTTCGGGCAGCCTCACCTACGTAAACACCAAAGTGCAAGTCCCAAGCCGCAGACGACGCCTCGCCATGATAGCTCCATATCAGTCGCCCTCTCGCCACCGCTAAGCAATTCACCACAAACAGCACCCCCGTCGCATTGAGGAAAAACCCCCCCATACGTCATGGCCTTCAACCAACAGCCCCCCCGAGGCCCCGCGGCCGCTGGAGGAGCCCCGAATATGGGCCCCGACTTCAACGCCATGCTCCAGCGCTCCATGCAGGCGCCCGGCCAACTGCAGCCGCAAATCTCAGAGCTTCCTCGGGGCCCATCGCCAGGCATGGGTGAGGGCGCACCCCGCTCAATCGCACCACGGCGCAATGCTAATGCTCCCACACCAGGCTACGAGGGCGTATACAGTGCCACACCTCCGCCCCAACAACACGGCCCCAATGTGCTCGGCGGCGCGCGAGGCCTCGCCCCGCAGCCCATATTGCCCGTCGATCTCCCCCCGCAAGCGTTCCTGACGTCGGCGATGCTGCTGGATATGGTGGACAGTATGGCCACACTTTGCACGGCGTACCCTGGCACAGCATGTTGACACCGCAATAGAGAAGGTTGACGTTCTCCTCCGCGACGAGAAAGAGTACATTGGCATTCTCCGTTCGTACGACCAATTCGGTACGTCGAGCTGCCCGCCGCCCTCGTCACTTAGCAGCAGCAGCAGCACGTCAGCTAACCACCACCACCACCCTTCAGCCAACCTCGTCCTCACAGAATGCTACGAGCGGATAGCAGCACGCAACCCCGACGCGACCCCGTCCTCCGACCCTTCGATGCCCCGATGGCTGATAAACGACGTCAAACTCCCCGGCGTCATGACTGTGCGAGGCGAGAATGTGACCATATGCGCGACTGTCGATCTCGACCGGGAAGAATATCCGAGGGGCGCAAAATTCGCCGAGGAAGACCAGGTCAGGGCCCTGGCGGCGGCACAAAAAGCTGAGAAGAGGGAAGTCGATTCGCGGAGAGCCAAAGCGCTCAAGCAAGCTGGCATTGAGCCTGGGTTTGGTATGCAAGCATAGTCAACAAGGTCACGTCTTGTACACATAACATGAGAAAAGAAAAACGGGCAGACACTATGGATATGGGTTATGAAACGGATGGTGTATGGTTAGGGAGGGAATCATTACGAGTCCTTGATAGCTACGTTGGCTGGTTACGATATCAATGATACCAGGACGCCATGTCCACCTGCGATAAAGCAATGCACCCCCCCGGCTCCTGAGATCCGCGTTTTGACATGCATTCCAAATATAGCATCAAATCCCTTGCCCTGGTGTTTAGCGCCAAGCATCTTCACGTGTTGTTCAGAAAAGTGCAGGGCTTTCCCCTTGTACCTCACTTGGTCTCTATAAAAATTGCCTTTTGAATTTGCACCGGCGGATTTTCGAGCAGCAGCCATGCACCCTACGAGGGAGACGTGGAAGCCGATGCTGGCATCTAATATTGTATGGTTGTGTGGAATAAGATCGGCGTGGATCTACTCCTAATAGTACTACTCTGGAGTTTGTTCGTGTCAGCGCGTCCTGTCCTGCCAGCGCACGATTAGACGCTGAGAAAAATGACTGTGTCTGCAGCAGTTTTGTGTTATGAAACAGACAAACAGTTGTGCCTTGCACAGGATGACCTCAGCACGCCGTCTTGGTGATGAGCTGGTAGCTGGACATGTCCCATCCGGGGGGCGGTATGCAAAGCTGGAATGGCGCCACTCTGTCGCCTATCCTTCCATCTTTGTTGCAACTCTGTATGCGCTCCATGCGTACATATGATATGCAGATAGGCATGGAGTAAGCGCTTTATTAGGTCCCCAAGTAGCACCGGCGGGAGGCTAGCAGGCTGACGGACACCGACTTTCGCGAACGGCTGCAAACATGTGCCATTGTTCTGCCATTTGCTACCGAGCTGTCTTCGTATTCCCAATACATGTTTGTCAACCGAATGGCCATGGCAGCCAGGCCAACGGGCACCCTTGTGCGATTGTGACTGTGACTGTGACTGTGCTGCGGAGCGGAGCGGGTACTGCGACTCGAGCAGGATATAGCGGTGGAGGCAGGCCGTGAGTAAGCAGATATAGTGCATTGCTTTTGTGTGGAGAGAGGAGCTAGCGGGCCAACATATGGGTCCGTAGAGCGACGTGGAGAGGTATAAAGTCGGAACGGGGGATTGCGTCGCGTTGCTCGGCCGTGTTGCACAGAAGACCTAGCTCAGTCTACCATGGATCTTCTGCGGCTTCTACTTACATGTGATTGTGTGGGCAAGTCGCCTTCCGCCGATGCATCCCCTTGCCGGCCCCATGCAACGACATCTCGAGGGGCTTTGTTGAAGCTCGGCAAAGACCGCAATGGTAGGTATCTGCATCTGACCCGCGCTCTTTTCGGAGACATGCACGCCGAGTCTGACGGCGTATAACATGGCATCGTCGCCGTCGAATTGGCTGGCGTGAGGTAGCAGCTGTGAAGCGGAGGCTACCAACCATCTCCCTCGGAGCTTGAATCATGGCCCAGCAGAGAGAAGGGCCACGAAAACAGCCGTTTCCGTTGTTTCCAGTGCTTTCCAGGACATTGGCGGGCGTCCCCGCGCCTGGCTGCATAGGAGCATACGCTTTTCCGTTCCCAGGCTCTTCCGAGCCACAGAAAGGCCATGTCCGGGCCACGAGGCCACGTCTAGGCTGTGCGTGCCCAGCAGAACGGGCTCGGCGAGAGTCGAGTGAGGCTCAGTGCAAAGAGACTGGAAGCAAGGCGGGTGGGTCTGGAATCTTCGAGGGAGAGACGCCGAACAGCACACGATGGCAGCCTAGGCGGCAAAGCAACAGTACCACCCGGCACACTCGCAGAGAACACGCGGAACGGCGAGATGCAAGGCATTGATTGGGGCGCGGGACAGGCTGGACAGGCGAAATGCAGCGGTTGGAAGAGGCTGGTAAGTAGTAGTGTACAAGAGTCTGGGAAGATAGGGCGCGGGTGCGGCTGCCGTACGACATGGATGATGGCAGTACTAATTGCTAGGGTACCGTACTTTGAGGAAGTCACGTCGGACAAGGCCATCACCACCAGTCTCCTCGACACTCTACTTTGTCCATCAGCGTTTCATCCTGCCCGGCATCAGTCTCGGGGATGCTGAGGCGCTCGAGAGGCGCCGTTGCCCGCAGTCCCAGCGCGGGCACATACGGATTACCTTCCCCCCGTCCTCCAGCCCAAACGCCTCTCCTCGACACTCTCGGGCCACGCGCAGATGGCAGCCAGCCTGCACGACGACGACGACGACTCGACTTGGTCGAAGCCCCTGGCCTTGATTGGAAGTTCAGGCATAGCTTCCGGCTTACATCATCTCTGGCCTACCGATCAGGCCTTGGTCATTTAGCCAGCCTGGTACATGTGTGCGGCCATGCCTACGATGGGAGCGGCTTATCGGGAAGCAGGAGCCTTTTGTGGATTTAGCAAGATACGGCCGATTACAACGTATACGCCCGTCGACATGCTGCCTCAAGCTACGTCATATAGCATCGCGCCGCCCATAGCTATCAGACCCGCATCACCTACTGCGCTTGCCCTAGGAATCTGACACAGGCACGAGACAGAACGCAGCCATACCTACCTGTTAGTAATGAAAGATAGGGGCCTACCCAGGAGAGTCGCGAATACACTACCCGAAAAGCCTTCAGCACGACGACAATGCATACATGCTAGGGATGCATAAGAAGACAGCACGGGAAAAAAAGGAAAAAGAAATGCAAAAAAGAGAAGGGGGGTGGGGGGTGGGTGGGGGGGGGGGTTGTTGAAGAATATAGGATCCAGGGTGTAGGCCCACGGCAATTCCCGACTCTTTCGAGATTGAACCAGATGCACAACGCACAAAGAGGAAAAAAATGCAGCGACGCCAGGAACAAGTACAGGCGGTATACCAGTTACCAATGAATAACCATTTTCGAATGTTGCGAGCACGCGGGAAAGTGTAAGGTACACACAGAAAAGAAAAGCGAGACATGTTGGGCGCATGCAAGAGCTGGGCTTGAAAGCGCTCAACCCGGGCACTGCCGCGGCCACGTACCAAAGCATTACACACATACAAGAGCACGCCGGTCCCGCTTGGTCCAGCCGCATTGAACTCTGCAGCCGTATGGTTGGCCTCTCTTGGCTTGATGTCTACGACCGCTGTGTCTTGTCGACGCCTTTCGTGGCAGGTCGCACAAAGAGTATCATGGCGAGCCCTGTCTCGCTCCGTGTCGTCGTGGGGCGCTTTTCCGGGCTAGGTGTTTTGGTCTATCGACACCGGGCCATGTGTGCTCTTGGGTATCAGGCTCGAATACTAGGAATGGTCGAGGGGGTTCCTTTTCTCGACTTTTTGAACACGCGCTGTAAAAAGACAGGAATCATTGCAGGGTTCGGAGGATCTAAACATCTCGTATTGGGTCGTATGGGCGAGTTTCGCTGGGTGAATACTCGGTTCGCTGTGAGCTCGGTGACTGAAGGCCGCTGTCTGAAAGCGCTTGGGAGGTCTGGACTTGTATTGGCGAAGCCGAGCCTGAGCCTGTGCCCGTTCCTGGTATTCCTTGCAGCATGCTACCTGCTTCTGCGCAGTCGTGTGGGTCAGCTACAGTAGGCTTGGAGGGGGCTGGCCTGCCTGCCCGCCAGGCGACGCTTACAAAGGGACAGATGTGATCAAAGACGTACCGTACTTGCGTTGGATGTCCCGCAGCAGCTGGGAGACGCGCCACTTGAGGATAATCATCTCGACGGGCGGAATACCTTCGGCTCGTAGTCGAGCATTTATTCGGTCGAGCATTTGTTCCTTTTCGTTGGCGGGGATGAGGATCCATCTTTTCCAGTCGGGATGCGCCTCTGCAAGCTGCCTGGCCTCGTCTTTGGTTATGAACTGGAAGGATTAGCCAGGCAGGGGCTTGCGACCAGAGCATACTCACATAGAAGCGGTCCCATTGCTCCTGGCTGTGGTTTGCAGCTGTTCGGGCCTCCTGGACCGTCGCATTTATCCGAATGCTCATAGTGACAGTAGGGCCTGGCGACAACGAGGCCCGAGGGATGCCAGGCAGCCTCTGGAATCACGGAAAGCAAGAGGAGCAGGAGATTTTAGGGTACCGCGGTTCACCCCCCGCTTCGGCCTAGTCTTGGCAGGATTTTGTTTTTGGAGAGGCTGAGGTGAGGAACTGTGACAGTGCTCGCAGGGCTCGGGCCAGAGAGAGTGTCGGAATCGGCGGTGGCTGAAATGCTTGTGCGTCATATTCAACTGGTATCATTGGCAGCGAATGAATACAGTATCGAATTTTCCGCGCTCGGCAGCGGCGGACGGCGCTCGTCGACAGGGATGCTGGCACCTCCTGGATGACTTCGTGTTGGTCAGACATGGCCGTGCGTGATCGGTTCCTTTGGGCTGCTTCCGGCTCCCAGCACGGCGCCGCCGCCGCTGCTGTGCAGGCCGTCGACGTCTGCTGCTGCTGCTGCTGCTGCATCAGTCCGCCACTGTACATGTAGGCGCACGCGCAGGCGTACGCGCACGCACACGCCTGCCCGTGACAGCAGGCCGCGACTCGCACACGCCCGCGCTGCCGACCACTACCGGGCGCCCCGTGCTGGCCCTCTGCACACGCGCGCGCGGGCGTACGGCTTTGGCTTCAAATTCCACGGGCGGGCGCTGCCCTCGCTGGCCGCGCCCCCAAGCCCTCACCCCCCCCCCCAGAGCGGCTTGCCTTGGCTCGAGAAGCTCCCTCGCGCACCGTAGCCCGCTAGAACAGCAATAGACTTGACTAATTGCCGTTCTGACCTGAATCTGCTGCGCCGCTACCTGGTCGATCAACCGTGTGCGCGGACCCGGGGTCAGACTTGGGCGCCCAGGTCACATTTCCGGCCCTAACCGGCCCGAGCCTCAACGTGCAGGCACATCGCAGGGCCATCCTGGAGGCCGCCGTGGGAGGGACGTCACAGCACAGGCACAGGCACAGGCACAGGCACAGGCACAGGCACAGGCACAGGCACAGGCACAGGCACAGGCACCGCGCCGCCACAGGCACACGCACCGCACCGGCAGGCCACACGCTGCGAGCGCGCGCTGCCTGCCTGCCTGCCCGCCTGCCTGTCTGCCCGCCCGCCCGCCAGCGCCCGCCCGCCGTCACGTCGCCGCCGCGCCGCCTGAAACGCCGCCCTGGATGATCGTCTCGCGGCCTCATTTAGCCCGACCTGGCATTTCCTTCTCTGGCCCAGCTCCAGGGCGACGCCGTGGGGCGCTGCCCGGCACGGCACTTTGCGCCGTGCGCCTTGGGCCTGTTTCATGCTCCAGGCGGCGCCACGACTCGTGCGAGACTGCCACCGGTAATCCCACCCTCGTGGGCGTGGTCGTCGCCGCCCGCCTCGACGCGACGCGACATATGTATAGTACGCTACATGCCTCCACTCCCGTACAGTGCTGTATAGTACTACGCACGCTGACGCCGCCACGCGACACCACTAGCCCGCCGTCTCTGTATACACCTCCCGCCTTGTGCACCGCGACACCGCCGTCAGCGCTGCCACGCACAGCCACGACGACGCCCGCGGACAGCACACGAAAGGGGGGGGCCCTCGTTTGCACTGCATCGTCCAACGTGGGACCTGGTGTGTGGTTCATTCCCGGATTGACGCCGCCCTGCCTCTGCCCACCAGATCGTGCGTGTGCACCACCACCACAGCAAACCCATCTTTCACCGCCAATCTCAGCGTTCCCCTCTCTCGCATGGCGGCTCCGCTTGCGCTGCGCTATCAATGGCTTAGCTGGCCCAATGGAACACTCGTGGGCGCCTCTTGTCCTCCCGCACACCCCGTGTTGCCCCCACACTAGTATGACGCCGTCTTGCTCTTCTACGACCGCCTGTCGTCATGCTGCCCGTAATCCGATAAAACTGCTCAACTCGATACTCTGCCGCCGGTCCGCAGCGGCAGTGCGGCGGGGTCCCCCTTTGCAAAACGGTATCTTATAAACGCATCTGGCAAGGTTATCCCCAGTCCGCTGTTTCTTGGACGACGCAACGACTTTGAAGAACCATCACGGCCTTTGCGGGGGGGGGGGTGTGGGTGTTCCCATCGCCTTTTTCACCGCTGTTCTGGTGGTGGGCATGGCGGCAGCAGCAGCAGCAGCAGCATCATCATCTCGTCTGGTGTTCCTTGATCTCGTCGTGCCTGAATACAACAACAACAGCCCATGGCCTCTGCACGCCCACACATTCGTTCCATGTTGCGGCATTGTGCATGTTTCCATACTTGCTTCTGCACATGTCAAAAAGTAACGTTTGGTACCTGCACCTGCATACCTACTCTTTGGCGTGCATGCAGACGTTGACCGCACCTGCATTGGCTGCAGCCTTATATTTGACGTGCGCTCGGGAACTTGAGTAACAGTAAGCGGCTTGATACTGTCAGCTCGTCGTCGACTTCACTTCTCGTTTCTTTTCTTTTTATTATCCATGGCTTGCACTTGGGCCTATCCGGTCGCGACAATCGCCTCATCGCTTGTTGAACATGCCTCTGCTAGTACAGTACTACGCGAAAAGTTTCACCTCGCTAGCCACCACCATCATCATCATCATCATCATCATCATCATCGGAACGATCGTGTATCCAGTGACACACAATCTCTTTTTTTTCGGCCGTCGCATCGACACTGTTATTGCAATGCACCGCAAAGTAAGGCAACCACATGTCGTTTCAGCCGCTAAAGGGGTACCATTACCCGCAAGTGGCATCACCTGTCCTGTGACAGGCAGTCACATCCACTCATCTCTCTTTGTGGAAATGACCTTTTACTGTACCTCTGATATTTGCAACTGGAACCATATATAGTCAATGTATCAAGCCGAACGCCTTCTTCCAACTTCCCGGCATCCCAGGAGCGAACCACCCCAGTCTACGGAAAGGCTCGACCTTCACGACAGCCAGGCTGTCGTATCCACGATAAGGCAGCCAGCTTGTCAATTTGCGTGACATTTCCACGCGTACGACCGCGACTCACGCCCGTGTTCAGCAGTGCCTGGCTCGCAGAAAAGACAAGTGCTCTTTCTTGTACGGCTCCATGGGCAAGAGATCCGCAAATTGTCAAGCCGAGTCATGTTACTTGGAGATATTGACATGAAAATTATAGAAATTCCAAACACTCTTCATGTCACATTGACAAACAGGGTCTCGCACGAGAATCCACTGTGCCAAGAGATATAACTGACTGGCCTTTGTTTCCCATTACATTTTGATTTCTCACTTTCCCCCACTCTTATCGTCAGTCCGGAGTAGCGTCTATTGTTAGTGAAGAGCGCTTCAGTCTGGCCTCCGTCCCTGGGCAATGTTGTCCGGAGTAAGGGCAAGGATGGTTAGCGGTGGACAAACTCAGCGGCTATGCACGCTCCTCAACCGTTGGCCGGTATACGTCTTCACAGTCACGCATTCAGGTTGCGAGAGAGGGATGCGCGTGATTCGCTTGAGGGACGTGGTACCCCTGGCCTGGGGCTATGTAGACAAGGTGGCAACAAAGTCTCGGAGCCATCTCCATGTGCCCGTCATGACGATACTACTGCCCCAACAGTAATATGACCCCACAGCCAGAGCTTGTTCTAAACCATGTACGACGATTACCAGGTGACCTGCTCTGGATCGGAGGGCCTCGTGCCGCTCCGCTTCGAGCATGCTGTGGATACAGTCACGGAAACACAGTGCAAACATTTTCACTCTGACCCCAGCCTACTACTGCAGTCCGAGTCTCGTGAGCTCTTCTTCAACAAATGGCTGCGGAGCTGCTCTCGATGTTTTGATCTAGCGCAGTCCCAGCTGCACGGCCTGCATTGGACGACCTCTCGACTCGAGGCTCCATTCCCAAAACTGATGGTCTCAAGCTCAACAGTCATGGCACCCCTCAATGCTGTGCCGGAACAAACTCCTACTGGGTGCTCTTGGTTGTCGAATTATGCCGATGTTGATATTTTTATGGGTCATATCGCTGCACCTGGTGAAACGATAGCTTGGGGGTTTGGGAGCTTCACACAAGGTGAAAGGCGAGCCCGGTCTAGACACTGGGCCTTCAGTCATTTTCTAGTCCATCTTGTGCTACTATTTATACAGGTGCCAAGAGACTGCCACGCCTCGACGCCGTGATCAAGTCGACGGAAAAACACAAAGGCAAGACGATTGTCAATCGACTCGACAAGTGGCGGCGCCTCGAGGGAGGGGGGGGGGCCATGCACGTCTATTTCCCTTGGTGTGGCGGCGTGTGCAATATAAAGTACTAGGACGCCAGGGCACAATGGCAGTCCATGTACCAAGCGTTTACCAAAGCCGTTATCTCGTGCTTACCGTGACTCGACTGCAGTCTTTGCCTGCAAACTCGCCAGCCAGTCTCGCTCCAGTTTATGTCCGGCTTCTACACTGACTAGCTAGGTCGACTAGCGGTTGCATCCGCTCACCTGACTTGGAGCACATGATGGCAGTGGGCGACGAAGGCTTCGGCTTTGGGGGCGGGGAATTCTCCTGGCCTAACCAATGCACACAGAGGGCACAGACTAGGCGGTCAATCTTGCATTGCCTAACATATCTTTTCGGTGCATTTCAGCTGTACCAATACGTGGCTTGTTGGTGGCTCTTTGGTGATGGCGGGTTCAAGGCGCACGCTCACATCTGTCAGCGGCGCAACAGGCCCTATCTGTGGGAGGAGTGCGGCGTTCTCCAGGCACACGACGAGCATACCCTGTGAAGAGGCTGGCAGAAGACAAGTTTCAGGCTTGGGAAGAGTGGTACGGCTGGCCATCTGCTCTGGCAATCGGGCGCCAAGGTGCAGTGTTGTGGGCAGCTGAAGGCATGGCCATGGGCATGCAGTGCGTACTTGCCGACGGCGTTCGGGTTGAAATGGCAAATCCATAATACCGGCTGTGCGCCCAGACGGGGTGAATGGGCATTTGTAGCTGGTCTGCGTGGTGCTGACAGCCCCATGGCGCGGCAGAGTCTGTCCCTGTGCTGGCGGTGATCATTGCTTCACAGCCAGATCCGTCTGGCTGGGTTCTGGGGGAGAATGGACGCTCGTTCTTTGCCTAGCGCCCGACGTCAATCAAGCCCGCGCGGCACCGACCACCACGACCACCGCCACGACCACCATCACCACCTCACATGTACCACTGCGCCGCATCCAATTCCCGTCAGCAAGGGCTGTCTTGCACACGAGCACCCTGATTTCGCTTATCCGCACAGCCTGGCACGGATTGTTTGCTTGATTCGTCCCATGCTCCCTCAGCAGGCTCCAGAAGGAGAGACAGGCCCGGACAGGCTCTCGTCAGCCTGCCAAACGCCTCTACATGTGCTCACAAAGAGCGCACGCAACCATGGTTGAGAGCGATGCCGGTGCCGTTGCTTTGTGCCAAATACGGCACAGCACCGGCCTGGAATGCCCTTGGGGGCCGCCTGTTGCGCGCCACAAGCGCACAGCTTACAGCTGCCCAGACACAGCTGATAGTCCACACGACGGGCCGCGGGCACTGGAGTTGCAGCGATCCCCGCCAGCCTGACTTCCCAGGCGCTGCTCGGATTGTCTTTGGCATGCTGGTCATCTTCCTTGGCCAGCCTTTCTTCTTCCGTCGTGATTGTAAATCAAGTCCTACTGTCTCGTTATTGCTGAGTCGCACATATTAAGTCTCAGTTGCACAGAACCACCGCCGACGCGACCGTACACAGCTGCCAACCAATGCATGCTGTGCGCTGGCCATAGTAGCATCAGGCTGAAACACCGGAAGCAGCAGAGAAGAGCGCCATTTGCTACATAGACAGCATGGCTGACCGTCGTCCACTCATCCAAGAGTCATCGGATCTCTCTGAAAGCTCCGAAAATACGCCCGCATTGCCTTCTCTCAGCTTCTCGAACAACTCCCATTCCCTCGGTTTTACTAGCCTCCCACCGGTGCGGCCGAGCCACGTACGATACCATAGCGACTCGACCGCTGTCGAACGAAACACTCCAAGCACCGTACATGAAGAAGACGAGGGAGATGAAGATGTTGCGCATAGCTTCCAGCAGGGAAAGGAAAGCGGTCTCGGGATAGCTGCGCCTGGCGCGGCATCACAGACAGTCAGGCGTGTCAGCATACTACCCATCGCCCGCAGAGCCGCTGGCCCTGGTCCTAAGAGCCCACCTATGAAGAGCCCAGGTCCTCTCTCGCCACCCGGCTCAGCGGAACCGTTTTTCGGCAGTTTTCCAAAGAGCCCGGCAGACTCCACACCAGACCTGAGAAGTGATCGGTTCAGCCCGGACATTGGCCGAGGAAGTCCAGATGTGGGTTCCTACGAAGAGTTCCGGCACGGCATCTTGAAGAATGCAAAACAAAGTAGCACGAGCATCAACGACTACCAGAACTACATGCATGCTTCTGATACTCAAAAACTTCGGGGTGGCGCCGGAGCTCACTCGATCAAGTCTGCGTACGAGAATGACTTTCGCCCAATACACGAGTGTCCGACTACAAAGGATTTTTACCATCCAAGGTTTACTTGGCTCAACTTTTCAATTCTCGTCATTTGTCTCTTCTCGTGTGTGTTCTCGGGCATCTTTTTAGCGCTTGCCATTCACGCACCCCATTATGGTCGCCGCATTACCAGCCACGGCCCTGTTACGCCTGCCGATGCCATTCTCTATACAACTGTCATGGCAAAGATGATTGAGCTGTCCTTTGTCACGGCATTTGTCACATTTCTCGGCCAAGTACTCAGCCGGAGAGCGTTCATGAAAGACCATGGGCGTGGTGTAACACTGTCAGAACTGAGTATGTGGAGATGGGTAGTGCAGCCAGGCACCCTGATAACATCTTGGGAGTCTGCCAAGTACGCTGGATTCTCTTTTCTGGGAATCCTGAGTCTGCTGAGCGCCATCTTGGCGACATTGTACTCTTCTGCTGCTGCTGCATTGGTTCAGCCCATGCTGCGAGACGGCAACTGGGACAATGGCTTGGTACTTGCTGGGCGTGTCAAGAGCGATTTTGCAAACATCAACTACCTGAAGAAGATGTGCCTGACGCCTATCCGCACTGACCAAGCTCACCAAGGCGAAACATGCGTGCAGATGGAACACGCAGGCCAAGGATACCACAACTTTCAGCGTTACCTGGCTGATTGGGATTTATCCGCTCGCAATGGAAACGGCACCTCGGATTTGCATCTTCGACCTCAGGGCTTCGGGCTCTTGTACGAAAATACTACCGTCACAGGGCAATGGATCAACATGGTCAATACGAGTGTGGTATCGAAAAAGTATGGTAGGGTAATCAATAACATTACCATGGCGATGCCGCACTCGGGCGTATTCGCGGCGGCCCGTGATGAAAGGAACGGGATTCTGCAGCCGGCGGAGCTCAATTCCGAGGGCACTTATTCGCTACGGGCAGCGGTACCTTCGCCCGTCATCAATGTGTTGTGCGCCAATATGAATGCGACGGAACTAGCGCCCATCGTTTACGACACATGGAATACCACCGACGTAGTCAACATCACCACATGGGTCACTGTTCCGGGTATCCGAGACAACGCAACCACAACAAGCAAGACGGTCGTCGACGAAATCTTTGGTTGGAATACTAGTGAGACGACGTCGACAATCAACTGGCCACCCGTGTTTGGCAGATACCCTGCTCCATTCAACACTGTATTGAACCACACGAGCAATCAATGGGGTCGACCGGCCATTTACCTGCTGGGGCAAGGTGGCCCCGACGACATGGGCCCCGACGGCACAGGCATCTACTCGCTATGCAAGCTGCAAGTCTCTATTGCAACCGGGTGCAGTACGCGTCATAATGTCACGGGGTCTGGCGGAACCATGGAGGCGCTTTGCGGGGAGCCAAACGACAAGATGGCTTTTGTCGAGACGGAAAAAGAAGCGAGCAAGAACACGCAGGGCGTGGCCAACTGGCGCGACATAGGGACTGACTGGGCAAACAGTCTTTCGTTGGGGACGGGCCTCATGGACGCCAATGCAAGCACTTCGAGGCTACTGACACAGCTCATTCTGAAGCCCAAGGGTCAGGTTGGAGACAATATTGACGTGGATCTGAGCCCTGCGTTGCCTAGCCTGGCAGAAGCCTTGGCGGTTCTGTCTAGCTGTACGTTGCTTTTGAGCATGGTGGATACGCCGTTTGTCACTTTTTGGGTACGTGAGCTTTCTTTTTCCCAGTACCGCGGATACGGTCACGGCACATGGACGACCCCTGGATGGACGAAAGGTGCTGACTCGCCTAGAACTACACGTATCCCGCGCTTGACGAGTACCAAACACAGTACTTCAACGCCTCGCTCAAAGCCCAACAGTATGCATCCGGAGGCATGCCCGGCGCCAACAAAGCGTGGATCATCATTCTCGCGCTCGTCTTCATCATGAACATATTTGTTCTCGTCTACTTCATCCTGCACCGCGGCCTGGTAACGGATTTTTCGGAACCACCGAATTTGTTTGCCCTGGCAGTGAATTCGCCGCCCTCGCATGTGCTAGCTGGGAGTTGCGGCGGCGGACCTCAGGGCGAGCAATACGGGGTGAATTGGTTTGTTAATCACGCAGGCAGCCACTTGTACATGGAACCGGGTGAGAAGCAGCATGTCGTCAGTGGACATGGACATGGACATGTGCACGGTGATGGGCAAGGCCAGGGCCATGTCGACGATGCTTCGCCCCGCGTAATCAACGGGGTTCGTGGGTTTGCCGCGTCAGTGGTAGAGGCGGTGAAGCGGGCGTTGGGAATCAGAGAGCAACAGGCGCCGAGCAAGCTGAGGGGGGTGAATGCAACGGAGAGTCTCAGGGCGCCTGGCAAAGTAAGCCCGGGCAGCACGGGGTCGGATTACGAAATGGAAGACGGGCTGACGAGGACGTCGAGGCAGTACCAGAAGCTGTCCAAGCGGCGGAGTGTGCTTTGAGGCAGTGAAGCAGCCAAGCAGCCCAGCCCAGCACAGCCTGCTGAGGGGCTCGGGAGGGGCGCGGCACGCACTGTAATGTTTTACTATATCCAATGAGAAACAGGCCAACACAATGGATCAAGGTTGGATCTCGGCCCTGGAACGGACAAAGTGACGAGCATGGCGCATACTCGATGACCTAGTTCCCCAGATTTTCACCGGGGGTTCCCTGGGGCAGCGCTAGAGAATGGGGTGGGACGGAGATCTAGATAATGAAGCAGCCAGGCAGGCCGGGGGGCACGTGGACGGGCGCTGAAATGATGATGAGCGCATTGACGGGCGAAGGGCGGGAGAGGAGTGCGGAGGAGATGCCTGTTTGGAGGATGGACGGGCAGCAGAGACGGGCTGAGAGGGGGGGAGAGGGGAGAGGGGAGGGGAGGGGAGAGTGAAGGGAGGGCGTTCTGGGGCGGGCGGGCAGGCTCGGGAAGCTTGGCTGACGGGCTGCAGGGAAGGAGTAAGCGAGTCGTTCGGCCACTAGTGGGCTCAGGCGGGCGCGCAGAGGGCAGGCGCTTCTGGCATGTGAACATGGAACTTCGCATGCGCATGCTCACTCGCGCACCAAGACCGGCCCTCTCTCTCTCTCTCTCTCTCTTTCGCCAGCTAGCTATCCTCTCCAACCCCGAGCCTTTCCCTCCCCCCCCCCCCGACAGCGCCTCCGCCTCCGCCGCCACCGCCTCCTACTACCACGACCACTACCACGGCCATCACTCTTGCTGCTGCTGCTGCTGCTGCTCCCGGGGAATGCGACGCCTGTCCGCCGCACCGCCTTTTGCCAGAGCCCCGTCCCGGCCTGCACAGCCAGCGCCCATCGCGACCCGGCACTCTTCACGTCATACCGCGCCCTGCGCCTCCCAACAGCTCCCAGCGCCCTCAATCGCAGAGCCCCGCGACCGCCCAGCCATCGGCGCGGCCCGTCGAATGCGCTAAGCAGCCCATCTCTCTCGGTCCTGCTCGCCCGCCTCGACTCACCTCGCCGCCCTTGGACCCCTCGCCCTCCACCAGCCCTTCAAGCTGGCGGCTCTGTCGCATCAGTCGTTCGCGGGGCTCGCGGGTGCTACGGCCAGAGGCCTCCCTCGTCCCGCCATGAACGACAAGGACCCACCGCCGTTTGGCTGTATGTTTGGTGCCCATGCCCGCTGCTCTACATTCGCCCGCTGTCTGAATTGACTGACGCCCGCCCCAGACACCTTTTCCGAAGACTTCTTCGACAACACGCCCTCGCACTACGACAACAATGGCCCGTCGCTGCTCAGCGACATGGAGAACCAGCAGCTCGACAACTTCTTCTCGTCGACCAACCCCTTCGACCTGCTCGACCCCACCGCCCTCCCGCCGGCCCTCGACGACAAGGCGAGCGCGCACGACTACAACAACTGGGAGGACTTCATCGCCCCGCCCACGGTCCACCGCGTCACGAGCACAATACCCGACCAGACCCGCCTCCAGAGCTCCTTCCACCAGGAACCGCACCACGCGCCTGTCCCCCAGAGCTCCTTCCTTGCCAACACCGAGGACGAGCTCCAGGCAGCCACGACGCTCTTCAACCACGCCCAGCCCTCGTATGCAAACGGCCGCCTGCACAGCTTCCACGAGCAGCCGACGGCAAACACCGGTTTCTTGGCAAACGTCGCGCCCGACCTGAACCACGGCTCGCTGCCCATGGGCATGCCGCAACACGGACTTTTGAATGAGCGCATGTCGTCGTTGCTGCCACCCCACGCCGGCCCAGCTCTCGGCCCTCAATTTCCAGCCCAGTGGGAGAACAAAGCCCCGCAGCACCAGCGCCAGGACTTTGGCCCGCCCTTGCACAAGGTCGATCTCAAGAGGGCTTACACGTTCGGCACGGACAATTCTTTCAATAGCCCGTCCGGCTATTCCGCATCCAATGGCCGCTCGGCCGAAAACAGCGCCGCAAGGCACTCGATACACGACGTGCAAGAAACCCACCAGCATCTATTGCGCGCGGTAGCCGGCATCGAATCCGCACGAACTAGCGCGGCCCCGTACCATGATTCATCTTCGGCTGTTGCCGCTCCGCCACGCGATGAAGACGACGATGAAGACGAGCAGTCGGACAACTCGGCATCAAACGAAGAGCAGGAAGAACGGCCGTCGAAGAAACGGAAGAAGAGTCAAGCCCAGCATGGTAAGGATACACCAAAGAAGGCTGCGCGTACCAGCAAAGCTCGCAAGACTTCGCTGGCAGACGAGAAGAAGAAACGAGCCACTACGGCCACGCACAAGGCACCCCGCGAAAACCTAACGGAGGAGCAAAAACGAAACAATCACATTCTCTCTGAGCAAAAGCGTCGAGATCTGATCAAGCAGGGCTACAAGGACTTGAATGAGGTTGTCCCGGCAGTTCGTGGTGGCGGGCTGAGCAAGAGCCAGATCTTGGTAGAAGCGGCGACATTCCTTGAAAAGTTAATTGCGGATAACCTTGCATACCGGAAGGCGGTTGGTTGATGAGAACGACAAAGATTGAACGGCGATGTTGATTTTTAGATGGCCTGACTGCCGCCAGAAGCCGGTCAGTTGGGTAACACCTAAAGCGTCCAAGACTCTGACGCCACGAAAGCTCCACGCTTGGCTCCTGTTGGGAAAGAGCGATGGAAAGGGAAAGTTGGAATGTGGGCTTGGCCGGAAAGCAAAGGGAGTCGCCAATGCGCCCTACGAGGTATGAAGTGTCATGGCAGAGGTAAAGAAAGGAGAAGAAGAGAAAAGGTCATGGAGACGGGGGTGGCCGCTAGTTACTACGGCATGAGTAAGTAAAGTAGAATTTCTCTTTTTTTTTCTCTTTCTTGGTAGCACTTCAGATGGGAAAAGAAAAAAGAAAAACCCCCCCCCCCGCTCTCCTCTGAAATACTCAGGTGCCATGTTAGGTATGATTTTTTTTAGAAACTTCTTTTTTTTTAATTCGGATATATATTTATATACATGTCGTGTTTTTTGGTTTTTTTCCAAATATTCAAACTCGATAGATCTGATATGCCCGTATGTATGCACAATCTATTTTCAAAAAAAAGGGGGGGGGGGGTATCGTAGCCTACATAACTCCAGATTCATCTGATGTGTGAATCGTACCACTGGTGTGTTTGCATAATCCAGTGGATTTCTCTCTCTCTCTCTCTCTCCTCTGGAATCACAATGCGCATGGCCTCATGACGCACTTTAGCCGGGCCCCTTTCATGTCCACTCGGAATGCCCGCTTGACGGTTTCCTTTGCCCATTTTGGCGCCGCCGGGTCCAAACGACTTCTTGAACCTGTTGGCGACGTAGTCGCAGCGGCCATGGTCGTTGCAGTACCCCGTCTTGCACTTGTTGTTGCTGCGACAGGTATCGCCCAGACAGGCGTCGCTGGCTTTGCACCGCACACACGATCCCCAGTCACAGTACTCGTTTGCAGAGCACTGTGCGGCGGACTCGCACGGCGACGCGTGGTGGCCTGGGCTTAGGCACACGGGGGCTGGCGCGCCCGTGGCGGAGGCGGCGGCGGCGGCGGCGAAGATGTGCGCGAGGGAATCCGTGTAGCAGGATGCATTTGCATCGTTTGGACGTACACTCGTTGTAGCGTCATGGTGCTGTTGAGGCAGGGGTGCCGGGTCGTTTTCAAGTGAGCGTTTCCTCGTTTTCCTCGCTGCTGCTGTGGCGTCAGGCATGCTGGTTCTGGGTGTGCAGGCGGCACATTCGCCCTTGACGCAGCGGAGATGCTCGAGACAGGCTTTCTTGGAGTTACAGGCATCGCCCATTTTGCCGGGCTGCGCGGCGTCGGGGCGCGTGCACACGCTATTTTTGCAGCGCAGGTCCGGCGCGCAGTCGTCGGGCGCCGCGCAGAGGTGGCCCGCGCAGCCAAAGGTGCAGGTGCTCTGCTGCAGGACGTAGGGATTCAGGCGGATCGAAGTCAAATTTGAGAGGCCGAGGGGCTGGATCTTCCATTCTTGGGTGTTGTCGCCTGTGATCATTTGCTTGAGCTGCTGGGCCGTGGTTTCGTCTGCCGTGAGAGGCAGGATGCGGACGGGGCGCGGGAGATAGGTCGACCAGTCGAAGTTGGAGCGTGTGGTGAGGGCGTGTTGAAGTACTTCTTTGAGGGCGCGCCATGAAGTGTATTCAGGGTGGAGAGGGTTGATGCGTGAGGATTTGCCTTCGTTGAGCATGCTGAGGTGGGAGTAGAGCTGTTTTGCTATGTTAATATCTTCTTCCCCATATCAAGAGAGTTGAAAATGAAGGGTGGACTTACCCATGGAATACCTCTGTAATTCAGTGCATTTCCCTGATCAAAAAGAGCTTCTTGCTTGTAAAACAACCCCAGATTTTCATTATGCACATACGACCATTCCTCTACAAGCAGCAACTTGCCCTTGCCCTTTTTACCTTTGGCCCGGCTCGTGAGCGTATTGCCAGGTAGGAACATGTTGGCCCACTGCGTGCCGGCCGTCTTGTCGCTTTCCTTTGCAAAATAGCCATGGATGCCTATCACATCAATTGCCTTGCAGTCGAACACGCTGTCTGGGTAATTCTGGAACTCGTCGATTTTCTGCGGTCCAGAGACGCCGCCGCTGATGACGGCAATGTCGGCCTTGTCGAGCCCCAGGGTGAACTTGAGATGTGAGGCCATGTCGCAGATCCAGGATTCACCCGCGGGAATGGGGAAGATGTCGCTAAAAGGCTGGTTTTGGATATTGACGCCCTGTGAGGTTTTAGCGAGGCGTGATATTTACATCATGTAGGTGATACTGACGAGAATGACTTCGGAGAGCTCGCTCCATGAGCGCCCGTCAAAGTTCTTGGATGGGTAGTGTTTGAAGAAGACCTCTAGACGTGTTTTGTAGAGTTCCCTAACTAGATGCAGATATTAGCGGGCGCCTGTCTGAATGCGTCGGACTATATGTACATTCGTCACGGCTGTAAAAGTCTAGAAAGTAACCATCGAGCTTTTTGCAGTACGCATCACAGGGTACGCCGTTTGATCCTCTAAGTGCATGGGCATCGTGTGGTGCAATGATAACTTTCACTTGGCCTGGTTTTCTGTCAATAATTGAAGAGTCAATCAAATAGAGACCATGTACCTTTGGATAGATGGTGGATGGCGGCGAGCGTGTCGTCGAATTGATCGAGCAAGGACTTGTCGAACGCGCCCAACTCGGACTCAGGCTGCAGGTGTTATCAAAATGTGCTCTGCTTATCAAATCACTCTTCGTACATCTGGATGGAGCTCATCGGGACGGACTATTTGAATCAGTACATGCTGATCGATTCTAAGAGTTTTACATACTGAATAGTCGTATTACTCTTGCACCGCTTTTGACAATCTCTCTGATAGTATCGTCTCTGCTCTGAGGCGTGAAGAACTGTAGTTGGGGATAGTTGACACCGCCAAAGGAATGATGATCAGCTGTGATTCTCAGGCTGGCCGCAACAGGTTTTGTCCATGTCGCTAGCGACACCAGTGTCGTAAGAACAGTTGATAAGATCATTCTTGGAATATATCCCAGAGTCTATGGTAAGACTGGAAAGCTTCTGGGTACTCTGCCATATAAGTCATCGCCATCATGTGGACACGTATAGACGATTCCACATCTGGAGATTCTTGCAATGGTCACTAGGTATCATGTTTGTGACACTAAGGATATGCATCTAAATATATTAATTGCGGTTGTTGTGATGGCCAATCACGGCACGCTTGGGCCTAAAGCCGGCAGGGATACCAAACTAGATAATGGGGTAACGATGTGAACTAGGAGGGACCATGTGACAATGACATTGACGTCGATGTAGTTGATGCTGCGGCTTTTGTAGCCTAATGTGTTGCCACAAGGAAAAGGGCGAGACTGGCGACCAGGATAGAGGGGCGAGGACCATAAAGTGTTTTGGCCCCACGGCAATTGAGGCACGCAGAATAGGCTGAGAGCAGCGCATAAGGCGCATTTGGTAGGATGGGGCTCGGGTGCGTGCGTGCCTGTTTCACGCAAGGCAATTCTCAGGCGCGGGGTTGGTAACAGGTCCTGAATACCGAACCTAGTGGCTCCACAATGCTTCGTATATTAAACGGCAGGTAAGCGAGATCCCATTGGTCAAATGGAATGCTGCTGTATCCGTGACCAATACGTAGGTTTTCGACGACTTGGAGGTGGTGTCGAACGCAGCATCTTGTGGAGATATCCGCGCAACAATCGATGGACACGTACATTTTCGCTTGACTTGAGCATTCTCGCATGTGAAGACATACGCGAAACGGCTGCATTGGGTCCGCGAAGCCTGTATCCTTTGTTGACGGTGCGGAGCTGCGAGAAGTAGGCCGGCAGCCTGTCAAGAGGCTGCGTGGGAAGTGGCTGCTAGGTTGCACCCTGCTCACCCTGCTGAGTTGTTGCATACGTTCTCCAGTTGCTGAAGGGTTATCATGACTTCGTCTCCAAGCGCCTCGCCGCTGGCTGATGGAGCAAAGCGGCCATGGCGAAGATCACTGAGTGCGCCAATAACATCTTGGACCTCACGCAAGACCTCCATGTTCTGCTGCTCTATTTCGGCAATCTGTGCCTCGAGACTTTGGCAAGCTTCTTCGATGTCGGAGTGGACGGTCTGTAGCGTATGGGGTTTCTTGCGGCCTTCACCGGTCAGCTGTTGGCCATGTCAGTGGGAGATGGCGCCAGAAAAGTAACAGTCGAGCGATACCTCTTGTTCCATTTGAAGCGCAACAGGATCTAGTCCTGCGACAGTGGCATCATCCACCTGGCGCCGCTCCCGCGCATACTCGCGCCTCAACTGTTTCGAGCGCTTGACCTCGTCGGCAATGTCGCGGCGCACGAGCTCTATGTCCTTTTCGCGCAGCCTTTGGAGCTCCCGGTAAATGTCCTGAACGGCCGGATTTCCGCGATGGGCCCGAGGAAAGATATCGGTGAATTCGCGCAGTGTGATGAAGTCGCGTAGGGGAGCGGGCGTCAGCAGGAAGTCGGCGAGGATCTTTGTTTCCTGCGACGACATGGCCGAAAGGGTGAGAGTCGGGAACGAGGCGAGTGGAGCAAGGTCACGGGAGAGACGAGGCAGTGTTGATGGTGGTGGGATGCTTGCACAGCACCCGCCGGACAGCGCGACGCGTGCTGGCCCGTGCGAGAAAAGACTCCCGTGAGATATGGCTGCGACGACTTCAAGCAAACGTCGACAGGTCCATCCTTGGCTGGGCTCATCGACTTACTCCTCGCTTCTGGCAAATATAGCGACCGTCTCGTTGTTGCGGCAGTCGTCCTTGTCCGGCGAGTATCTCCTTCAGGAGCACGCGATACGTGGTCGTGCAATCTCGCGCACCCTTTACTCCTACCCTTCTGACTGCCCAACACTTGGACGTCAAAGTCGTCAAATCCCATCGCAATCATGGCGCCAGCTGCTGCCCCAGAGCCCACGTTCAAGAAGGACGAGAAAGTCTTTTGTTTTCATCACGAGCTCCTGTATGAGGCCAAGGTTCTCGAAGTCCGGCCGGTCGAGGGCGACGAGAAGAAGAATGGCTTTGAGTACCGGGTGCACTACAAGGGCTGGAAGAACACGTAAGTATTACCCGCTGGATGCTTTTCGCGTCTATTTGGCTATTGCTGCATCTCCCACTGCCCAAGTCACGTTTACCCCATCTCCACATCCATTCACTGCCTCCTTTTCCCAACCGCTTCATCCACTGCTTTCGGGTTAGTCCCATACCGTTCCGCAAGCGTCTGCTTTGTTCCCCGACGTCCCAAGTATGTTTTTGAGACTGAATGTTAACATTCCGCAGCTGGGACGATTGGGTTCCCGAGGATCGGCTTCGCAAGCTCACACCCGAGAACCGTGAGTTGGCTAACAACTTGAGACACGAAATGCTGGCTGCTCAGCGCGCCGCAAGAGCCCAACCTGCGCCTGCTAAGAAGAAGGCACAAGGCTCGGTGCGGGGTAGCGAAGAGCGACAAAGCTCTGTCACTGCTGCACCGCGCGGCCAAAAGAGGGTTCGTGACAACGACCTGGAAAAGGCATGTAGTCTCCTGTGATACCGCGCGAGCCCTAGACTCCGAGCACCCACTAACCGAAACTCAGGAAGAGACGTTCCAGAATAAGCTTGCAGTGAGAATCTACATGCCAGACCGGCTGAAGAGTCTCCTAGTTGATGACTGGGAGAACATTACCAAGAACCTACAGCTGGTGCAGCTGCCGTCAGCGCATCCGGCGGGTGTCATCCTGGATGAGTATCACAAGTACGCGATACAAACCGGAGCCCGCAGCAGCACTGAACGCGACATTCTTGAAGAGGTCATTGCGGGTCTCAAAGAGTACTTCAACAAGAGTGCAGGTCGTCTGCTGCTGTACCGTTTTGAGCGGGAGCAGTTCTACGACATCTGGACGCGCATCCAGCACCCAACTGACGAGCTCGCCGGCAAGCCGCTTGTTGACATCTATGGTGGCGAGCACCTTTTGCGCCTTTTAGGTAAGCCGTGACGAGAGCAGAGATGCGCTCACGACTAACACGTGTTGCAGTCACCATGCCTGAACTTATTGCCCAGACCAACATGGATCACCAGGCCGTCACTCGCCTGCGCGAAGAACTCAGCCAGATGACGACGTGGTTGTCCAAGGACGCGCAGATCAACACCTTCTTTGTGCCCACGTATGAGAGCCCTGGACAAGCCTACATCGACAAGGTCAAGTCCAGCACGTAAGGTGTGGCCGGTCCCAACTCTAACGAATGTGAGGGCTTGATGGTGTCGACCCCGTTTCCCTTTTTTGACTCAATCTGACACATGTATACTATCACCTTCTGCATGGACGTGGGTCGCGAGGCATGGTTTGATGGGCGCACTGGCGTTTTGTAGGAGGAATGGCTTGGGATGAGATTCTGAAGGCGGGATTGCTGTCTTGGCGATGCCATCAAGGCAGATTCTAGCTTATTAATACAAGATTTGATTGTGAGCCATGTTTGGGTTGTTGCCCACCGCTTCACGGCCTGTCGAGTACGTGTTCCAAGACTCCAACAGCCCAGCTCAGGCACTTTGTCATGTTCTCCTCGGCTTCCCTGGGCATTCCATGGATGCCGGCGCTTTTGCAGACATGGCCGTCGAGCTCTCCATCCACGTCGCCATTCTTGAACAGAAACTTGTGGTCCTGGACGTAGTTGGGCCACACAATCTGGTCTACATAGCCTGGAGGGTCTTGCCAGAAACCCTCGAGCGTTACATATCCACTGCGGGCCTCGCGCCGCCGCTTTGCCGTCTGGTAGCTGGTGCGGAGAAATAGCCGCACGTCAAACATGGAGCGTATGTCTTTCATGTCCTCGGAAAATAGGAGGAAGCCATCCACAATGCATAGGCGCTTTCCATGCCAGTCGGGCTTGTCTTCGAGCAACTTGGCGACATGGCCCCTCAATCTGTCAATCTCGGCTGGCGGCACACCATGCTCGCCCACGCTGTTCTGGTCCTCCTGGCTAACCAGCCATTCTGGACTCTTGCCGTGCTCCTTGATGTGGCCCAGGGCTTGCTTGAGCTGGGGCAGATTGAGCGACTCGATGCAGTCCCAGTCCTGGACGCCGTTCTTGAGTGGGATTTGGGCGTCGGTCAGGTAGAAGTCGTCGAGGTGCAGGATGAAGAGCTTGGAGGGAGGGAAGACGTCTCGCAGCAGTCGGGATAGAGTTGTCTTGCCGGAGGATGAAGGGCCCGATATGCCGACAAGGAGGGGCGACGACATGGTGGTTTTTTGGGGGGTGTGCGAGTACGACGTCAGGGCCGCGCGGGGCTGTTTTCACCACACGCACACACAGCAGCCAGCAGAGATGTAAGTAGGCTATATGACGCTGCGATATATGCTAGCGTCGTGTGGATTCAAAGGCAGCTCTAGACCTGGACCAGCCGCACCATGCACGGCGATCTGGAGACGAGTGAAATGGCGGGGCATGGCTGTGAATAGCCATGTCTGTGATCGTCCAACAGCCCGCGCTAGTGTCCCCGTGGCCCCATGGATGGGTGCGCAATTGACGCGACAGCCCATGATGCAGCAACTCTCTCTGCCACCAACGCCCTCGCCCTCGCCATCACATCCCCGCCATGGCCTCCAAAGCCACCGCCATGGAGCCATCGCCGCTGACCCAGGACTCGCGGCCCCAGACATTCCAGCCCAAGATCATCCACCTCTATGAAACCCTGTTCAAGGTGCGCCTGCACATGTGGAATGCGCCCGCCCCGAGACCGACTGGCTAACAACGACCAGCAGGCCGAAGACGACGATGTCGAGCCCTCGGAGGGCTTCTGGCATGAATTCTTCCTACACAAGCCAGAACCCGCCGGCCTGAAGCGTGTGCTGGCCTCGGTAGCCCCCGACGAGATGCTGCACGAGCAGGCCCATTCACAGCAACTCTTCCGCCAGGCCATTGTGCGCATCAAGCAAGCCAAGGCACCGGCCGACGACATCGCCCTCGAGGTACGATACGCCACACACGCACACAGCCGCATGCGCTTACTCCTCAGACCTTGACAGTCTTCCTCGACGCCGCCCTGGCCAAAAAATACACCAACCCAAGCTCCGATATCATCTCGGTCCTCACGGGCCTCAACGATGCCGACGCGGTCATGACCGACTTTGTGGCCACGCTGGACACTGCTATACGCAGCGGAAGAGACAGTGTGTTGTGCCGCTACCATGTATACGACCACGCTGACCAGGCTCAGTTGCGGTGCGCCAAAGGGCCATTCGAGCCGCTCTCTCCATGACTGCTGCTGGATTCCAGACGGCGCTCCCGTCGTACTTTACCCACCGCGATCTCTTTCCCTCGCTCATGAAGGTGCGCCGGCATAGCCAATTGGTCGTGTGCGTGCATGTATGCTAACTGGGTCCAGTATACCCAAGATTGCGAAAACAGCACCGACGTCCTACCCGCCCTCTACCTCCTCGGCCTACTTTCCAACTACAACAAATTCGAGTTTCAGAATCCGTACAGACTGCGACTGGACGACTTCGTCAACGACGTAATAATACAAGATATGATAGCATGCCTTGGGACCACTTGCACCACACTACGAGACGCATACGTAGCAGTCCAGGACGACAGGCCCGAAGGCTGGACGCTGGGTACGACGTTGAGCTACATAGGTTTGGGTGCTCTTGCTCCAAACTCTCGGCCTACAACACCTGTGCCCCCAGCCCAGGAGGAAGCCAAGTCGCTCTTTGCTGCACTGTAAGCACATGCTATTGGACCTACCAATCACTGCTGACGGTTTTCAAAAGGCCAGGACCACAAGCCGGTGTGCTACTTTCGATTTTCGACTTTGCAAATGCCAACAAGGTTTTTTGCTACAATCTCGTCACCTTTGGACTGGGCAACAAGAATCGGCCATCGCCCTTTAGCGAGTTCCTCTCCTTGACCTCGTACATGTTCCAACATGCACACCGGTCTACAAGAGCCGCTTTGTACACATACACAAGTCTTTTCGTCCTGCAAGTCTTGGTTGAAGATCAGTCGCTTTCTAAGCGCTTATGCAGTGACGAGTCTAAACTTTCGGTGCGGCTGTGTCGCCAGAGACAGCCTTACCTCCCGATCGTGAGAGGTGAACGAGTCCCTGTGGCCATCATCCTGGATATGATGTCAGACGGCATCAGCCATAATCTGCGCAGACGGCTAGATGTAGATTTCTACATGTAAGTGAAGTAAATGCTGTGATTGCTGCTTGACTAACATGTACGTAGCCTAAGTCTTGGTGTTTTGCTACGACTACTCTCGTACCTCAGTCGCACAAAAACTCGCATCACATACCACTGGTCGGAACTCTGGAGGACTCTACTTTCCTTTGTCCGCTTCCTGACAACCTACGAGAGCGACATCAAATCAAACTACAAGTCGAATGGGATGATCAATCTTTTGGTCAATCTATTGGCTTTTGCGCTCTCTAGCGGCGAGAATTTCCTTCCCGACCCTGCCTCATACGATGATCTGTTCTACAAGCTCGTCGAGAGCGGTGACATTCTCATCAAATTCAGAGATGCTTTTGGCCTGTCTGGTCAGTCTGACTCGATGCAGACACTGATCAACGTCTCGTCTCACTATCATTCCCTGCTCGAGGAGAAGGGCAAATCGCGTGGCAAGCATCTAAGTCCACAGGAGGTTCACGCTGTGATCAAACAGGGATACGAAACTTTGTCAATCGACGCGAGCGAAGGCTTAGATCGATGGGACAAGTTCCGCGACGCGGATTTCAAGTCGCTCCTCAAGAAAATCGCTAGAGCTACCGTAGAAGATGCCAAAGCGCTGAACAGTGACAGCTGAGGCCAATAATGAATGACAGTCGTTCCAACCTGGTGAGCGCCAAATCCATTCTCATGACTTGCAAATCTTTACTGGAGAACATGTGGTTGTGTTTTTGGTATCAGGGTCATGTTGGGCTAGCATTACGTGCAAGACCCGACCCTGGCTTCTTTTGTTGGCCAAAAGGCTTGGTTCACGATGAAATCGAACCCTCAAAGCACAACACATGAATGTCAGTGCTCTGGGCTGGACTTGGTTTCCGGTCTCGGCCACGCAGCGTTGGAACTGAATACATCACCCCATACCCTCAACCTCTCTTGCAACGTTGCATCACCTCTGCCCAACTCTCTCTCGCCCCAGTGACTATTCTAATGCACTGAGGTCAATTTCTTCTTCGAGGTTTTTGAATCGCTACCTGGAAGCGTTACCTATCATGCCTGCCACGGACGGCATGACAACGGAACAAAACAACAAGGTATGTAGACTGTCTAGTATGCAAATGCTGGGTTGATAACATGTCCAGGACGAATTTGCTGCTGAATACGAACTACAGACACTACAGCAACTTCCGCACGCAAAAGGCTATCCAGCCACTGATTGCATATCATATCCCCCTTGTCCACCCAGTCCACCCAAAGATCTGGACAGTGCTCATTGGAACGGCGATCGAATCACACAAGCGTCGACATCCACTACACCGATCGAGTACCCCCGACGGTTGATCACTCCTGCAGGCTATCATCTTGGACCTCACGGTGAAGGCTGGCAGTCAACGAGGTCATCTTTGTCAAGGTTCCACCATGACTATTCTACCTTGTCTTTGCCAAGGAGAGACAATCTCAAGAATATGGGCTTCGGCGGGTGTTTGGTAGTGCCAACACCAAGGGAAAGGCCGGATTACCAGGTTGTGGCGGAATATCAAGGGCTCAAGCTTGGACGCGTCAGTGACGCTGTCCCGTATCGTATGTGCGCTTGGTTTATCATAAACCAGACAGGAACATCAGGAGTCTGGTCCTGCTGGGGACAATTGCTGACGGTTTGAATCTAGTACTCGGCCCGCGTAGTATAATCGACAGAATCCAAGCAGTCTTGGAACACGAGGCCAAGTTTCCTGCAACGATATATGACGACAACTACCTATCAGGGAATGCATCGCCGGAATATACTGACCGCGACAAGGCATTAATAGCCATCCTATCATCCCTTCGCGTCCCAGAGTATGTCCGGCTCGAAAAGGGGGATTGGTATCCCCAAGGCCTAGCCGCCAGATTCGATGCGCTCCTCCTCTACAAGCACACAGCCAAAAGCGGCGTCAAAACCGCCCACGTGACAATATCCGAGTTCCACCAGATGGCCCAAATCTGGCTTCTCCTGCCAAACCCAGCACTCGTGCACGGCGACTACGCAAACGTCAAGAACCACTGGATCGACATTGCTTCCAAGCTGCGCGAGCGCGACGTGGACATTTCGAAAATCGATCTCGACCTCTACCAAGCCCTGACGCTCAAGCTGGAGGGCGAGCAGCTCGCATCCAAGCTCGATGAAATTGCCCGATGGGCCCGAGACGGTACGCTCGACCAGCGCTACGACCAATACATGCAGACTGTTGCAACGCAAAACACCATGACGATTGCGCGTAGCATCGCAGCCGCCTCGTCATTGTCACACACCGACGCGCGGTACTCCAAGCGCTTCACCCACAAGTATCCGCAGGGCCACACTGCGCAGCAGCGCGGTGCCGCCATGGATGCGGAGCAGATCAAGAAGCAAAAGGAGGTCGCCAAGATGAATGCTCTGCGGGAGAAGAAGCGCAAGAGGAGGAATAAGTGCTTCTTTGTTGCCTTTATGGTTTTGCTGTTTGGCGGCGCTGTGGGGTCCATGCTTTGGGCTATGGGGACTAGGCGCTGGGATTTCACGCAGGGAGGTGGGCAGACGGGATAGGAGATGTGCTGGAATAGACTGGGGGAAATTTGGGCTGGGAAGTTGGACGGTTAGTGGGTTTGAGGGATGGATTGATTGATGGACAGTGTAGTAAAAAGTGTGGGTATGTAGTGGAAACATGGTTTTGATATGCATGCTAGATTACTCTTGAACGTCCGGAATCGTGCTGATAGCTTGGTGTATATCACGACATGTTGTCTTCTGTTCATTTTATTCTCATTTTCTTTTTTTTTCTTTTTTTGAGTTGTTGCAATGGCACTGTGGGGGCTTTAGCTGCATGTCCGTGTGTAGCAATGGGAAACTCTCAGACTCCAATCGCAAAGATACATATCAATGTATCCAGCACATCACTTCACTTCACTTCACTTCACTGCACCTCGATAATCCTCCTAGATTGTGGTGGGAAAGAAAAAAGGAAAAAAAATCAAAATTTAAAGCATGCTAACTTCCTCCATGCTTCATGTTGGATGAGCAAGGGAGGCATCTCTATGTACAAGTTCGTTTATCTGTCTATTCCAGCAATCATTCCGAATCCACAGTACGCCCTTCTTCCTCCACCACCACTACTACCACCACCAAATTCCCATCTACCTGTTGCAGCCAGCGCGGAACTGGCCGTTCCAGCCGCTGACCGAAGACCACTTGCCGTCGGCATTGCACTTGACATTGTCACCTGTGCGCTCGGCCGGGCGACACAGCTCAGTGCAGTCTTCGGCGGCGCCCTGCGCTTTCTGTAGCAAAGGAAGAAGGAGGAGGTTAGCGTGTTGCTTTTTTTTCTTTCGTTCTGTTGGTATGAGGAATAAGGTGTTGCTTACGGTGATGACGCAGCAGTGCGAGCCGTCGGGGAACAGGCACTGGCAGATTGCAGAGGCTTCTGCGCCGAGGGCAATGGAGAGGACGAGGGCGATGCAGGTGGAGATGCGGACCATGGTTGCGAAGTTTTTTTTTGAGGGATTGAAAAAAAAGGGATGGAAGAGAGAGAGAGTAAGAAAAATGTATTTGAATTGTTGGTGAAGATGTTTAGAGGTGTGGAGAGAAGATGGGTTGATTGTTTGATACTGTTTTTTTTTTGCATCAACCACAACGTCGACTTTATACCTGTACTTATGCATCGGCTATTTTCCGCTCTCTTCGCCTTGTCAGCTCTCGTCTTTTGGCCTTCGTCGTCGCACCTCGATACACACTGCTTCTTGCGGCGTCGCCACGCTGAGGCCGTATCCTGCGATATGCACCGAGTTTGCTGTGTTGCGGAACATGATCGTCGCCTGGACGGGCGTTAGACTGGTCCACATGTCTCCACGGTGAATATTGTGGGGGGGCGAACTACCATCATGTGATGCGGCACTTGGAGAGCAAGGGTGCTAGTGCTAGTTCCCGCGGAGCCCCGGAAAATAGATTGGACTAGGATTAGAGAGAGAGAGAGAGAGAGAGAGAGAGCAGGTACGGTGGTGGCATGGGGTTTGGTGTTGAGACGCCCTTTTGATGCTGGCTATAATGCAAAGAGTTAATGTGTTAACGCATAGTTTTGATATAGTTTGTGTTTATTGAGATTCAGTTTGAGCAAATAAGCATAAATGCATATTTGATGGGGCTCAGTAGGTTGCAGAGCCGTCAGCCAGCCAGCCAGGTACTCTTGGACGTCGGCGCATTCTTTTGAGCCGCATGCACGTCGCTAACCAACTAACCCCACAAAAGGGTCTTATAGTGACGATCACCATGCTGCGAACGCCCCCTCTTCTCCGGATTTGCAACTATTCTGACGATCCTCCATGTACTAGCTATGCACTTTGCCCCCACGTATATTGGGGGATCCCTCGTCCCCCCTTCCGGATTTGATCGGGGAGAATGACTCGTGACTGTGCAACATGGGACTGCATCCAGATGCTTGGGATTATTGTTTCAGCGAGATTAAACGTGTGGCGGTTTTTGTCACATGCAAATAGGCACGAGGCGCCGTGGATTGGCAGTATGATTGCTTTCTGCGTTGAAGGCGTCACTCGGGGAATTTTTTCGAGTCGTTGCAACACTGGACTCGTGACTTGTGTAGATTGATGGTATAGGGGTATACGCTTTGCTTCGGGAAATACTCACGTGCAGATGGATGATGGAGGAGATTCGAGCGAGCATCGTGTGAATTGGGTGGGGGTGTGTGTGTGTATGCGTTGCAGTTTACGTTGCCACGTAGAAACCTCCCGTGTGGTATGTGTAGAGGGAGTGTGAAGAGCATATAAAGAGATGCTTGAAAGTTGCTTCTTCTTCACTTCAGCTCAATCCAGCATCTCCAGCTTCGCCAACTTCTCCAACTCTTTCGCATCTTCTCCAGCTTCTCAGCTTTCAACACTTCACCAACTCTTTCACATCACCACTTCCAACCTAACCGTCAAAATGGTTCGCGCATCCTCCATCATTGCCCTCGTCTTCACCATGGTGTGCGGCACGCAAGCCGCAAACTGGTACTGCCAGTGCCTGTACCCGGACGGCTCGCACTGCTGCGTCATTGCAGGTCTTCCCCCCTTCCTTTTTTATGCAACACGCATAACCCATGCAAACCCACGAATTGACAAGAAGGATAAATAAAAAAATGAAACAGTGAAAAAAAAGCTAACTTTGGAATTCTACAGAACAATGCCGACGACTGCACGTCGTCGTGCCTCAACGCCGTATCCAACGAGACGGACAAGGCGTGCAACGCTGGAGGCAAGAACTCGCGCGTCAGCTACTTCAACGCTCAGTTCCGCACGACTTGCCACGAGACTTAGTGGATCAGCGGGAAACCAGAGGAAAGAGGGGTGGGGGCGGGTGGACCAGCTAAGATTCCTCGGGGCATTTCCGAGACTAGTTTGGAAGCTTAGAATGCAGCTGGAAAAGGGAGGTGGCGAGGTAGATCAGAGGAGAGGCAAAGGGAAGGGGTATTATTTTCTCGCCAAGAGACTTGGCAGTTAGGTACTGCAATGAAGAATAAGTAGATGGTTTACTGATATGTCGTGAGCACGTGTTGGTTGATGTTGATGATGTTGCATGGGTGGGAGCTACAGTAAGCCTGTTTTGGAGGCGTTGCACGCTCGAGGCGTCGTGCACTGCTTTGGGTTATTCATCGCTCGTGCTCGCGTAATGGCCATCACTAATCCACATGTATGTAAGTGCATGTAGAAGGGGGGAGGGGATTATAGAGGATCAGACCTACTTAGATGAGTAAATGTATTGTTTCTTTTCTACCAAGTATCGTCTAGTCCCGTAGCATGTAATGTCCAACATAACAAAACAACTTTTCAAAGCTTGTGCAGCACAGAAGATATTGCTCTCCATCTTATCTCTACCTATCCCGTGAACACTATTTTTTTTTACATCTCGCACAGCATGCATATTTATATTCTCTTTACTGGGCAAAGTCGTATTCTTCACACCGTTGCGCTAGATAAACTTTATTATCGTTTGTTATCTATCCGGCTTACCTACTCTAATTGCTTGAACAACAGTAAAAAAGAAACCAAAAAAACTGGACCCAAGTTGTTTCCGGGTACGCAGGCAAGTGAAACCATGACCACGTCGCACACATGCTGCTAAACGCCCTATTCCAGCGCAATGCCAACCGTGATGTTTGGGGTACAAGTCTGCAGCTGCGAGTTGGGCTGCTGAAGACCCTTCCCCCCCCCCCTCCTTTTATTCGATAGTCTTATATCGTGGAAACCGCAGTTGAGTGTTTATTGTATACTTGACTTTGTACTTGGAAAGAAAGAAAGAAAAGAAAAGAAAAGAAAAGAAAAGAAAAGAGAAAAGAATGTTGAGAACCGGAACCAATCGCATGTCTTACTCTCTCCCCCGCCCGACTGCACGCCGAAATGGCCAATTTTTTTTTGCGGGAGCCGGGATTACTTAGTTACCTAGAGGAGGAGCTACGCATGCAGATGCAGATGCCGATAGATAAGCATGCAAAAAAAAAGTTTGAGAGCGCAGAGCATACGTATATGTATGTACTGCGCACATGAGGGCTGCGCTAGGACTGATATACGGTAACGAGTACCGTGGAGAGAGAAAAAAAAAACCAATCGCGATATGAGTGCTTGCTGCTAGCTCTAGCTATTGCATATCATTTTGTTGAGCAAAAAAAAGTACGCTACGCGCATGCCCTAGATCAGCGCGGCGAGGTTAGTACATGTATGTGGGTAGCACAGCTAGTGTAGATGGGCGGGAAACCAGTTATTGGATCTATTATTGGGGGGGGGGGGTTCTAGACCGCACGTGTGTGGACATGGGGGGGATAATCTAGAACACCAAGCCCCATCGATAACGCAGGCGACTTATTACTTAGTCCCGAAAGGAACACAAGTACTTCGCAGCAAAAGAATCTCGAGTTCGATATGGGATGAGTACGGGCAATACGGTATGAATCACACACACAAGCGCATAAATGTCTGGAAAGACGATTTTGTTCCAGAAAAACACGCAACGCGACATGTGTAAAGGAAAGGAAAAAAAAAGGCTGAAACATGCAGTCAGTCAGCTCTTGTCGCGAAAAAGACAGAAAAGGCGAAAGAAAGGAGCCACAACAGCCGATGCCGGAGGAAGATGGCATTTCAGGAACTGGGATACACCTAGTCATAGTACCCGTCGAACCCTTTATCGCGCGGGCGCGTGCCTCAGCGCCAGGGAACAAATGAGGGGGGGGGACCGTCATACACGTGTTTGTATGGACATGGTTAGCTATTTTTTTTTCTGGGGTGGCTAGCTAGCCAGGACCCCCCCCCCCCCCCTTTGCAGTTCCGCCATCGACTAGTCTCTATACAGTAAAGTAGATGGAATGAAAGAAAGAAAATAAAAAGGGCCGCCGCTAAATCAACGGGTACTTACGGGGAACCCCGGAAAGCTGGAAGTGGGACAAGTCTGGTGAGACCCCAAGACCCAAGACTAAGAAAGTATACAGTAGAGAGAAAGAGAAGAAGAAAAAAAGCAAAGCAAGTATGCAAAATCCAGGAACAGGAAAATCAAGATCCACATATGTGTACTGTATTATGTGTATGCAGGCCCTTTCCCCAGACTAGTTTAGCGTAGACGAGGATCAATGGAGAAGGGAGAGGGGGGGAGGGAGAAGAGAAAAAAAGCAAAAAGGAAGCCAGGAACCGAGAAGAGAAAAAAAAGAAAATGGCAGGTCCAGCGAAATTGTAACAATGTTTGAATCCACGTTAGTGTATATTGTAGTGTATATTGGGGGGGGGGATGGGATGTTTGCGCCTGCGTGCGCACGCCACAGGTGACTACTACCTTGTGATATTGAAACCGGATTATACATATCAGGGCCATGATGCCCCCCTCTCTGCTTTCCTCGGACGTACGTACATGTCGGTGTAAGCGTTTGGACTCGTTAAAGGCCCTGTCAGCCCGGGCTACCGCGTATACGAAGGAGGGGGGGGCGGTGACGGCCGATTTATTGCGAGAGAGAGAGAGAGAGAGAGAGAGAAATTTGCAGGGTGGAGATTTTCACAAGGCTTTGAGACAACGATGGCTTTGAGACAACGATAACAAGGGGCGTGGATTGAAAGCTAAAGAAGGATATATATTTTTTTTTTAAAAAAAAAAGCGAAAACGAAAACGACCGAGAATGAAGCGAGAATGAAAGACGCCACGGTTATTTCCACAAAGACATGCGTAAACGATGAATGCTGAGCCACACGAGGTAACCCCAAGAAGCGGCGCGAAAGAGAGTCGTAATGCAGATTGATCGTGGAAGCAACCATGTCCGAGCGTCCTGTCGACCCTGGAAGAAAGAAAGCAAGAGGAAGTGGTAGGGTGGTACCCTACAGTAGGAGTAACATGTATTTTAGTCGTAGTGCCAACGCAGTAAGCCAGCCCATGGTTTGCCAGACGCGTCCACGGGGCCTAGAACAGCACTGGTTCCTGTCGATCGTCATCTCACACCCGCAGCCCGCGCGACGACTCCACCAAACCACCACCACCACCGCCGCCACCATTACCAGCAACCAGCCAGCAGCAAGGGGGGAGAGCCTTGTCGATTGGAGCATGTGTGTGCACGGAGACTTTGTTCCCCCCCCGCAAACGAAATGACATGCAAGGGCATCTTTCTTCTTACGTACCTTGTAGTAAGCAACGCGAGAGAAAAAAAATTGAAATGAAAAATGTAGCCTAAACAAAGTGAGTTTTTGCGTCCTTTCTCAATCCAGTAGAGACAAGAGGGGGGATCCCGTCCCTCGGCGCCCCGATACAGAGGCAAAACGCTGTGGGCATCATTCTTTTTTTAAACCCACCACATGTCTATATTGTGTGTCGCGCCGAAGCAGTTCCGAACCGGCAAAAGTATGGAAGGGGTCATGGCCCTTTTCTTGATTGTTTTTGATGCAACCATGTTGTTTCTTGCTTCATAATGCTTTCATCATGGCCCTTGTTTTGGGCGGTGACGGCGGCCGACGCATGCAAAGACCGCTGCTGTAGCCGGGCATTCTCGGGTTCCCAACACGAGAGAGCCGGCAGGTTCCGTGCATCGATCACGAGCGCCAGAGCCACGGTTGTGTGGGGAAAATGGGTGTGTGCGTGTAAGATGGATACGAAGACGACATGTGTGATAAGAAAGAGAAGAGAAGTAAAAAAAAAAGTAAAAAAGAATGTAGATCACAGCGTGATAGCACAGTGTCCATGGCCGGATAGCGAGGAAACAGCGAGAGGGTAGGGGTACGCGTGGCAGCCGCAGCAAAGGAAGAAAAAAAGACAGAAAAAGGACTAGACGAAAGCGGTCATGAGTACCCGATTCGGTATCGATTCCAATTGCTGCATGTGGGGTGGGGAGGCAGAAAATAATAATAATACTTACAAAAAGGTGCGCCAGCCTCCCCCTAGCAAATTGGGAGAGAGAGATTACGAGAGGTGGGCAGGGGGGTGCCATGTAGCATATTAGTAGTAGCACGGGCGGAGACAAGTGCCGGAAAGAGTGTTAGCGCGCGGGTAACTAAGGGCAGAAAAAAGCATCGTGGCGGCTAATACGTGGTGTTACGGGAAGAGGAAGAGAAAGAGTCGCTTGGACTGAACAAGCGGCGAAATAAGACATGATAGCGAAGGGTCGCTATAGGTGCGGGATGCGTGGCCCTGGCTTGCGCAGCCTCTTTTTTTTTCTTTACCTTTGTTGTGCTTAAACTGCGGGCAATGTCTGAATCATGGATGGACTAAGCGTGGATGAAGTGCGTAAAATTTTCGGCGTGTTTACTTGCGTTACAACGTTGGCGTGACATTTGGAGTGGAAACTTTAATCTCCGCTCATGTGCGTATAACAATGTATATCCACTTGCCTCTCCATGTCGTCCTCATTCTCCATCTGCCTGTGTCTGTGTGTAATATGTGTCGCGCTATCCGCAAGTGGCAATAGTGTGATAGGTGTCAGAGGGTGTTTGAAAAAATTGGCCGAAAGGAAGAGGGGCTGGAGGGGGGGGCGATGCTCTGTGCCAAAGCAAAACCAACGTCTTTCTTTTGCCAAGAAAAGGCGGGCGCTTGGGGAACAGAGGGACCTTGTCAACTTACCACGGCCCATCCCCCCGCCGCCCCGCTTTCTGGCTGCTGCTGTCGTGCGTCGTTTCGCATGAAAGCTTTTGGAACGAAACGCACAAGATGTCGTCTCACGTTGGGCCGGGGGGAGGAACAGCCCCGTTTCCCTCTTACGCGCGTGCGTGCCCTGCATGCTGCCAAAGCCTGTCGCTTGTGTGTCTGAGTGTGAGGGTGTTTTTCTCCATCTCTTGCTGGTCGGAAAGGCGCGGGACCGTTGGGCATTGGCAGCAGCATTATTACTTGTCGTAATCGAGTATATATGTATGTATCGAGTAGCTTTGCCGTGGTGGTGGTGGTGGTGTCCTGCAGGGTAAGCAGGAACAAAGTTAGAGTTACCCGTAGCCAGCCAGCCAGCCAGCCATGATGATGATGAGACAAGGACCCATTGGAACCACCGATTCGCCCCTCCATTTGGTTGGCCCGTCAGGGGTTGATTTTTTCTTCTTCTCTTGATTAATTCTGCTTTGACGCACCCCCAGCCACCGGATCACCGCATCGCCATGCTGCATGCATAAGTACGTGTGGTTGGGTATCATGTACCAGACCTGGTGAGCATCGTATTTCGCAGGTTGCCTATCTTAGCGCCCTGATACGTGCGTGGTGGGGAGGATACGTACGACTACCGCTTTACATGGCAGTTCCCCGCCGTAGCCTTCGGGCCGGCGTCTTCGTATGCACCATGTACATGTGTATGTAGTATGTAAAGGGCAAGGCAGTCTATGGCATCATTTGACCCCACAAATGCAAAGGTGCAGCAAGTGGCAGCATGGGCAACTCTGGCGGGTTTGCGGCTGACGGCCCAGGGTGGCGATGTGCGTGAGTGTGCGTGAGTGTGAGTGTGTGTGTGTGTGTGTGCATCTGATGGCTGGTGTAAGACAATGATGTCATTGCCAGGGCTTTGGCAGCATGGGCCCTGGCTCGCTGCGTGATGAAACCCCTCCACAACAGGCAAGGCGGACAAGTTGATATTATATCTTCGGCGCATTTCTCATTGCTCTCTCCACCGTGGCTTTGCGCAGACTTGGCCAGGGTGACGATCGGCAATCTGCTGCTCCTTCAAGCCCTGGCCCTGGCTGCCCATGCAATCACAATGCCTAACAGCGGCACCGGCCCTGGGTCCCGCTCCATCAGCAGACGATCGTGTCACATGCTGCTGTCATCGAGTCATCACGCAAGGGCACAAGGCGCACAAAAATCATGGCTAGTGCGAGTAGTGTGAATGGATTGCGTGACTCTGCTCGTGGAGCAAGAGACGACTGTCGTAGACATTGGTCATCTAAATAGTATAGTAGGTAGTAATCGCGATGCTATGACATGCCTCCCAGGGCAGCGTATGCAAGTGGTATCATGACAAAAGAAACAAGGAAACAAAGTACAAGGAAAGACAACGTGTGCATGTAGTAGGCAACACGGGAAATGCTGAGAAACGCCCCGTCCCGTCCCCCTTGTCATGGATATTAATAAATATATGGTTGGAATACTCGTCATCGTCACTGGGCGGAATCAGAATCGTCATGGCGTCAACTGCTGTCGTCGCTCGTGTTGGCGTCGCTCGCTGAGGATGCCGATTTGTCCGACGAGGGCAGGGGGCCCAGTGTCCAGCGCCAGTCCCTTGTCCTCTTTCGTCGACCTGCGACGGGGGTTTGGGGACAGGAGTCGCTCTCGTCTTCCGACGACGACGAGTCGCGCTTGTCGCCAATGCGCGGGCCCTTGAGGCGCGGCGAGCTTTGGAGCGACGACAGGGCGGGCTTTGGTTTTTCGAGCGACAGTTGCAGGGGCGATATGCTGGCGTTGGACGAGGCGGGGTGGGCCGTCAGCGAGTGGTGCGAGGCCGAGATGTGCGAGTCGGTGGATGCGAGCGAGGCCGTCGACGAGTTGGTCGACATGGTGGAAATGGTGGACACGGATGACTCGAGGTCCGAGTGGGCCATGGTGTACTTTGTCGTGGTAATTTCCTCGTCGAGTGGGGTGCGGAAGCAGACGTGCTTCTCAGCAGGAAACATGGGCCGGTTGGCGGCCATTTTGCGCGGTATTATTGAGCGGGCGGGGCTGTTTGCGAGGATCGAGGTGAGGTTGTGCGGCTGCTTGTAGGGCAGGGCGCTGGCGGCCGAGTCGTTTGAGGCCGACGAGAGGGTTGAGGCGGAGCTGGGCGTGGATGCGCTGTTGGTGGTGGTGGTGGTGGCGGCGGCGGCGGGGATGTCGCTCTCAATGGAGAGCAGTGGGCGTGGGGGACGCTGCAGAGCGGGCGCAGTCGAGGGGCGCTCATAGGCGTTGGAAAAGGTGTTGCGGACCGTGGGCGAGGCGGCACTCAGCGTGTCGAGGCGCAGACTGGCGGCCTTTCCGAGGATGCGTGGTTGCTCCGTGTTGATGGACAGCTTGGGGCGTTGGGGGCCCTGGCGCGGGGATATTATAGGCAGCGAGGCGGTCATGGAGGACATGGCAGGTGATTGCAATGGCGGGTACGACGGCGGCATGGAATGGCGAGAGGGGGGCAGCGTGGAGAGCATCATGTGTGCGGGCCAGCGGGTGCCGGCAGGTGTTGGCAGATGATGGGCGTGTGTGGTCAGGCCGGCGGGAGGATTGGGGGTGATGTATGTATGTGTGTGTGTGTGTGTGTGTGTGTAGTAGGGCAGGGCAGGGCAGGGCAGGCGGGCGAGGGGCAGGGCGGGTATTAAACACACGCACACGGGAGGCAGCCGCCAACCAGCAGCGTGGGCTGGGGTGGCAGCAGAGCAGAGGAGCGCGAGTGCGAGTACTAGTGGCAGCAGCACGTAGCAGCGCCGCGCCGTGCCGTGCAGCGCAGCGCGGAGCCAGTGCAGCGCAGAGCCAGTGCAGGCGCGGAGGTGGACTTGGTACGAAGCGCCTGGCCAGGGTGGCAGTGGCAGTGGTGCCATCCCAAAATACACGCAGCTGCTAGCGCCATGCAGCGCTTCCAAAGATAGATGCGTGAGCGTGGCAAAGGGCGGCGTCCGTCTGTCGCTGTGCCATGGCCCCCCCGAACGGTACGGCCTTGGCGCTGCACCGCACTGGCAGCCCCGAACAGCCACAGCCACAGCCCTTGCCTCGCCCTCGCCGCGCCCTTCACCCTACCACGACGACGACGACGACGACTACACTGCCTAACCACCCCCGCGCCCGCTGCCTCCGCCGAAACACGCTGCATCCAGCCCCTCTGCTCCTCTGCTCCTCTGCTGCGCTCCTCTGCGGCGACTCCCATGGCCCCCCAGGCCCACCCGCCAGACGCACCCATCCTCCTCCACTTTGTTCGTAAGCACCGCAACCAGGCCACCACCGCTCAGCCTCTGCTAACACGTCCTCTTCGTATCCCACACGGCCATGTATGTATAGCATCCGTCCAGCGACCTAGGTGCGTACGTGTGCGTGCGTGCGCGCGCCGGGCCCCCATGCGCCCAAGCGACCCAGTTGCGCAATCACTAACGCCCGTCGTATTCGTCTCCACACGACTGCTTCTGCTTCTACTACATGTACGCCAGTGCCAGCGTCTTTGAACACCAAACCCCCGCCTTGAAAAACGTCCCCCTGGCCGTGCAGCAGAAACGCTTTCTCGTCACATGCAACTACGAGGCCCGCCACTGCCACTGCCGTTGATTGATTGATTGATTGATTCACAACACCCCCCCCCCCCACAGGGCCTGCACAAGCTGCAGCTGATTCACCACGCAAGAAAAGCCTGTCCGGACCTAGCCATCGTCCGCGGCGAAGACCTAACCCCCTTTAGGAATGTCTCCAAGCACCTGTAAGTATGCCTTTCTGCGCTCCTTCTCGTGGAACGCGCGCTGCGAACGCCTGGGCTTTGACGAGCTTTGCCACCCCCCCCCCCGCGCACGCGTCCCTTGGCTGCATTTGGTTGTTGAAACGTGGCCCACGTCTTCATGGACGTGACCGACATCATCGACTACAACGTCAGCATCCTCAATCCTAATGACCCCAGCAACGCCTGCTCCTGTCTCGCCAAGCACCATCCCACCGTCGGCTTCCCTTACCACCCAACTCGCCTGACAGGCCATGTGCACCCCAAAACGGTCACCGACAGCTTAGGTAAGCGACCCCATGGCCTTTCCCCATGGCGCCTGGCACACACACGCCCTGCGCCTCTGCAACTACGCACTGCAAGGCTGACACCCGCCTGCCTACCTGCCTACCTGCCTGCCGCGTCCCGTGACACCACTAACCATGTCTGTCATGCTGCCATCACCGTCGTCGCCGTGGCCCATGCAGTCGCCTCATCTGGCACTAATGCGTAGCAGGACGGCCCAATGCCCCAGACCCTTTGCATCTCAGACTGGCTCTCGGAAGCCATTTGGCCCATTACCTGCGCTCAAGACTAGCTGCGGAAAAGGGCTATACCGCCACGGCTGGCATCTCGACAAATAAGCTCCTGTCAAAACTTGTCGGCAACACAGACAAGCCTGACGCTCAAACAACGTTAGTGCCGCCCCATGTTTCCAATGGGAGCGATGAAACTGCCGACAACGTGACACAATTCCTTGACGCCTATGAAATTGGCCAAAATCCCGGGCATCGGCTTCAAAACAGCGCAGAAGCTGCGTGCATTTGTGCAGCAGCCACCCCCCGGCTTGGACGCTGGCTTGATAGAGGGAGCCGCCAAAGAAGACGTCCTGGTGCGCCATGTGAGGATGCATCCGGGCATGGGCCCAGACGTGCTTGAGCGGGTTTTAGGAGGCCCGGGAGGCATTGGTGCCAGGATATGGCGTCTGTTGAATGGCTGCGAGAGTCAAGTCGGTGGAGAGTCAAGTCGGTGAGGCGCGTCAAGTTCCTACGCAAATCAGCATTGAAGATGGCTATATGCGTCTGGACACGCTGGGTGCAGTAGTCCAGGAGCTACGCATGCTGGCCAAGAGACTGCTCGAGAGAATGCATACCGACTTGCTCGCAGACGACCTAGACAGCGTCGACGACGCAGCTTCGCTCCCTGCACCCACGCCCAAGCGCTGGCTGGCTCATCCAAAGACGATGCGCCTGTCCACGCGACCACGCCCACCTCAGACGCCAGACGGTAGTCGAAACCGGCCGTCTGCGCGCATCTCCAAGTCTGCCCCCATGCCGGCGTTTGTGTTCAAGCTCAACGAGGACTTGTCGACGGTGCCTGAGAAGCTGGTCCAGCGAGTACTGCTTCCTCTGTTTCGGAAATTGCAGGGACAGAGGAGCGGTTGGAATCTTAGCCTGGTCAACGTGGCTGCCACCAACATGTCCGGTCATGGGCGTGGAAAAGGCGGTGTTGGTGCTGGCAAAGATATCGGCAACATGTTCAAGCACCAACATCTAGTGCTTAGGCAACGGAGCGAGGAAGGTCGAGCAGGCGAATCCGATTCCACGAATGACACTGGGGAGGGGTTAGAATTAAGCCTAAAGACAGACTATCGCATAGCTCGTGTAAGAGTCGGTTCCGAAGGCCTGCCAACTTCCTCTCAACAGGCCAGTGCGGCTTCCGCCTCCGATGTGTGCGTGTCCGAGGTTGAGCAAATGACCGACGGCTATCTGCTTTGCTGCGACGAGTGCGGTGCTGCTATGCCGATGTTTGCCATGGGCGCGCATTACCGCTGGCACGCACAAGCACAGCTTCCATCAGACGTAGGTTCACTAGATAGGCAGATACACTCAAAAAAAAGGCAAATAATCAGCAGCCGACTAGGCGGGTCGGAGGTCCCGTGATGAGTACCCCGCAAATGTGTAATTGCCGTCGCTTTCTCGGACGCGCAGTGGCTTGCTGGTGAGGCTCGCTCGCAACAAATGCCTTGGTAATAATCCCTGAAGGGGTAATGACCCCGCAAAACCGAGCTCCGACGCTTGTGACAAGCTCGCTCGGACGCGGCCTCCTTAGCCTTCCGCAACCACCGGTGAATGCTAATGACCTCACGCAGGCTCGCAATGCTATAAGCAATGCGACAGCCCGCCGTTTTTGCACACCATCATCCCACACAGTCTCTCGCCACAGCAGGGTAACAATGCCTGGCTCCTCCCAACTCCCCATCAGTCTCCTGCGGGATTCTTTCATTGCACGAAAGAACTCGCCCAGCGGACAACTCGTCGCCTTCAACGTGGACATGTATGCGCTCCTCTCTGCCCCCACGAGCACATGGCCCCTTCGCACATGCTAACACCACTCGCAGTCTGCGCAATGTCGTCTTCTTCTTCTTCGTCATGCGATGCTCCCGCATTGCCTTCTACCAACTCAAAGGTCGCGGCATTTTCGGCTCTGCCGCAGACGCCTATGTCAGCATCCGTAAATACCTCTACGGCGTCTTTCTGCAGCTTCCCGGTGTCCGCGACAAGGTACAGGCTGAGGTTTCCGATGCCGTTCTCAAGCTGGAGCGCAAGCTCATCCCCACCGGCCCTGGCATGGAGCGCATCACCAGCATCCCGGCCGAGGGATGGACCGAAGACGAAGTCCGCGCCAAACTCGACGAGCTTGCCAACTTGGAACACACACGGTGGGAGGACGGACGAGTCAGCGGTGCGGTGTACCACGGTGGCGAGGACTTGATCCGCCTGCAGACCGAGGCCTATGGCAAGTTCACCGTGGCCAACCCAATTCACCCTGATGTCTTCCCTGGTGTGCGAAAGATGGAGGCCGAGGTTGTGGCCATGGTACGTCTGATCTGCTGCCCTGCACAAAGCATAGTACTAACGCGCTTCAGATGCTCAATCTCTTCAATGCTCCCCACGACGCCGCTGGTGTCATGACCGCTGGCGGCACGGAATCCATTCTGATGGCATGTCTCTCTGCACGTAACAAGGCCTACAAGGAGCGCGGTGTCACCGAGCCCGAGATGATTCTCCCCATCACTGCCCACACCGCTTTCCGCAAGGCTTGCCAGTACTTCAAGATCAAGCTGCACCTTGTCGAGTGCAAGGCTCCCAGCTACAAGGTCCACGTGCCTTCGGTCGCTCGTCTGATCAACCCCAACACTATCCTCCTCGTCGGATCCTCGCCCAACTTCCCCCACGGAATCATCGATGACATCACTGCCCTGAGCAAGCTCGCCTACAAGAAGAAGATTCCTCTGCACATCGACTGCTGTCTCGGATCCCTCCTCGTTCCCCTCCTTCAAAAGGCCGGTCTCGAGTACGAGCCCATGGACTTCCGTCTGAAGGGTGTTACCAGTATCTCTTGCGATACCCACAAGTACGGCTTTGCCCCCAAGGGTAGCTCGACTGTGCTCTACCGATCCGACCTGTACCGCAAGTATCAGTACTTCATCATCCCCGACTGGCCAGGCGGTGTTTACGCCTCCCCCGGTATTGCTGGCTCTCGCCCCGGTGCTCTGATTGCTGGATGCTGGGCCAGTCTTGTCAGGCAGGGTATGAACGGCTACGTCGACGCTTGCTACAAGATTGTCAGCGGTATGAAGCAGATCGAGTCCGCGATCCGCGACAGGCCCGAGCTCTCCTCAGACCTCAAGATCATCGGTCGTCCCCTCGTCTCCGTCGTTGCTTTCCTCTCCGACACGCTCGACATCTACGATATTGCCGACGGCATGTCCAACAAGGGATGGCACTTGAACGCTCTGCAGAGCCCCCCGGCTATCCACATTGCCGTCACTCTGCCCATTGTCGCCGTCATTGACGAGTTCATTGCTGACCTCATCGAGGTGACGGAGAACGCTCGCCAGGCCGAGAAGAAGAGGATTGCCGAGGGCAAGGACGCAAAGGGCGCCACAAAGGGTGATGCTGCTGCCCTCTACGGTGTTGCCGGCAGCTTGCCCAACAAGAGCGTTGTCGAGGACTTGGCAAAGGGTTTCCTTGACACTCTGTACAAGACATAAGTGTATTGACAGAAGAAGAAAGAAAATGTTCATGTTCCAACTATTAGAATGATCATGACCCACACACGACGCGCGCGGGTTGGTGGTGTTTGTGCTTTTAGGCGCTTTTTTACATGGGGGGAGTTGATAATTCGATAAAGGGTTTTCGGATGGGAATACGTGCTGGGTGCTGGATTGGTTGGTTGGTTGGTTGGTTAGTCCGGCGGTTATGAGTGAATGGGGAATCCATTTGTTTATTTGTCATTTTTTTCATTTTTTTTTAGGTTTTCCAAAGCGGGAAATGTATGGGACCTTTGGCATTGGATTGGGGAATGGGGAATGTTTCGCGGGGGGCATTATCAATCGTCGTTGTTGTTGTTGTTATTATTATTAAATGCAAAAAATACGTTTTTTTTAAAAAAAAACGCATATAATGTGGCCTTGATAAGGAAAGGAAAGGAAAGGAAAGGAAAGGAATTTGTCATGTGTGGCTTTGGGGATAGGATTGCGATTGTGTGTGTGTGTGTGAAAGAGAGAGAGAGAAGAGAGAAGAGAGAAGAGAGAAGAGAGAAGAGAGAAGAGAGAAGAGAGAAGAGAGAAGAGAGGACTAGGGGAAGGAGGTGGGGTAAGTAGCAGTAGTAGTCCAAATACCCCCCTGGAAAATCATAACAAAACAATTGGATAGACTGCGTAAGGTTTCTAAACTAGATTCCTTCTTCATGTGGTTGATTGTTTTTTGTGATTTAGGGGGGGGGGATATTGAGATTTTCATTATTTAGATATATAGTTTTGGACCTGTGAAATTTGGAAAAAAAAAACATTGAAAAGAACGTGTTTCCTGAAAAATTTTAAGCCAAGAAATCCAAGATTGGAAAATTCAAGGGGATTAAGAATATGAATATGGTAATAACTTGTTTTTGTCTTGTTGTATAACGTGGTTCATAAGCGAGTTGGTCACCCAAGCGAGTTGGTCACCCAAGCGAGTTGGTCACTCCCCACTAGCGCGTTGACGTTAACACGTTATTATAGTCTTTTATTATAACGTACTACACTACAGTAGCGGGTCAGCTAACGCCCCGGGTCAGCTAACGCCCCGCCCCAACACCATAACAACAAAACTTCAACGCGTCATAACTCCACCAATATAGATCCAATTCAAGAAGCAATTAAATATATTAAATCGCACGAGCTAGGAGATAATTTCTCGTACACAAAAGTTGCTACCTAGTTTAGTGTTAAGCGCAGTACGCTCGCTTAAAGGCACTAGGGTGTGCACAACTAGCGCGGAGTATCCTAATGATCTCTACACCTAGAACGCGAAGCTAAGCTTGTATAATATATTAAAACGCTTACTAAACGACGTTTGCCGCCTACAAAAGTAATAGTATAGCAGTTTGCTAGCTAGTTAGCTAGCAAACTAGTCTCTAAAACCTAGGTTAAGCGGTTTTGTAACGGGCTAGGTAGCCCGCTACAGTACAGATAGCGGTGGCTATCTTATGTATCAACTACGCAACGATATCAGCAGCTCTGATATCTTGTGCCAGCCTTTTTGGCGCGGTGGGCGCGTTGTAGTTGCGTGCGCAGTCTAATAGGACTCGACCCGTTACAGGTTTCTCCGCCGTCATCCTAACTGTAACGGGTCGAGTCCTATTAGACTGCGCACGCAACTACAACGCGCCCACCGCGCCAAAAAGGCTGGGACAAGATATCAGAGCTGCTGATATCGTTGCGTAGTTGATACATAAGATAGCCACCGCTATCTGTACTGTAGCGGGCTACCTAGCCCGTTACAGCTCTTAGGTTTTCTTACGTAACTCTTATTCTTTATACAAAGCTATTATACTTCTTATTCTTACTAGGCTAGTAGCCTACTTAATACTTAAGCAACTCTTTATTAAGAGAGTTCTTTAAGTAGTTAATCTTTTAAGCGTTGTCTATAGCGCTTAGGCCTACTTCTTAGAATTTTAAATTAAAAACTTAAACGTGATAAAGGAACTTTCCCCTTCCTTATCTAGTTGTATAAAGGTAGTAGAGAGCCTTCTATTTAATTGTAGGGTCTTAGAAGAACTTGTCTAACTAGGACTATAGTCTAGCTGTTGTGGCTGCTAGGGTGCTAGTTATAAGAGCTTAGACGTACGCATAGAGCGCATTAAAAGCTTATCCTTTTATACATGTGATAATATAGTAGATTTTAAGTTTCTTACTTAAGTAAGCCGCTCTATCTACAAAGAGCTTAGCCTATACACGTATCTTCTACTAAGTGTATTATTTATAGGTACTATAGTTAAACATATTTACGTTAGAGAGTCTAGGCTTAGGGTAACTTCGTATAGGTAGGGCTAGAGTAGTTGCCTCGCTTATTTAGTTGGTTGTATTTATAGCGCTAACGTAAGCTCCTGTAAGAGGTAGTGTCGTATAAGCTTTTTAAAGTTGCCTTATTAGGAGCTTAATCTGTAAGGGGCTCGACCCCGGAGGGTAGTCTTAAGCTCGGGAGCACGATCGGACAGGCCAAGGTAACAAGATTGTATTCGATAGAGAGCTAAGCTCTCGGCTACGTAGCTATCTATATACAATGCTGGTTGCTAGGGTAACAATCGGGCCGGGCAGGTGGAGTAAACGAGGTCGTAGACGAGTATGGGAGGCGAAAGGCGTTTAGCCCGTTACATAATCTAGGACATCATTTCCTAGTATGCGACTACCTATCTCTTAAGCTGTTTAGCCTATTGTACGTTATTAGCTGTTAGCTAGTTAATATTTCCTCTTATTATACGGATAAAGGCGATAGATTCCTCGTCTAGCATAGCTAGGTGTTACGAGTAACAAGAAGGATTCTCTCCTTGACAAGTGACGAGACGGCTGAAGGCCTATGGACGTCCACGTCAGAAGGTAATGATCATCGCGGGGCGAGGATCACGTGATTGACATCACGCCAAGACGACCGTCAGACGCTAGTATGTGATGGCAGCAATCCTTTAATGGCAGCCATTAGGACATTAGGCCAAGCAATAGAAAAGTCGTGATAGCAGTGATGGCAGGACTAGAAGCAATGAGGATATAAGGATAGATGGATTTCATTATTACTCTCGTTGTAGTTAACTTAAATTGTACTTTCTTACTAGTATTATTACTTCACAAGATAGTTACATGTTAGTCTATCTAATAGATTAGCGTTGTTAAACCCTAGTTACATCTATAACTCTTTTCCACTACGAATCGCCAGACAACCTCACGGAGCTCTTTACACCATCTCACTCGCCCTAACCCAGACCAAGCTTAGAGAAGTATCAGCACCTAACCCCGTGTAACACTTTAACCACCCACGGATTTAGTGGAGGATTAACCAACAGCGTCTAATTAAGATTCAGACTATGTCACAGAACTCTAACAAGTATGTTAACATTCTAGGCCTAGTGCCTAACGAGAACGTTAACATGACTAGTTATACCTAAGGAGGTATTAACAAGCTGGCGGCAGGGAGCCCTAAGTACGAACTCGTTAATCTTAGACGCGAAGGCCAGAATCAGGCTAGACAGATCGCTAAGTTGCAGAACATAATCAACTAACTCACGAGTTAGCTAATAGCTACACTAAACAAAAAGCCTATCAAGAAACCCAAGATAGCAACCCCAGACAAATACGATAGTAACTAGGAAGGGTTATGGACGTTCCTCACCACTATCGAGTTATACTACAGCTACAACAATGTGCTAAACGACGAAGAAAAGATTCTCATGGCCAATACCCACCTAAAGGGAAAAGCAGCAAGCTAGATGTAACCTTACGTAGAGGATTTTCTAAAGGACATCGATAACAAAGGAACAAAGGATAAGACGCGTACCTTGTTTAGCAGTTAGGCCAACTTTAAGAAGGAAATAGGACGTATCTTTAGGGAGGTAGACGCGGAAAGCCAGGCAGAGAAAGCGATATCTCGCCTAAAGCAGACTAAAGCAGTATTAGCTTATACAGCGGAGTTCAAGCAGTTATAAGCACGAATTAATTAGGACGATTTAGCTCTCTAGATAGTATACGAAGCAGGTCTAAAGGAAAATATCAAGGATAAACTTGTACATTACAACAAGCTAAAGGATTTGTACTTGTTAATTAAGTTAGTAACAAGAATTAACACGCAATTATAGGAACAGAAAGAGGCCTAGAAAGGATATAGACTAGGGCCACCCTTCGCCAATACCTAACAACATTAGAGTAACAAGGATCACGATAGAGACACGTACATGACTAGCAAAGTATAAGACAAGTCTAAGGATAAGAACAAAACCTAAGGAAAGTTTAACGACGGTCTTTCTGCGGAAGAACGCAAGAAGCGTTATAATAGTAAGGTATGCCTCTACTGCGGCGAAGTAGGACACTTCCGCAGGGACTGCCCAAAGAACGAAGTTAAGCAAAGAGCAGTCAAGATTAGGATGCTACGGATAGCAACACCTTACCTAACTAAGGAGCTAGACGAGACTCTCAGCGACCTAGACCTGTACGACAAAGCAAGATAAGCTACTAACGAGGCCTTTAAGCTAGTACAAGAGGCAATAGGACTCTAAGACTTCAAGTAGGACGACCCACTACCAACAGATTGGCAGGTTGAAGGGGCCGAAGTACTACGCCGCCTAAGAAACTAACAGTGCTAGATTTGTAGAATTACTAGGCACTAAGCCAACAATTGCGACATTAAAGGACAAGTTACAATTATAGGGCCTAGAGCAGAGGAAATTGCCTGCAAGGCTGCCTAAGAATAACCTAGGTTCAAGGAACCTAATAACGAGGAGACGCCTTAGACGTTCAAGGAACGAATAGAGCAACACAAGAACCTATGTTAGGTCAACTGCCTAAGATAGTGCAATTATCACTTGAGGAAGCGAGAAGCGACTAGGGACAACGAGGACAATTGCTGCCACACGAATTTATAGCATAACGAGTGTCGAGTACCGCATTGTTACATATACTAGCCAGGAGAGAAAGAAGCTCATAAGGAGCTATGCTAGATCAACTATACGACTAATTGCTAGTTCCACTAGGTACAACGACGGAATGCTTAAAAGGTAGACGACTACTACTATAGCACGATATCCGCCAAAGAATGCAATGCAAAGAACTGCAGGATGCACAGAGCTGCAAGACCAAGAGTCACGACGACTAGGGTACCTAGGCAGGAACAAGAGAAGTCTAACAAGGACAAGAGCCACGAACGACTCTTATAGACGCATTGCAGGAAGGGATGCGCCTTCTACTAACAATAGTTTAAGGATGCTTAAGGAGTAAATAACTATCTCTATAGCACCCTGTTAGCAAATATTTGTAAAGCAATAGATTGCCTAATTCACAAAGTAAAAAAGCTA